TCGAGTGTTGGGTTCCTTTACCTACTACCAGGGAAAAGAGGCCAGACAGTGCTGCACGGTAAGCTATGAGGTTTGTGGAAAAGAGCTATCGCCTCCCATCGTAGAGCGTTGGGATGCTGCTCGTGGGGAGCGTGGAGAGTGCGAGATGGTGGTGGTGGTATGTAGAGACAACAAACTTCGTGGCGAGTCGATCGGCGCTGGATGCATAACGCAGTGACGTCATATGCTCGCACGCCACAACCTCTGCCTTTCTAAGTACTCGAGTGCCTCACGGGCCACAGTGTTACAACCCACTGCACACATCTATGTGCACATTCAGGATTTAGTAAGTAACCAGCTTCTCGCTCTGGGATGTTTTTCTTTTCCTTCGAATTTATGTCAATTCTCAGGAGGCTTACTGATCCTCGCCAAGTTCGGGTGAAATTCCATTGGGTTGTCCGCAGGGCCAAGGCTTGACCACCGAAATTTGGGTGAAACGTGAAATTCACCTATTCTTAGGTGAAATTCACCCATTCCGTCTCCCACAGTGGTGGCTTTGACATCAAGGTTGCAAGATTGCATGCCACGGTCATTGACGATTCAACGCGCCCGGGATCAGATCTCACCGAGCGATGAGGGTTCTCTACGTACTAATATCCCCGTGCTAACCGGTCCGTGTTCATATACACGACTTATCTCTTGTGTCTTCTCTCGTACTAGCTAGGCAGCTGTGGTCTTTTTTGCGGGCTCGACGGCTGATGGAGGGTAAGGTTGATGGAGATGCGCTGTAAACTGGGTCGCCTCGGCCAATGACATTGAGCTATACCTTCTTTGTTTCACCAACTATCTTCGCGTCTTGGGAAGTTCGTTCGACGTGGCTATGCTATGCTACCGTCCATGCGATAGCGTTGAGGGGTCAATGTTTGGTCGACGTGGACGATCTTCACCTGTTTTTCGTACGTAGCTTCAACCTCATTTCACCTGTATTCTCGTGCTCTTCGAACATACACGTTCCCTGGTATTTACGAGTCTAACGCCGCTATCGCATCCTGTCAACGCACAAGCTGAAGCTCCTTTCCGGTCAGTACGTATCCCATGCCATGTCTATCTTCCTTTCCCGTCTTATCTCTCTCTCACCTGCCCACTCATCGCTTCACTTACTCATGTTCTCTCGTGTTTCGCTCATTCTCGTTCAGAGCGTTACGACAGCGCGCTTCAAGGATGTCGGGCATCACATTGTTACCTGCCATTTGGGGATGTTCGTATCGCGGAAGAAAGAGCCACGATTCTTCCCGACCCGCCTCGAACGTCGCACTCCTGAATGTTGCTAGCGTATATTACTAGTGATAACTCGTGAGTCAGGCCCCTATTACTCGAATACAACCTGCTATCATGTTTGTATCGATCGCTGCTTGACTTGTTGAATGCTTCATAACTTAGGTACCGTTCAAGATCTACGAGGCAGGAACCTCGAGGGTCTGCACGACTGCATACAGATTACAGAAGGCGATCAAGCTTTGACGTACTCACAATCCCGCAATCTCCAGCGGTGGGTGATGCCATAGTCGAGGAAATCAAGGTTGTACGTGCGTATCAGAACTCGTCTTCTCCAGCCAGCAGCCTCAGACTCATGCTCACCCCAATACAAATTCGGACTCAGGTCACCTCGAACACGGGTCGCACGTCTTCCCAAACTCGACCTCGATCGGGCAACTTGGCTTCAAGCTCAGCCCACTACAAATTCGACCCCCCCAAAATGAACGACACGTTCAAAGCTCATGGCACGCAATCTGCTGGCGACGTCGATGATGCATGTAGGCAGGCAGACTTCGACGTCGGGACGAACGATGACACGGGATGCTCTCCCCTTCTCCTGCGTGGCGCACACGGCACTGCTGGAAATAAGTAACCCCCTCTCCCGATCGAGGCTGTATGTAATTCGGACGAGCACGTTGTCTTGCATCCTGTTCCTTCCGCGCCCTGCAACGCTCTCGTGTCCCTTTGCGTCCACACTGGGTCAGCAAGTCGGTAACGGCCATCAACCCTTCTTCTGATCTCTCAGTAAGCAGGCAAGTTGCAGTTCAGTGGATATTAGTCAATGTAACAGGTTAGTTCGACTTCGTCTCCGAGGATCATCCACCGTTTCTCACTGCTCAACTTTGCGATTCCCTGTGTTTACTTGCGACCCTCCGACGTACGGCAGCGCTAAGCGGCGAAGTCGTACTTTCGTTCGTGCGCGCGAATTATCCGAGTTCGAAGACAGGTCTTTCAATGCGGTGGTGTACACGACCGTCGGGCGCGTTCCTCCAACGAGGATTTATCCTGGCTTCGACGAGCGCTCCGTAGCCTGTATACGTTGTTTTCGTGTACCGTCCTGTAGCGCCCGTAACAGCCTGCGATTGTTGTACTAGAAGGAAATTGCTGGGGAAAATCGGTCGGCGTTTCTACCATTGAACACGGTATGACTTTTCTACCATTTTAACGTTTCATCAGGACATCACTCACGCTTCTATCACCTCTCCTTGCTCCCATTGTCGGCGTGCATACAGCCTTGATATCGTCTTTCTTCAATATCATCTTCATATCTTCCAAGTTAGTTCCCTCAGTTTAATTTCCGCCACTCATCTACTGTGAGATCGTCAACTTCTCGCAATCCCAGGACAGCCCTCGGCCACGCAGCAGCCCCTATCCAAGCGCCCTCGTCTTCTGGTTATTCTTGCCCTGCCAATGTTTGTTCCTATCCTCAGGCTAATCAAGGTTTGACGAGTCAAGGTTATCGCCCGATGTTTCCTCGATCTGTTCACACACGCGCCTCCATGCAGGATGATCAGATGTATGCGTGGACTTATGTGGGTGGTAGTATGTACTACTGAGGAAGTAGGCGAGTAAAGGTACATGGTGGCGAAAGAGTGCTCACCACGCGATAATCGCGATGTGCGGTACCGCTGCTAGACACCTCGATTGCCTGCTCTGATGATTACTTACTCGGGTTTGGAACCGTACGGAAGCATGTACAGTTTGAGGCTGACTGATCATGTACGTGGCTTAGTTCGATTCTGTACCCGAGAACCTAACGAAAGACCGTGTATGTGTACAGCATCCCTTGTCGTCCTCGGATCAGGTTCTGGCCATTAAAAACAATCTCATACATACTAGGAATAACACGGCACAGATGCGGCTTTCTGCTCAATGCAGCCTAATGCTTTAGAAGTATCTATTTATGTGGACACGGTGAGCTGCTCTTCTTTCCTCTCCCTGAACTTTCTAACCTTACCTCTAACGCCGCAGGGCATCAGTGTGCTTGCCGCCCGTTTTCATTATCCGATAAATCTGTCCTTGAACTCAGTACCTTGACGCCGTCGATCCATAGCCAAGTTGGTCCTGAAGATTCATTGTCAACGGATCGGAGAATCACTCTGTTGTGAATACTTAACTTGTTTCTCGCCGCTAAGCCGGTTCTAAGATACAGAGAATATTTGGGTCCAATCTGGGTAAGTTGTTCGCATTTGGGCTGCTCGGGCAGAGCTGGGCTAGCTTTTTGGGTGTGGGTGTTTACTTCGATCGTTCCCGAATTTGACGGTAATATAACGTCAGTGCTTGAGAGTGGTTGTCTTCCAACCTTCGGGTCGTTCTAAGAGCGTTTCTCTGCTCTTCTTTGCCGATTAAATCTAATGCACACATCTATAGATCTGTATTCGGGTTATTCTTCATTCCAACGAGTTGCTGGTCCAACGGCGCGCTCGACACATTTATTCCTTCAGTACTCTCACCTCGATATCAGGATCCTCCGTCGTACGTACCAGTTTCCAACTCCTGAAACATCGGCCTCGGAAAAGACTCGGATATGTATGCTCGCGAGAGGCTCCCTCGATATCGACAGGGCCTCGCGGACGACTGTGTGCAAGCGCTCTCTATGGATCCACTCGTCGGGCCCGGCGGAAAGATGACAGTTGGTTTCAAAGTTTATACATGCCAAATGGTGCCGCTGATCGGTCGTCGCTTGGTCAACTTACCAATCGAATGTGCGCCGGATGCTCATGCGTAGGCACTGTGAGGACCGTGCGGTGTTCTACCCTCAAAGGTGCAAGCACTCGGATTGCAGACGCTCGCATCGGCGAGGCAACTTTATTGGTGAGCCAATGCATGTACACCCATGAATGTATCATATTCCTCATCGACCATAATTTCATCTGTATATAGTAGCATGCCGAAGGAGACATTGGCACCGATAGACTCTGTTACGGACAATGTGTCAGTGGCCGGGCAGTTTATTGCCCCGCCATCCTGGTTGTCGGTGGGAAGTTGCGCGAAGGATGAAACGGAAGGTTGCAATTTAACAGCTATGTATCAGCACAGGTGAGTACCCGACCGTACCCATTCCCTCCCACCATGAACATATTTACCCTTATCGGCGCCTCGATGTACCCAGATTGGTGGAACCTCTCAATTCAAGGACACACATAGGATTCTGCGGTCTAAAGCTAAACGCTCTTCCTTACCTGTATTTATGTATCCGCGGGATTTTTCTCGTCGCTCGGAGGCGACTTCGCGGGTACTCTACGATTGATTTCGAACACCTCCATGGAGAAACACGTGCTTGGGAAACTCGAGCGCGACTAGAGATTATCGCGACATGAGAGTCAGCCTCGAGGTATGTATTTTTATATTAGTTTCATTGAGATATAGCCGCACTTCGCGGGCTAATCGCCATTGCAGGCATAGCTGAATTGAAAATGTCGGTATGGTACGAGAGGAGTTGACAAGTTGGACGAAGACAAGGGATCTCGCTTCACATGGACGGGTTTAATGCCTGGTCTTAGTTTGCAAACTATTCTCCATGATTACTGTGAGCGTAAATGGCATACCTGTACGCTCTGTACCATTGTGTTTATGTGTAAGAGTGAGAGTAGGAACCTGATATGTTTCATCTCGCTTATCCAACCCGCTATATGTATAGATTGCAAACGTTGAAACCTTGTTCATCTGGGTGTACTGAAGGGGTCCCGGGAGGGTGCCCGATGCCGGCAATGCCTTTTAAAGTTCACCGGCTCTTCTGCAGTCAATACGCCGCGTGAACTTGGTACTTGGTCGGTACATCGCAGAATACCAAAGAGAAGAGAAGAGAAGAGAAGAGCCCGTCTTGAAGGCGGCGTTGATCGAGATACTCACATGCACCAATCTAGTTCTACGCCCACCATAACCTTGCGAATGGTTGATAATATCGCTCGACTATCCATAGACACTCTTCTTCCACTAATATGCGGACAGATCTTGCGAGGTTATCTGGAGTGCCCTTTTTCATATGGACCCTGTGCAGTCTCGCGACCGTCGGTCCTCAGGCTGTGTTGGTCAATCAGATATTTGAGGCCTCCTGCGTTGTAATTTCCGCTTTCGCTTTGAGAGTTTGTGCTGTGGATGAGAAACTAAGGTTCGGCAGCGTGCGTGGCTAAGAACGCCGTACACATTTTCCTGTTCAATCGGGCACGATGGTATGCGGCGTTACTCCGCTCCTAAGAGTCCATAAGCTGCAAGAATGTGATTTATCATGATGAACTCGGTCCCAGTAAATGTTGTGGTACTCACTGAGTGGCGTAGGTAAGATTGCCAGATACGAAGGTGTACCATTCCGGCCTGCATCGTCTTCAACTCGTATTAACAGCGGATAGAAAGGGTCCGTTCATCTGAAATGCCGGACTGATCCTCCCTCCATGGTGAAAACGTTAGATTGCATGCGTTGAAGTCGCGGCTTTGACTGACGGCTCGTCTTCCTCCGGTTCAATCTAGATGAGGTACAAGGCTCGGATTAAGTAGCTGATCAATAGCCGGTAAGACATCGCGTTTACAGTGCATCTTCATACAGAATGTAGAGTTCTCGTGATCTGCAGATAGGCATAGAGCAACCACGGGTGCAGCAGCCGCGACCGGCCGCAAGTTTCTCGCATTATCATCCAGATCGACCGCGATATGGTAAGCGAAAATGTAGACGTACTGACTCACCGATGGGGAAACAGTCTACCATGGACCAGAAACGTCGGAGTGGGTTTGCTGCACAAGGACATGCTCGTTCGCGGCTTCTCATCTGTCGCTCATCTATATCACAAGTTAACGACACTTATAACGGGTAAACGTCGCGAAACGAAGCAGCTCTGAAGCAGGGTACACCTTGTGAGTTTGACGGTCGGAAATTGGGAGAGATTCTCCGCTCCTGACTTCTATAAGTAAATTACACCGTGGCAGATCCAACTTGGGTTTTCTTGGAACGGTATGACAAAGAACAATGGTAAATTATGTTTGTTCGAGGTCCCAGGTCGAGTCCATAGTGGCGGACCCTTGGGAACCAAGATAGTAAAAAAACCGTGGGTGGACAGTTTTGCCAGATTCTCTAGCACTAGACGTAGGCCACTGACAGAGCTGTGCAGCGCCTCGAGGATGGGAGGCAGGTGAAGGCCATAATGGAGGTATTTTGATACACGAAGATAGGTCACAGTAGGCAGCTGTCTGCCGCTGCTCGCAAAAATTGCTACCACAGCTCCTGAGTCCTGACAAAGATACTGATAGTAGGAAGATATAGATGAAGGACTGAGAATAAGAACCCGTCACCTATATATGGTGAGTTGAAGATCTATACGCATCCTCCATGTTTTACGAGGAAGAACAAGGAGGAATCTTGAGTTGCCCGTACAGTGTACCCTGTAGAAAAGCTTCTGCGGCACAGTTGCCGAGAACTGATCCTGATGGTTTCTTCATCGATGAAGAGGGTGTGGTTCTAAATAAACTTCACGGATTTCAAATCGGCCGCTTGAACGAGAAAGTAAGAAGCTGCGAAGAAGGCCATGAGTCCTTTCAAAGCCTGATCCGCGCTTCTGCGTGTGTATCGGAGTTTGTTTCTTTAATGTTACCCACAAAAGATACCGATCAGTAAGCTCCTTGGCAGCCCACGGGGTGTCCGGTACTTCACAAAAAATCTGGAGATACACACACGCCCACAGTTCAGGACATCGGCCCGCTATAATCCCGAGAGAGCAATGGAGCGCAGACAGTAAACAGACAGGTTCATGTCGTATCTGTTGACTACGACTGTCATTTCATGGACTACCTGACTCGGAGAACCCGTGCCATGCCCGCTGAAGTGAGGGTTCCAGTGGTGAAATACAAGGACACTACCTCTAAGGTCAACCTGGAAGCATAGACACAATACGCAGGGACCAGTGCCACAGGGCAAGTCTGGGTTGTCTGAAGTAGTAGCCAAAGTTGAGTACTGTTCAAGGCTCTGCCATGATGTAAAGAACAGAGTGAAATATAGAAGAACTGAGCCAGCCTTTTAACCCATACCATATACGATAAATTAATATTACTCACCTCAGCTCTACTCATGAGCCAAACTATCCAGGCGTACAGGCTTGAGATCGTACTTGGTGGCTGTGGGTTCAGACAGGAGTCGGTGCGTTCCGAGTGCTTCGGAAGTTTTCGGAAACTCGGCATTTGCCGAACACACAGTAAAGCCTCGCCACAGAGCGCACTTTGCCACAATTTTGATCCAATTTTGATGGTAGATTTTGCAGAAAGCAGCAAATTGTTGAGCATCTTGGAATGATCATGGAATAAAGCACTGTATTCGGAAATATGTGCCACCAGGTACGACGTACAGATCGACTCATGCTCATGCCAAGTTATAGGCTACTGTCCGGAAGTTACGAGTATTCTGGAGATGAAAGAGGCCGTCGAAAGTCGAGCAACATGTACAAGGACAGAACGAACTTGGAAGACAGCGACGGATCATTGCACGAATTCGGAAGAACAAGGAGGTTGCTGATTGCGGGAGAAAAAAATAAACCTTGCCACAGTGCTACGCCCCCCGCAAAAGCAGGTTTCTCGGTAAAGTAGAAAATAATAATCACAAATCGCCTGTGCATTTACCTGCCAGTAACAACCACCCACACCACCAAATAACATAATGTACAAAGGACAGCCGTGGACTTCACCCACTCTCGGCTCGAACTGACTCCCCGATCCAATAAAATGAACGCGTATGACACAATGAGTACGATGGAGACGAAAGGCGCGGAAGATTGGACAGAGTGAATGGTATCCTCCAACTGCGAATAATAACGTACACCTTCCACCGACAAAACAAAATAAGCTAGAATGAATACTACGCGCATGGCAGGCGCACGCACTGAAGCTCGGAAGATGTGGGAAAGAAGTGTCAAAGACCGTCGAACGACGATGCGACCAATGCTATAATTCAGCGAGGGAGAACGCATAGTCTGTACCGCCGACGAACCGCCCATGATGTGCGGTATCAATGGCCCACAACCAACGGATTGGTCTCGCCACATTCCCTTCCCGGCTTTCCATCATCCCTCGAACGACCTACCCAAACTCCATCACTCTAACCACAACCCAAGACACAAAGACTTCCGCCCGCGAGATATCGTACACGTTCGCCGATTATTCGAATTCCGCATGCGCCTCCATCTTCCGCTCCATCTTGACGATCACCCATCCAAAAGATCTGCTCCAAACTGATCCATGAAAACAATGCGGAACTTGCCCGCCCACTGCTGCTGCTGCCTCTCCTTCTCTTCCCTCTCTGCCTTCTCTCTCTCCCTCTCCTTCGCGTCCTTCCCCCCGTCCCTATCCTTGTCATTATCCCTCCCATCCCCCATCCTCTTCGCCAAACTCGGGTTCCCTCCGTCCCCAAACTCCCTCACCCAAGCCCTGGCCAACCCACTCTCCCAAGCATACAACTCGACCTTCCACCCTTTCTTCAACGCCGTCTTCACACACCCCAAGAACCCCTCCTCGTTAAACTGCCCCACATTCCCATCTCCCGTGGCGAGTACTATAGTCGACCCGAGCGGCGGCGTATCGACGTCCGCGATGGCCTGATGCAGTTTCAATTGAAGAAGCTCGTCGACTCCCTGCTCGCGCATCTTGACGCGACCGGTGGACGAGTTCGAATGTAAGCCAAGCTGTTGCTGTTGCTGTTGAAGCGGACCCGCGAATGGGCGATGGGGGTGCAATTGAGGTTGATGTGGACCTTGATGGCCCGTCTCGGATTCGTTCGAAGTTGAAGTCCCGCCCGCTGAGATCCTCCTGTTATGCTTCGCTGCACGGCCCTTCTTCTGCGGTATCGATTGCGTCGGGCCCTGTCCCTGATGGCTTTGCTGCTGCTGCTGATATTTCGCGAGCCTATCCGCACCATCGCCCGTATCGGGCACCCTCGCATAGACTCTGACCTCATACCCCAGCTGCTCCGCCGTGTCCATAGGTTGATAAAGAGGCGAAGACGCAGCCAAGACGCGTCGCGTGACGGGTCGGCAGCGTTCGAGGATGAGGGCGAGCGCAGAGTGCGAGAGATGTTTCGGCTGTTTGTGAAAGGAAGGAGCGTTGGAGGATCCGGAGCCTGTGCCGGTGTTGCTCGTTGAGCTGTTACGCTGGTGGCGTTGAGTAGGGTGTTGGGAGTGGAGGTGGAGGTGGTGAGGATGGCGGCGGAGATGATTTAAATAGCCAATGAGAATATTGGAACTAAATCGGTGTCGTCAATATACGATGTATATCGCAAACACGAAGACGAGGAAACTAACAAGTCTATAAAAACATGCGTCAACGGTTGACCAGCCCTCGGAGCCGGTCCCCGTGTGTCCAGAAAGCCGAAAGGAATAGAAATACTAGGAGATGCAGAGGAAGTGAAATTGTTGATATGTTGATCATTAGATAATACAGTCGAGGCGTTCAAGCGCTCCGCATCGTCCGGGAACATAGAACGAAGCTTGGCAGAGAGCAAACGCAAGCGAGCGAGTCGGGGATCGAGAGGGACGGCTAACGTTCTGAGACTGGGCGTTGATTTACTGTGGCTCAGCCTAGGATTTGACTCCACCGCGGTATTCAAACCAGCTCTGCGCTCCTTCTTCAGTTTCGGCGGAGTAGCGGGCGTGGATTTGTAGTACGGCGATGAGGTATCGAGCGAAGACGACGATTCGTCTTCCTCCTCTTCAGCGTCGAGAATGGTTGTGGCGGCGACAGCGACAGCAGCAACGGTCTCTGAGTCAGCGCCAGGTTCGCGACGCAGTATGTTGCGCACGATAGACTTCGCCTTCTTCCGCCGGCGCTTACGCCTGGCGGAGGGAGACTGATGCCATGGGCTTTCGGAGGTGGAGCTGTTGCCACGGTAGGCAGTGGAGGAGGATGCACGCTGTGCGGCTAGCTTAGCGCGCTCTGCAGCAATGAAATCGAGGGCCTCGTCGAGATAACCCAGCGACGGCCTATCGAATGGGCCATTGTCTTCGTCAACGTCTTCGTCTTCCTCCTCATCTTCCTCCTCCTCCTCGTCATGAGTATGCTCGTGCTCGTCATCTTCGTGAATGTCGTCGTCAATGAAAGGTTCGCCTTCCGTCTCGTTCTCTTCGGACGAGAGGTGCTCGGATGGGGGTAGTGAGCGTGTGCCTCTGGATGAGGCGAGTTCGCGAGAGGTGGAAGTGGAGGAGTGGGTGTAGGATAGATAGGAAGCAATAGGCTGGTGGTTCCACACGGTGGATCCTCTGTGGGTATCCGAGTCGTACTCGAGCGGGGAGAGCAAAGAGGGCGTCGTGGATGACGAAAGTGGCTGTTGCAGAAGCGGTGCCGGCGTGGCAGACACAGCGGCGGTTACGAATGGGAATTGGCGAGGCTGAAGTTCATTCAAAGCACGGAAGACTGTCGTAAATGCACCAAGATCAGGTGTCTCTATATCGGATTGTCAGTATCTTGGGGGTATGAGTTGCGGCGAAGGAGATGTGTAAATGACTACTTGCCGTCAGAGGTGGCAAGATCGCTGCTGCCTGAATGAGTGGAGAAAGGACTGAAAGGAGTTGGTGAGGCCGTTTCCGACAGTGAGCTCGCCATAATTATAAGAATTTGTTATAGAAAGCAGAATAGAAACAAAGATGAGTGGGCATGAGATGAGCGTGCAGAGCAACCAGTATGCATCCGCTGTGCGGAAAGCAGCCGACCGCGACCATATCTAATCGTCCGCCCGGCAATCCCCGGGCCACCGCCACAGACACGCATCCCACACGCCTTTCTCTCCCCACATCCGCATTTCTGACTCGCAGGATCGACTCGAAAGCTGTCGCGTCTCTCTTGGACAATCGGCGAAAGCGCACCAAGGGTACCTTCATTCTCTCAAGCGTGGTTTCTCTTAGAATACGCTCAGAGCGGCGTCTTCAAGTTGCCTAATCTACATTAAACGCCGCCTTCCGAAGGCACTCGAAATTCAACATTGATACCTTATAAAGAAGTGAAGGTGCGAGGCAGATCAAAGTCCACCAGCTGCCGCAGCTTTTCATAGTCAGGCTTGCACAGGCAACCAGTGTGGAAAGGTGCGTTCGCGTTCAAGTCTTCTGAGAAAAATGAACCTTCCTGTCGCCCGATTGCTGTCAGGTGTTCTGCCGAGATGAATTGGAGGCACGAACGTTCAACAATCTAGTACGGATGTCCATATCTCTCAACAGAGAGAAGTAAGGCTCATGCTCCGATGTGGATTACGCCGAGGTGCGCCTTCTCACAGTGAGACTGAGCTTCTCACTTTCGTGTCAAGTGGACAACGGATGTGAAATCTGGAAAGCTACCCTCACGGATTCACCAAGTTCTCCTTCACCATTTCACCTCTCCCCAGAGAGAAAGCGGCTCAGCATCTGTTGGCCGTCAACCAGTCGCACTGAGATCATCTCTGCTGACCATCCCCGTGAACGAAGATGTACCACGACAGGTTCCATCTCTATCCGATACCTTCCTATCGTCGCCATCTTTGTTTCATGTTCATAAGTTTCACAGACATGTAACTCAGGCCAGCATTGAAGATTGATGCCGCGCTATGTTCCTGAGGATACGGAATTGGTGGTGAGTGCCACTTCGGGAGAGGACACTTGTTCAGGTTGTCTGTACCAAAGCACGTCCGGAACATGCATGTTCTGCAGACCATGCAAGTAGCGGTGATCTGTGCACACCTCGATGGTTCTCTGCATTGTGGCTCGTATGAAGATGGTGTTGCAGTACAACATAGCCGTCGTCGTCTTGCCCTCAGCTTATGAGAAGACAGCTTCAGCACGTCCAGGATGTGCCTCTACTACTGTCATGTTATTTTGTCTCGCCTATTTTTTTTTGCCATAATACAGATATATGGCGTACAGGAGGAGCTGACTATCCATGTTTTTTTTTGCAGTGGTTGTCCGTGGAGCTGTGCACCTCGGGTGTATCCTCCGTCCATCCAGAACCGTCTTTTCCATTCATTTCCCGTTCTAGGTGTCTTCCTTAACGCCTCGAGCCTCGTCTTCCAGTCGCGTGTGTCTCTCAGAATGTGGTGCCAAGTATAGATCGAAGGCCGTTGAAGATACGGGCAAAGTGACCTACCCTTTCGAGCGAGTCCGACCACCCAACTCTTCGTCGTTTCCACATTAGAGTGCATCTGGAGCTCAGGTACTACGATTGCGCTGGCTGTATGGATCGTGCAAGGGATGCGAGGCGCGAAGTATGTCCACCAGCGGATTTGCACTTGAGCTCGATTTCGTTCTCTTACTCCCTTTCGGTGATACGATGTTACATTTAAACTGCGCTGATCACTGGGCGACCTAGGCGTGTTGCAGCTACAGCTCTTCTTGGTGATAGGATCAGCCGGAACACAAACGAAGCTCAGCCACACCTGAGCCAGTTCCATACACCCGCGGAAGCAAGGTAGCAAGGCCTCAAGCTCAAGGACTGTGAACTTTTGCTGCGGCAGTCAAAATCGTTAGCTTCCTCTACCTTCTTCAATTGATAGCGAACTATAAGCTCACATAGCTCTCTCTTTTTATGCATCATCTAGGCCTTCGTTCGAGGTCCTGCTTGGACATGCTCATTATAGTCTTTGCGCTATGCGCTTGACTGGCCTCGCCGAGCAATAAACTACTAAGTTATAAGTAGATCATGCCGTGGAAACTGGTGTAGTCCGCGAGATCTAGGCTGTTGGTTAGTACTTCCTCCCTAGGCTGCGTGCAAAATGCTAGTCCGGACGGGTGCCCACTTGCAAAGCAGACACTGGTACACAGTACTAACGATGGACTTAGGTCTGGATCCCACATGGTTTTTTCTCTGTCTAGATCGACATCTATGCATAGCGACAGACTTCGCAACTGCCTCGTATGCGTAGGAGTCGGATGCGAGGTGAATCTATTGCTCGTGATCGTACTGCCTCATAGCTACCTGATACAAGTTGGATAGTTATTAGTAGGAGTGCACCGATGATCCATGTGCGTATTCCGTTGTTGGCGAGTTGACTTTTTCTCTGGCGCACTATTGATATTATTTGTCGAAGGCTCTTGTGATTGAGATAAGTACAGAACGGAACGAAAGTGTGGCGTTTGTGGCGACAGAACGGTTTCTGTGTCGGAGAAACCCGGGTTCATTCAAATTGAAGACATCCGAATCAGGACTTCGCCTTCGCAGGTCTAGCGGCGACACAACATGTTATGAGACCGGTATACATATATTTCCTACATTTTCTTTCGTTCTCTGGTGGCTCACCCAATTCCGACTCGTCGATGACTTGGGCTTTTTTGCCTTCGGCCTCGACCTCCACTGAAATTTCGACCCCAGGCACATCCTCATCATCCTCTAAGTCTCCTTCCTCACTGATCTCTCCGTCGCTATCCCTCGAGTGCTCCTCCGATCTGAGTACGAGTCTATCTCTCCCTTAAACAAGTCCGGTCCTTCCAATCTCTTCATGCTCACATCCACGCTCCAGCATGTCACGGAATCCTCCGTCTTCCTTATCATAAACATCTCATCCGATGCCGCACAGCTCTTCTTCTATCCGTTAACCTAACTACTCAGTGGCTTTTTACCTATGCAACCTTGAAAGTCGTCGTATATATCGTGAACCCCAATACCGTGTTCGCCACCTTCTGCGAGGTCTTCTCCAACACCTTCAAGCTTCTAAGCGCGCGGCTCGGTTCGGTGAGATCAGGGTGGAATGGTACACCACTGACCGTAGTGGTTCTTGAGGTTCTGGCGAATCCAACATTTCTGAATCTTCGGGATATCGAAGGGTTTCGACGACATAGATGTGTGGGCTCATAATCAGGTCGGTAACCACTTTGGTGAGAGTATGATACGCATTTTGGTCGAATAATTGACTGCAGGTCTAATAATATTTTGAGTACGCATAACGGTGGAAACGCATCAATAATATGAAGCACTCGCCTTCGAAACGCAGTGAAAGGAGGATTCACTGGAGAAACTCGACGCCCGCAGAGCGGTCTGCTTCTGATCAAAATCAACATCTACATTTTGCGAATAATCCTCTCACGATCTGGCGCCGTGGCGTCTACTTCTCTGCAGAGTATGTCAGGTGGCGAATTAGTGGCGGGCCTTCGAATATTTGTGCTCACCACAGATCTGGAGGCAATGCTACGTCATGCCTAACGCACATCCCTCTGAGAGCTTTTGATCTACTACTCACCCATGTATCACTCCCGCCAATGCGACAGAGTTCGACACTCTCCATCCTCCCAAAAATCGATGTGCTTCCTCACTGTTATGTGTCGCTTCCGATGCAGAACTTGTGTATCGTTCCTTTACCATACATTTTACAGAAGACTACCAGGAAATAGCTAGATCTACATACACACAGCGAAAGCATATATACCGAGTAGAAGATAATAGTACAAAAGACCAAACATTCAACGTTGTCTCTACATCCTTCTCCTCGTCCTGTTCGGCATGCGCAGCTTTATCGAGTTTCTTGCGCTATGCGGAAGACCGAGACACAGCAAAATAAGTGTTCCCGAAGGGCGAGCGATCTATCGCCCAGCAGCCCCATAATCCGCAAAGCTCATCTTCTTCGGGCTAGGCGTCAGAGGGATCTCCTCGCTATCCAGTCCCCTCCCTGCAGCACCCGTACCCGCACTGAACCACGCATTCCCACCACTTCCGTTGACCATATCGTCCGTGTAATCATCGTCTCCAGGTATGGCAAGGTCTTCTTGAGCCCAACGAAGGAGTTTGGATTCGCCGATGGTGTTGAAAGTGGCGTAGCGAGAGCGGCGGAGACGACGTACGACGGGAGTGAGAGCAGGAGAGAGGAGGCGACGAAGGAGAGGTGGTGGGTGGAGGACTAGGTAGGTGAGCAAAAGGAACGCAGCCCTGGCGAGGTCGGCCCAACATATACATTAGTTGCTCATCCAGATAATGATAGACAGACATAAAAGGATGGCGAAATAGCTGTGCAGATCACTCACAGTATACTAAGCGCGATGCTGGTCGTGGAACGAGACGGGAAGAGGGACATATCCGGAGGAAGAAGCTCCTCGGGGGTATCAATATCGGCGGGAGGCGCATCAGGCTTGTCAGGATGCTGTGGTCCTGTCCTTCCTCCAGAGTTGCTTTTGTGCAGGTGGGAGCAGGCATGGGAGGTAGTCCAGGTGAAGAAGTGGGTGCCTCTGAATGTCATAGAGAAGCGTGGGTCGGACTGCGGACATGTTAGAACGGAAGTCGTTAAGCAAAGTAGAATTGGGCATGAATAGGTTGGGATATAATATGGGTAGGCGGAAAGTCTTACCTCTTCGACCGTGTCATTGCACCTGAGATTGATCAATGCTCGTTGTGGCTCGTTGACGTAGGATCCGCCCTGCATACGGATCCATAATGGTGGTACTACAGGAATAGAACAGGCGTTCTGTCAGCCATGTTGGCAAGAATAAACAAAGGCACCGACGAACGATCATCATCAGGTCGCTGAGACCATGATTGGCCGAATTGGGCGAACACCCCAAATTGTTCCTCTTGATTCTTGTTCTCCTCAATGTCACCTACGACAGGAACGACCGAAAGGATCCTTGGCGCTTCCGAGCGGTGGTCCGGTCGAGTATTTATTGCTGGGAACGCAGTTCGCTGGTAAGCCTCACTAACAAATGGTCAAATAGAAATCTGGATAGCGCACTTGTCTTGCAGACCCATGTACCCGGAGGGCACTATTCACCGCAATAATAAGCGCATGACAATGGAAGTATGATGATCTAGCAAGATGTGTAAATAGACGCACCTGTTCGTGCTCTGGTAGAGTTTTGTCCACCTTCAGCGGTCCTGCCAGGCTCATCTTGTAGACCGTCTTCGTCACTGTGGGTGGCGTCTGCTCCTCCCATTCAAGCTGCTTGAACCTTGACTTCCAATCTCCCTCGAAGAGCGGACAAAGCTTGAAGTGATGACCTCCGATCTTGAAATCGCAGGTCTTGACGAGCGATTCTTCTAGCTGGACGGCATTGTGCTTTGAATGATCTGGTTCTGAGCCTGCTGCGAGAGTCAGTGCGATTGCAGTAGCGAGCTGAACGATGCCCGCAAGTCTGAGGGGTCGGGCAAGCAACATGGTGGAAGAGGAGAACAAGAGAAAGTTGGGTATATTTTTGCGAATACGCAGGGAGCCATGATACTCAGCTGCTCCTTGCTATTTCCCGATAGACAAGCTATCCTCGTTCGGTCTCAGGCTATTTCCGCCGTTGTGGAGATCCTTAGCGGCCCGTTCACCACGTGTCCCGATGGGTAGGCCCTGACTCCGCTTCGAATTTCTTGTTCATTTCTACAACATGGAGGCCGATAGCAACTCTCCAGTCTCGAACAGTCCTCTCTGGCTTTGGGTTGTCTTGTGGTGCGAAATCGTCTTTCCATTATGTTGTACGACTTCAACTTGTGGTGAGGACGTGCCGCTCGGCCTCTTATCTACGTTTTCCCGAAAACTGCTTCTCCGTATGTCATCGCTCGTCCTTGAACTCTCATGGATTGATGCATGGTCTGCATGGGGCCCTATGGCTCCCTTTAGACATTCTGGAGCCTCGAAATACCCACACGGGACCAGTTGTCCAGTTTGCCTAAAGGAGAGATGTTGGAATCGCCGAATGGTAAACCAAATTTGTTCCATGATGCCAGTCCCAAATAGTAGCGGCTTGAAGCATATTGCGCGTATCTGATCTGGCATAGTGCGGTGGCACCAGTAGAATGACAATGTTTGGACTAGGTACAAGCATCATCTTCCGGCGTCTTTGTTGACCATAATAGGCTACCTGCCTACCTTTATGAAGGCACCCTCAGGGTGTGGTCTTGAAGCCATGTATACTGTCCATAGCATCGCGTCCAAACTATTGACCCAGAATATTGCTGTTTTTTTTCCTAACCAGACTCTTATGACGACTTACGTCCAAGCAGGCTTGCAAAGACTGATAGCGTCTCCTGGCGTCTCTCTTCCATCGACGCGTCCACATTTTCTGTGCGGCATGCGTCTACAGTTCTCGAGGTCTTCTTTTGGTCATATCGCATTTCGTCAAGGATCGACATTCACTCATCATCTGACGCCACCGCACCGAATAGTGACTGGAGATCGGCCTGTTCTACCTCTCGAGCTCATACTTCTCCTCACTGGCAAGGTCTGCCAAGGCCTGATTTCCAACACCACTGTTATGTACCTCTTCGAATCCTCGTGCTTTTCGCTGAAGAGTGCCTACATGGCGTAAAGCGGACCTCTCACCAGACACATTCCGACGGCCCGCCGACCAACTTATCTCTGAGAAGGTCCTACTACATACTTTCATCGGTATTCGTGACCAGTTGGGCTCTATAAAACCTAGCACACATGCGGCTGCGCTGACGAATGAATATTCCCTTTTTTTTGTCGACCTGACCTCTTCGATTGCGACCAAGCTATGGTGGCACCGACTATGACAGCGAACAGTGCAGCATTAGATGGTGTTGACTTGAAGTGGTTGGACGAAAAGGCCCCCAGCACTACTATCACTGGAACTTCCTTCGGCATTCCTTGGCCTCAAGGCTCCGTGGACAAGACAACTTCGATCGCCATCAACTCTTCGGATGGCTCAGGTATACCTGTTCAGACATGGCCACTCGCATAGTACGTTCAAGATTCTCAGCGTCCGTGGTCCCGGGGAGGAACATTCACGGTGTACGATCCAATGCTGATTGATGACGTTTCCCAGTTGGCCAGATGGAAGTCTGAAGTGGACCGGTCATGCTTTGGCGGCGAGCGAGAACTTGGTGGACACGTTCCACCTATCAGTCGACACGCCTACCGAACCCGCTGTGCCGGTCGATGTGACACAAACCTCCGATCAGATTACGGTGACCACCGGATCGTTCACAGGTACCTGCAGTCTTATGCTTGAGACCCTGGCACAATGCTCACGAGTTTCTTTTAAGCCGTGTTCAACACTTCCGGCACTATCATCATCGATAGCCTTTCTCTGGATGGCAGCACAAAAGCTCAAGCAGGACAACTCGTGGTACACGTCCAGAATGGGCCTGACGAACTAGAGCTCGAAGGTCTCCGTCCCTCGGCTGTCGCAACGACTGGGACCATCGACACCGTGACCGTAGAGCAGGATGGCCCGGTAAGGGCCGTGATCAAGGTTCGAGTCCCATATAACATCGTATAATTCGCTCGAGTTATGCTGATCACCGCGCGGAATAGGTTACTGGAAAGTATGAGGGCGGAGGCCATGCTGCGTTTTTACCATTCACAGTCAGGTTCTACATCTCGGCTGGCGCCACAGCGGTGCGAATGGTACACTTCTTCATCTACGATGGCGATCAGTTCAACGACTTCATTAAAGGAATAGTGAGATTTTTTTTTCTTATACTCGGGACGTGCATTCACCCCACTCATGCACGACTCGCAGGGTCTCACATTCTCTACGCCACTCTCTGACGAGCTCTACAACCGCCACATCCGCTTCGTTACTGCCAAAGGGGGTATCTGGGGCGAACCTGTCCGTGTTCTCTCCGGTCTTCGTGTCGACGCCACTTCCGCTGTGCTCACACCCCAATTCGAAGGAACCGCCACACCCGACATTTCCACTTGGCCCACCACCGTCACTTCCGGTATTGACGACCTTGCCATCTGGAATGACTTCACGCTGGATCAACTGTCGCCTACGAGGTGGACTGTGGCAAAAAGGACTACGGCGGGAAGTGCCGCGAGTTGGCTGTCGAATGCTGGGTTTGGAGAGAAGGCGGCGGGGGTGGGATACCTTGGGGGTGCCACGGGTGGTGGAGTTACATTTGCGGCGAGGAACTTTTGGGAGGGCGCGCCAAGAGGGATTGATATTAGGGGCGCAGGAGGCGATACGGCCACAGTGACGATTTGGGCATACAGCCCCAGAGTGAGTCTGCGACTGTTTGCTTCTGGTCATTCACACTGATGGACTTCTCATAACGATAGGCGGTGGCTATGGACTTGCGTGGCTATGATACGACGTCGCATGGAGTAAGCTACCTTATTTTTCTGTGGAATTACTCATGGACGTGACGTGCGCTCCTCAGCTGGATTTGACATATGAGGACGTTGGAGATCCCGACCCAAATCCCATTGGGATAGGCAGGTGAGTTGACCCTCTAACGAAACTGTACAATACAAAGTTGGGCCACTGTGGTTGACTTTATCTCGTTCTTTACCACAGGTCATACGAGCTTACACTCCAAGTGGAGTCTGCAACACCATCCCGGGCCGCGCTGGCAGACTTTGCCTCGGTCATCGTGCGTCTTCTGCCTTCCAGCCAGCCAAAATCGGCGAATACTTACTTTTTATTAGACGGCCGTCCCGCAAGTCGTGGCGTCGCCAGAATTCTACGCCTCTCGGCATCTTTTTGGGGGACGATGGTGAATTTCGCGCTTCGACTGGCAGGCATACAAGGTGGATGCTCAACGTGATGTTTTTACCTTGAAGGAGCGTGCCGGATACATCGTCGTCTGGCCTCGCCACAATAGAGCAGCAGAAGTCGGACATACTCGACTTCTATATCAAAGTCAGTCTGGTCAATAGAGGCTTCGGCTACCTAAATCGGGTTGGATCACTGACCCTTCTTTTTTGGACAGGAAATTGACCAACGCCAGTTCTACGGGTTTTGGGACTACGGCGACTTCATGCATACTTATGGTCAGCACTAATAGCCTCTTGCATAGGGTATCCCACCTGCTCAACTGTTAAACTTCATAATTAGATCAAACACGTCATACTTGGAGATATGATGTCGGGGGCTATGTAAGTTTTGTCCCACCAATCTCTAACGCTGTGCCCGAGTTGAACATGGCAAATGCAGGCCTGGGATAACGGAGAACTCGGTTAGTTCATTTTGTGGCCGTTGTAGCAGTTCAAGGCTCTCACAGTTTAACAAAAATATTGCAGGAAGCGACGTATGGCTATGGTTGTCGTTCCTCCGGACGGGACGTGCAGACGTATTTCGTCTAGCGTATGCGCTAACGCGCCACCTTTCGGAGGTCGACTTCCATCACACTGGACCATTCGCAGGTCTTGGATCTCGTCATCACGGTACACTGCTTATAACTACGTCGCTGGGCTGGATGACTAACCTGATATGTGATTCGATCTGTAGTCACGCATTGGGGTGGTGCTGCCAAGGAAGCTCGGGTCAGCAGCAGTACCATCAAGCGGCCATTCTACTACCTAACTGGTACGCCCTCTGCGACTTTCAAGCTGCATGGCATATTGACTGATTTCCATGCAGCGGACGAGTTAATTGGCGACATCATGGAATACTCACTCCAAGCAGACCAGACTCTCCTTCCATGGGAGCCACTTCGAAAAGTTGCAGCTTTGCCTTCTCAAGCTCCCAGTCGTGTCCGAATTGGGCCCGACTGGACGGCTCTGTCCGGAAACTGGTTCACACAATGGGAGAGGACGAACGATAGCCAGTGGAAGGATAAAATTGTTACCGGGATGGTGCACAGGTTTTCCACCATCACTACCGCTATCTTTCACTGACTTTATTGTACACGGTAGACCGATATTGCTAACATGAAATACGGTCTGTTCTCGGGTCCGCTAGGAGGCGCTGTTGGTTGGTTTCCAGATACAGCCCATCTGGTAGATGAAGGTGGTGAAGGAGAGAATACGTACGTTGTTCTCTGTACAAACTGTTTCTCTGAGCCTCACTTACCCTCGTTCTCCTGCACACAGGTACCACCTGGCCTACATTTTCGGAGGTGGCGAGTTCTTCATAGAGCTCGTAGAAACCATCACGGAAGTGCCTGCATTTGACTCCGCCTGGATTGACTTCTGCAAGTACTACAATGCGTCGGATGATGTGTGAGTTTTCAGTGTCGAAGCGGAGAATAGCCGGTTGACGTGTCCTTTCACTAGCCAAATCGCAAGATACGGAAAGAAACTGAGTATCAGGACCTACCCACAGGTTAGTATATGTTCTCCAGACATCTTTCTCTGTCGTAGCGACTTGCTGAAGAGCTTTGCGAACCAGTGGTATGCCAAATTGACCGCCTATGCAGGTCCGTCACACCACGCACAAGCGGATGAGACGCGTTGATTGTTGATTCTGTGGTATAGGAGAACGCTTGAACGATGACACCCTGAAGCAGCAAGCGTGGACCATCCTTAACGACAATACTACTGGCGTGTGGCCACCGGCAAGCCAAGTCGGAGGAACCGATGTTCCTAACCCAGTCACGGAGGTGAGCAGTCTCATGTATCATTATAATACAAAGCTGTGGATACCAGGATACGACCGATGACTATACTTGATGTTAGATTGTCGACCTTGCGACGAATGACACTGCAGCACTCTCGGTATCTCAATATGCAGTGCTTGCCATCGCACCCGAGTTTGCGCCAAACTCTTTCGTACCTCAGGATTCGATAACGGAGTCCCTGGCCGAGACATCTACCGTAGCGTCACTCAGAGCCTCATCGCCCCTTGACGAAAAGAGCACGAGAAAAATAAAGATAGATAACGCGGAACGTAAGGAGAAGAAGAGCGGCGCGTGGAAAAGGCTATTATGCTTGAAGTAACGTATTTCGGTATGTTGTACTGTGTCACTTTGCCTTGGAGATGTAGGATAGAACGTCTCCCTCGCAAGAGTCGTCATGAATTTGATGCGCCACACGAGGAAAGAACCGCTGTACTTCCTCTCGAGCACCATCATGTCTCTTCCAGACACATCCTCAGGAAGCGAAATGAGGTTCTGTCTGAGTCCCAAAATCGACAGGCAATCAGGTGGCGAGCATATAAACAAGCGGTAAAGAAAGTTATATTAATTCGGACGGTAGCGTACACATATCTTAACCCCATGCAGCTGTTGTACTATTCCATAGGCGTCAACGTGAGTCTGGGGAGTTTTGCAAGTGCAACTAACCTATAATTAACGATAAGATGCCCGTCCGTAGCGAACGACTGATGTGACACCATCGCCACACAAACGCCAAAAAGTGATATATTGAGCATTCCACTCTGACATCACGTCCCCGAAGACGTACCTTGTATAGATTTGCGACAGTGTCGTCAGGCGCAGGCGAAAATGCTAGATTGATATAAGTGAACTATATCCCCAACATAGCGATCAGCGTGTTGATGTGGTCGTGAGAACTGAGATCAAAAGGGAGAGGAAAATAGAGAGACATAGACATACTAGAGGCTCGCTAGTCTTATATCCCAGTTCTTTCTTCAGAAACTGTATCACAGCTTGAAAGCGGTTCGACACGGTCACTTTAAAGAAGTTCTGTTTCATGATCGGCGCATTCCCAACCGCCTTGAAACGTACCACCACTGCCAAATCATAAATAGTTCAATTCGCCTACATAGAAAATTAGCGCAATGGGAGGAGCTCGCACACCTTTGGACGGGTCTTTCTTTCTGTACGTTTCGAGGGCTTCTAGAGCCTCAATATCGGCTCCCAAGTCAGGACCAGCCCATTGAGAAAGACCAGGATGGACATCTGGACTTCCGGGCAGCATGTAACTCCAGCTAATTGGAACTTCACTTATGCGGCAGGGTAGCGAAGCTACTGGAGGGGTGCTGTGGTGGTAGTTGAGGTAAAGGGTAGGTTACGCCGCAGGGGACCGTAACGAGCGCCAATAATCTCGGCAGACGGCCCGCTCATTTCATACTTTTGCCACCGCCACACACAGTACAGACTCCACGAGATAAGTACACTGGATTCCTCGCCAGTGTCGTCCAATACATTTTCGAGGCTCCTTCGTTACAGTATTTGTAGGCTCATGAATACTTTAATACTAGCGTTATTGTTTTCGATTATGGTAAACGTCCGATCGTCCGAAGAATTCCCCTTCAACACCTAGAACCCGTTAACTTGAATTTACTTGCTCGTATGGCTTTAGGCAGCGCAGTAGTAAAGCGCACTATCATCAAGGTGATAATCAGTCATCATTTTGTGAGTCAAAGATAGGGCAGGGCACTTACATCCCGAGATCGGCTGACCCACAACTTGTGTTGGCAGCATTGTCGCCCTCGTCACCGACTGGGTAGGCTTGAGAGGCATCACACCCGGATGTGAAGCAAGTCTTGGTCAGACATCCCGTGTTGGAGGGATAGGGAACAGCCATCTGGCCACGCGCTATGATAAAAGTATTATGAATAAGCAGAGACCCGGTCCAAGATTTGTGATGACATACTGAAGCCCTGGATGTTAGAGAGATCATAGCTTTGATCTGTCGCACTGTCTCCGTTGTCGAAGCTAGACGAACGAAAGAAAATCGGTCAGACGCTATGCGACATGGCCATGAATTAGTTAATGCCACTTACTTATACTCCAACAGGCTGCAGTCCCAACCATCGGAACCACATCCACCGCTGTATGAATCGAAAATACGACCAACAAAGTTGTTGGGAAGCTTGAAGATGGCCGAACCTCCGGCGCCGATTGTTTGACTCCAAGGACCACCGTAAGTACTTGTCTGGCCGCAGCGTGAGGCGCTATAGGTGCAGGACGTGTCGACGACAGTGGGGTTGACCGTGGAACCGCAATTGTTCACGACAGTGATCCAATGATCTGCGAGACTGGAGGTGACGGCGAAGGCGAGGAGACCGAAAGTAATGGAGGATATCTTGGAGAACATCTTGGACTGACGAAAGGTTGTGTACAAAGGTTTAGAAAGCGCAGAGACTAGAAGGCGGAGACGATGTCTTGCTTGAACGAAAGGCGTCCAATACAACGGACTTTTATATGGGATATGCCATTTGAGGCTGGACCGCTCGCAGGATCGAGCTCTGTCGGGAATGAGGATCCAAAGTGCCTAATCATGCGCTTTTCGAGGCACAGTGACACAATTCGTGAACACATTACAGGCCTCCATCAAGGTCGTACACGGAGAAAGCAAAACGTCTGCTGGATCAGGTCAAAATTAACCGCATGGACAGCAAGATCACAGAGGTGAATCTGCTGGTTTTTTCCGTACGAAATCAGAAGGAACCATCACCCACCATTATTTAAAACGAAAAGTCGAGATAGGACCGCCTTTACGAGGGTGAGTAGCAATCAAAACGCAAAGCTGTCATCATACACAGAAAGTCATGCGATTGAGTCAAGGCCTAGCTTCGAATCTAGCTATGTGGGTAATACGAGATAAATTACCTGGATCAGCAAAAGATAACCCAACTAGAGGTTGGACAGTCGCGTACCATATGCTCAATACGTCCCAGACATCACCCCATCAAAAGCCATGACCTTTCCACAGGATCATACGCCCTGACAGCAGCATGCCGCACGAAACGTAGTGCACAAGGGATGTGGATGTTCAGACAGAGGCACATAATGCGTGAACCCAGGCTGCGAGGAGAAAACTAGGAGACAATTTAGATGGAGTGCCTGAGTTAGTATTCGATATCTTCACTAGATGGTTTCGTGGGTGGTAGGGCTTACAAGTTCCATAATTTTGGTTGTTGATGTCCATCGCTCCCGAGATCTTCCGGGTACGATGAAGGGAGGTACTGGCGCTCCCCGGTGTACACAATGGGTCAATAGCAAAGATATCACGGTCTTAAAACACCGTCAAGACATTGATGCCAGCAGTCACCTCTCCTAGTCAAACCTGATAGGTTGACCCGAGCATGATCAGGGCCTATGCAGAGAAGGAGATGGAATCCACCCGCCACACATTGATAGCGCAAAAACACAGCAAATAGATATAGAAGAGAGGAAATAAGAATAGACGATATCTCGTGTATATCAACGGTGTTTCGACTTCTGAGAAGTGCAAACAGATGGTCAGTTATGCAGGCGTTGAAGAGTCTAGATCAGTTCGAGATACAGTGTCAACGAAAGTCTCTGGAGGATATGAGTATAGTCAGGGTGCCACAGTGAAAGTGTATGCAGTTATAGGAATATCGATATCAGTCATGCGATAAAAGGTCTTTCAAAATTGGACGCCCTCTAAGAAGGCCTTCGCTAACCGGGCCGGTTCTGATTTTCTTGACTGGGCCTCCAGAATCGTAATTCGAACGGCCACGCTTAGTAGGCGTTCCAGACGGTGATGAGGCGTGTAACAGATGTGCGTCCGGTGGCAGCTTCAGAATCCAGTCACGTTCTTGCATCAAGTCGAAGAATGAAGCTAGCAAAGGAGTACCCATCAAAGTGGTCCGAGAGCCGACGATGATGAGCTTCGAGCGCGCCCGAGTAAAAGCAACGTTCATGCGTCGCCAGTCTTTAATAAGTTCTCCCAGCTACAGAAGACCGGTGCCGCGTCAGTATGTGGGTACTTACGAGACATTGATCGAAGTAACTCACCTGTCCATCGTCGCTCGAGCGCACCATAGAAATAATGATACACTCCTTGTCTCGTCCTTGACTACGGTCCGCCGTCATGATCTCAAGATCGGTATACCCCTCCTGTTTGTGCAGAAGGTGGGAGAGCAACTTGATCTGTTGTCGGTAAGGGGTGATGACTGCTAGCTGGTCTTGTCGTACCCCGCACTGAACAAATGTATTGACGATCTGGTGGACGAGAGTGCCCTCGACTTCGTTCTGGACAAGGTCACCAATGCGGGAGTCTCTGGCCGGAACGGCGTCTGTATCGACGAAAACGGCCTTGGTGCTAGAAGACGATATAATATTAATCAAGGCAAATTGGCAAGTACCAAGGGAGCGCTGGCACGTACCTCTCGTCCATTAGCTTTTCCAGCCAACATCCCTTGTCATCACAGGAAGAGCCGAGTGAACTAGTGGGCGATGGCGATGGCGAAGGCGATGAAGCAGTGGAGGACCGCAAGGACGTGGCGGGAGAACTTTTGTGCAGAGACGCCAGAGGCTTCCGGTCGGGCAAGACGAGGTTTTGTTGGGCGACTGCCATTGAACCACAGCTGAGCCTATTATTGTAGACGAGGCGGTTAGATAGCATCATGATGTCTTCATTCATGCGGTATTGCTCCGTCAGGTCTGCAACTGCCTTGGGGTGTGCTTCTGACAATCGACGGAAGAGGGACACATCCAGACCGCCTTTACGAGCTTCACGCGTGCGAACCTAGAGAATTAAGACAAGTGAGTAAAATGGAGACGGCTCAAAGACAAGTAAGACGCACGAGAGGAGGAAGTTGGTAGTGATCGCCAACCAGAATAAACTTCTCCGCAAAGCGAAGAGGGCCAAGGCATGTTGGAAGAGTAATCTGTGAGGCTTCGTCGACGATGCAATAATCGAAAGTACGGCGGGAGAATAACTCGCTACAAGGTAGCATGAGCTGATGAGCGATAGAATACAGATGGCGGGCTTACTGGTCGAGAGACAGAGCGGTAGTCGCCACAACAGGTGGTGTCATAAGTTGCTGCTCCAGTTGTTCGATCGTCTCCGGCTGTTTCCTCGCCTCTAGAGAGAACTCGAATACCTCCGGGTGAATCTATAGCAGTTCAGGATTAGTCTAATATCTCGTCTCGTATGCCCAAGTTGAAGATGAACTCGCCTTATCTGGATTTCCCACCCTCAAGACTCCGAAGCTAGCCCCCTTCAACTTCCTCAAGGTCGTGTCCACAGCTGAGTGTGTATAAGAGGTCAACAGAACGGTTTTACCCATCTCCGCCAATATTCTAATCAGCGCTGCTACCACGGTCGTCTTGCCTGTTCCCGGCATCCCGAGAATCAGAGCATAATCCTGCGCACAAAGCGCCCTCTCGATAGCGTTGACTTGACTCTTGTTCATAGCCGAAAGTAAGAATCGACAGAGACGGTTTGCGTGAGTTTTTGCCAATAAAGGGGAGGTGTCAGCCGGATCGTCAAAACGCGGAGCTTCGAGGTCGACGATGAGTCTCAAACGCTCCGTATCACCACCAGCATAGAACAGTTGGGCGAGGTTCTCCCGTATACGTCCCATACCTCCACTGAGCTCGTCCTTGTCGATCCTGAATACCAGCTCCGTATTTCCCCCCTTTCCCCTCGCTTCCCGGACAGAACGTCTTGTTCTCAGGCGCTCTTGGATGGTTGACGGCTTGATCTCATGGTCGACGCCGACAATGACTTCGTCCGGAGAGAGATCGAGAATAAAGCCACGACTGAGGGAGATAAGGTCGGGTTCTATCGAGATGGCAACGGCGTCACCGATGCCGAGGTGTCCACTGAGTAAACTTTCGCCCGCGATGTCGTATAAGTTTGATGAAGCAGCTGAGCGGCAAAACGTATACGTGAACTGGTGAATACCTCGAGCTCTCCGGGTCCTTTCGGATTCAGACTTCGGGAGCGAGAAAGGTGAGGCTGCAGTCGGTGTGGGCTGTAGGACCATGTTGGCGAAACATCTGCCCTTTTGTTCGCGCTCTTGAGCGCCCATGGTCCACAATTCCTTGCGGAAGCGGACCATGTCGTGCTCTTCGATGGAGATGAGACGTTCCCAGTCCTTGAAGAAGGATAACTGCGGTGGCGTAAGATGACCGGTCTTCATCTCGTATATGTCCGCGATTGGTGAAGTAGTGTCTTCGACGTTGTCTACGGCCTATAATTGTCAAATGGAAAGAGGGCAATTTCAACACATTTTGCCAAATAAAGCAGCAGAAATAGTTGGACGGACGTACTTTCCGGTATAGCATGCAGGCATCCAGAGCAAAACATCTACCACATATCCTCTCATCGTCAATTGTCTCCGGAAGGAAATGCTCCTCGCTTTCCCTGACGTCCCCCTCAGGTCGAGAGCTATCGGCAATAGTAGTAGCATCGGTATCCTGTCGGGGCTTCTTCCGGAACCTCCGGACCATAGCCTCTGCTATGTTATTCCTGACCTGTACTAATGCCTTGATCTCTTTGGGCGCGGCCGGAACACTGATGACCTCCTCGCTCTGGGTATAGTACAACAGCCCTTCCTCGACAGGCGCGTTGTACCGCTCGCTCATCAGCAAAGTATAGAGCATTGTCTGGGCACGATGCTCCATCCCCGCCACGGCGCGGCCGGTCTTCAGTTCCAGAGGCAAAGGACGAGAAGGTGGCGAAGGACCACCGAATAAGGAGGGTATGGTGGGCATGCGAGAAGCTGGGTTATTGGTCGTGATAGTCCCTTGGACAGAAGCGTCGAGCTTGCCTTTCAGGCCGTAAGTGGGCGACCAGATATCTTCTTCGACGTCGTGAAGTCGCGAGAGCCCAAGGAAAGATATTTCACCGCGTTGAGCGCGTGTATTGGCCAAAATAGCTTCTGACTAGAAGTTAATCTTGTCAGTAATCATTTACAACTGAACAAAGACGACCCGAACTTTTGGCTTCTCACTCATGTACCTCTTCCCAAAAGTCTCAACCCCCTTCGCCCGTAACATAATATCTTTCCTCGCCGTTTGGACACCGACGCCAACCCGAAACAACTCTCCAAAGCTGTCTCCCAGGACCTCGTCCACTTGCTCACCAATCCACTTCGCGTCCCATCTATTATTGAGCAGACATTTTTGGAACACTTCGTGGAGAATGTTTCCATAGACGAGGACTGGAGTGGCGGGAGAGGAGTTTCGTAACATCGACGAGAGAATAGGCCGGCGGATGCAATGCGGCGCGGAGGAGAGTGCGGTCGGCGTTAGCAATAAGTCCGGGTGGTGGATCAGAAGGGATGTCGAAGATGAAGTTAGATCGATTGACTCCGTGTCCGTAGATACGTTAACGTAGAAGGCCCCGATTATGTTGATTATGTCGCCTGGTGGAGATATTCTCTATGAGGCTTAGATACACTGGCTAGGGCACGAACTTACCAGATGTTATCTCGGTGTTCACCCAATCGTCGTGTAATCTTACAATTCGAGTTTCACCATTAGGATCTGTTTCGACACGTAACACCTGATCAAGGAGTATAAGCATAGGGATATTACATAACAAGAGATCATTTCTCGATAGAATCCCTTGGCGGGACAGTTGCCTCCTTGTACCATTCTGCCAGAGCAGACTCCGGCGGACTGTCCGCACAAGTACCCACATATGGCGTGAACGAGCGACAGAGAAGAGACACAACATCCGGACATTGATTCGGAACATGTCGAACGTGAGGTTTGACAGCAACTAAGAGCACATCTCGGGTCTCCTGTGTGTGCTACAGGTATGTAGGCCACACTCACAGAAAGATACTATGCCAGTAGAGCCACGTAGTAGGTTTCGCGGTGCATCAATGAGAGTTGGAGGGCTACGCGGGGTATACTGCCGCAAAACCAACTGTCTGTCGGGGGAGCGCATGCACCGATCTTGTGAGATCAACACCTACTTTACGAGCTTTGTGGCCATCCTGATGTTCTTCAATCGAAATGACAGTACACCGTGTACACGGCGGCCTATCAAAGATCGGCGGTTCTTCTGGTTTCGGCATTATTGGCTCCTGGAAATGGAGCATCGTAAGTAGGGTGCGATAGGAGCCTCAGCGTCCCCAAGATATGGAAACATCGTGCCGACAAACCTTCTGCTTTGATGTCTGAGGTTTTTGTGGCGTCGGAACGTAATCAGAAACAGCATCCCAATCCCAACCGGCGAGCTCTTCGTCTATATTGACATCGTCGGCGATATGAACAATCTCATTCTCCGAGTCTTTGACGTCCTTAAGAGGCGTTTTCAGAGCCTTCGCTCTCGAGGGCACCTTTTGTCGTTTAGGTTTTGTAGGCGTCCTAGGGATTTGGCGGTTGGGTGACGAGACAAGAGGTACTACATGGTCACTAGATGTTCGGGGTCGGACAGGAGATTTGGGGAAAGTGGGATGTTGAGTTGCATCAAGGGTCGTGAAGAGGTCATTCATAAACGCATCTTCTTCTTGGATGGAGTGTTTCGTTGGCGGCATTTGTTCGAGACCAGAATGAGAAGATAATAGAGGAAAAGCAGAGTTCAAACGACCATCCCAAGTTACGCGTCGAGCTGAGATCGCCGTCGCGTCACGGCGCGGTTGTGGCTTATGTTCAATCTCCGCTCAAATTATATACTGCACGTGGAGGCGTGTATACATGTGGCGGTGGCGTGAGCGGAGAGTCTTCACTTGCTGAGGCTTCCATCTTGAGATTCATGGACCTTGCCTTTGAGCCAGCGTGTTACTTCCACCCTCACTTTTGGTGAAGGCTGTCATGTGTTCAACATCGTTTTATTCAACACATGTCGGGGCTGGGAGTCTTATGGTACGAGCCTCCATTATGCTGTTCGGTTCAACCCCTTGGAACCCGAGCTGAGAAAAGATTACCACAGTCGCTCTTGCAATTGAGAACCATGCTGATTGCATTCTATTTCTGCAAGCTTTCTGAACGTCAGTGCATTCGCGTCCGGCTAATACGATCGGCCCTTGCGAGTCTGTGAACCTTTTGAGCTCCGATACCTTGCAAGGGTCGTGTGCCAATGGCCACACTGGGCGATACTCCCTCCGAAAAGTGACATGATTGCCATTCTCAGCAGGAGACCCGCCAGGACCAACCACAGAATGTAAAGAAATACAACTTCTTGTCGCACGGTTGCTCCCCGGCGATGTTTACTTCGGATGTGAAGATCGGAAATAGAGCGGCGACAAGGCGACGATTCATTGATATCCCAAAATATTGCGGAGGGACTTTTTAGGTTGCTGTTCGCGTTCTTCTGTTGTCTTCCTCTCCACGGGGCCCTCACTTTCGTTCATTCCGTCGTGTTGCTGGCTTTGCTCTGTGCGTAGTACGAAGGTTGGATCCAAGATGGCTACACCACAAGCACTATCATGGGATAATAAACTCGGAGCGCTACTGATCGGTGGCTTGGCCAGTGGACTGTGAGTGGGACTCTTAAACACAGGCGTGCTTGCATCTGATTATGGAACCTCTCCGTGCAGACTGTACGGGATCACTTGCACGCAGACCTATATGTACTTCGAAAAGTCATTCCGAGATCGACGTTCGTTGAAGCTGTTTGTACGTCACTCGTCTAAAATCATTCAAGTCCAAGTGTCCAGCGTATGGCCATCGTTTAGTTGACTCAACGTCCAGGTAGCCGGCCTGTGGTGCGTCGTTCGTATATCATCGCCGACAAACCGATGCAAGCTCACGCTAGCGGGCCCCAGGATGTTAGACACATTCGACTTTGTCTTGAACGGTCACCTGTTGTACCATTATCTTGTGACGAATTATACAAACCCGGCTGCTCTCGCTGAGAAGCCCGTTTGGTGAGTGCATCGTCGCATTTGCACATGGTATTGAGGTGGTCTGAACGTATGATATAGGAGTTTGCTGGCCCATGTTCTCATCACAGTAAGGCACCACCCACTCTCACTCGAAATTGGATGTTAAGTTAGATCAGTCTGTAACAGATTTCCTCGTCCGCAGCATGTTTGCTCTACGCGTTTGGCGATGTACGCGCATGCCCCCTTGATCACTCCTTCGGTATCTGACTGGTACTTCCAGTGAGCAATCAAAACATCATACTCACGACAGGGATTGTAAGTCAGGTCATCTCGGTATCTTTTTCTGATACTGAATGGTGTTGATTGTCTTAGGTTATCACGTCGCTACTGGATCTTGGTACGCGCGCCCACCTTTGGATCAATATGATGTCCCGCTGTTGTTGATGTCCTAATATGTCGGACGTTTGAAGTGGTCGGAATAAGTAAGACTGCTGCTTCGCCTCATTAGCCATGGTCGAAACTCATCCAGTCATACAGTTGTATCTGCAGAAGGGTCGGTGTCCTCTGGCCACTCTCTTCTACCTCTCTGAATTGAATGTTTTTGGTAGCTTTTCTTTAGCTTCTATGGAGGACCTCGGCAAGCTTTCTGTAAGCACACCTTTCTTCATGTCGCGCATGCGCTCTCACAGATGAGTTATTGGGCCTTATCAGGATCTGTTCTACATCAACTTTGCCGCTGGGGCGGGCTCCGACGTCTTTGTCGCTTTTGTGCTGACCTATTTCCTGGCCAAGACAAGAACGGGTGGCTCTAATACGTATGTTCCTTCATCATTCATCGCTTGGAACCCAAGCAGACAAGACTCATATTGCTTCTGGAGGCGTACGGATTCGATTGTGGACGTACTGATTTTGTATACTATCAATACCGGTGAGCAAGTCTTCTCCGCTTTTGATAACATAACAACTCACGTTCTTGTCAGGTCTGCTCACTGCGTAGGTCGTCACGGCTATTCTATGGATACGTATTCATCGAGATTGTCTACCTTCTCGTAGCATCGATGCTATGCTGGGTATGATGCTGGTACGTGACTCATCAATTTTCTATCGAAAATGGTGAGGCTAATATTATGACTACCCTGCCTAACGCAGTACATCGTTATGCCCAATAATTTCATTTTCATTGCATTTTACCTGCAACTGAGTAAACGTGCGCTACCACCCCTCAATCATGTTTTAACATTCACTCAATTCTATGATGGAACTTTTCAGTCTATGTGAACGCATACCTCGCCACGTAAGTTCTCCATTCCTTCTGTCGGTCTTCCTTGCATAGTCTCCTGATGATCACACAACCGGTACTCGTGTCTTCAGCCTCAACAACCGCGAGACTCTTCGCTCGAAAGTCAGCGGGGAGTCCTACTACAATCCAACCATCCCCACTGGCGGCGCACATGAAACCCACCATTCCCTGCCTCTCTCACCCATAAACGCGCGCACGCCTCATCAGGGCAATCCATTCCGTGAAACGCATGTCGTGTCCGCAAGGATAAGGCAAGGAAGCGATGCGTCGCGAAGCTCTGGGAGGAAGGTGTGTTTAATTTTGTTCATAGCCTAGTCAATTTGACTGAACTGTGACCGTCAGAGCTTTGAACCGATTGTGTTTACGAGAGAGGGCAGGACGATGGCAGATGATGAGGATAAGTATGGTCTGGATCCTTGAAACTGCTCGAAGGCGGAGAAAGTCCTGTACGGCGTCCATGGAGTGTGTTCTGCTGTTTTCTTTGGTGCTCTGTAGTCCTACAACTCAAATATGTTTGACGGTACTTGTCCTAGTCGCTATCGAAAGTACTCGAGTACTTACAGTACCTTACAATACTCCAATGCGGTAAGGAACTGTACAGAAAAAAATCTTACGCCACGCATGCAGCTTTCGAAAAAGCTTGGGACGGCAAGAGGTTGTGTGTGGTTTGAGCCGAGGTTGCGCCACACGGTTTACTCAGCCTTAAGCCGGAAATCGTAGTATGCTTCAATTGCTTTGTGCTGAACTCTAGTAGTCAACAACATAGTGTGTAGCCTTCGTCACGCCACCCGGGCGCTTACTAGTGCCCTGCCATCTGATTACTGTACGATTTGCTTTCTTCCACCACCACCACCACCACCGCCGCCTTCACATCCTGCTTCTACAACTTTGGCTGGCCGTTGTTCGCACGAGTCATTAACGATCCCAATCGACCTACTTGAGTAGCTCAGAAACAGTGAGATAATTGTGAATGGTCTGACAACATGTGAAAGCTAACGCGGTAAATGAAGAACGATGGCCCCAGGCGAGTCTCAAGACATAGAGACGGCCACCACGAACGTGCAGTGCGTAGTAACGCCCCAGATAACCGTTAAACTCTCATGTTGAATATTTCTTAGGGCGCAGCCAGACAACAAGACGCGTCGATACGACCGTCAACTTCGGTGAGCGCGCCTTGTGGCCGTGTCTTTACGCCACACATTCTCATCCCTCGAAAGTCTATGGGCTGCAACCGGTCAGGCTGCCCTCGAATCATCACGCATCCTCGTTCTCTCTGCATCCGCCACTTCAACATCCATACTCAAGAACCTTGTTCTACCCGGTATCGGCCACTTCACCATCCTTGACCACCAGACCGTCACCCCGGAAGACGCAGGCAATAACTTCTTCCTCGAAGGCCATGACAGTGTCGGCAAGTCACGGGCAGAGGAAGCTGTGCGGTTGCTGGGCGAGTTGAACGATGGTGTGGAGGGGGAGGCTAATACCGCGGATTTCGAGGAGTTGCTGAAGAAAGACCCGGACTACTTCACGTCGTTCTCGTTGATCATCGCGCACAACATTCGGAGGGACTTGCTAGAGGACTTGTCGAAGTTATTGTGGTCGAGTCAGGCACACCCATCGTTGATCGTGGTGAGGACGGCTGGATTCTTGACTGAGTTCTACATCCAGTACCATGAGCATGACGGTGCGTGTTTCTCGCATCCTTGGACACGGACGTACGAACTAACGTTCCTAAAATTCAGTGATCGAGAGCCACTCAGAAACAACGCCATCGCTTCGTATAGACAAACCTTTCCCTGCACTACTGGAGCACGCGACATCCATTGATTTTGACAATATGGATCCGACTGAGCACGGTCACATCCCCTACGTCATTATTCTCGTCCACGCAATGGACAAGTGGAAGAAGGTGGTGAGCTCTAATTCACTTATCAGCTTACGTCTCCGCGATATTTATCAATGGGCCCTACAGCACGACGGCAAGCCGCCACAGACATACGAAGAGAAGAAAGCGTTCAAACAGTCCATCCTCGCGATGAAGGTCAAATCGGACGAAGAAAACTTCGACGAAGCAGAGGCTCAGGCCTACCGCGCCTGGACGTCCACCGGTGTGCCCTCCGAGATCCAGTCCATCCTCACCTCCCCCAAGCTCAATCTCGACAACCTCACCCCGTCTTCCCCAATCTTTTATCACCTCCTCTCTGCGCTCAAACAATTCGCCGCCCAGCCACCCCATGTACTTCCGCTGTCCAGCACACTCCCGGACATGAAATCTGACACAGAGAACTACGTGCATCTGCAGCGATTGTACAAGGCGCGTGCAGAGCATGAAAGGGGTGTGCTCAGGGGCTTGGTGCAGATCCCGGTCGAGGATGAGTTGGTGGATGTATTCGTAAAGAATGCTCACGGGCTGAGGGTTCTGCACGGGAGACGGTGGGGAGAATTTGATAGCGACCGGGAGGCAATCGGTACGTCAGCATCCCGCAGTTGTTCGGTATCACGCTTTACTAATGCTTCCAGCCATCTAGCCAACGCGCTCTCGACGTATCCTAAAGAGACCGTCACCCACCTCGCTTTCTACGCTCTCGACACCCTTAAAGCCCTTCACCCCGACGCTCCACCGACCGCTGCAATGCTCCAGGAGCAGATCAAAGACATCGTCGGTCCCCAGGTCTCATTACCGGAAGACGAGCTCGGCAATGCTCTTGGCGAACTGTCAGTGGTCTTCTCCTTCCTTTCGGTATAATCCTGTTTAATCGATTTTGTTTGGTTTACTAGCGCTCGAACCCCCACCGCAGACGTCCCGAACACCGCGGCCTTCGTGGGTGGTCTTGTCGCTCAGGAGGCTATCAAGATGATCACAAAACAATATGTGCCGATTAATGGGTACTGTGTTGCGGACTTGGTCGACTCATGGACGGGCGTTGTGGGTCCTTGAGCACGCTTCACCTGAGCACGACCGGCTTCAGAAGCATGAAGTCTTGGGCTCGCCATTGAAGCACGTGGAGTATTAGAGGAATGTGCAGTTGTGCATGTATATTATCATGAGCGGTTGTCGTGAACAATGTTTTCTTGCTGCTCCTCATAGTTTAGTCGCATGAGTCGCTTGCGTGGCGTAAAGATGTGCAGTTGCCCAATCTAAGTCTTTTCTGATCCATTCGGCAATGTTGTGCTTACCGACATCGCTTTGCCTCGTGACGATATTTACCCCTATGTGCGTCTATTTGCTCCATCGATCGTCTATATGACGGTGGCGCAGTTCTCAGGCTCATTCTTCAGCGCGTTCACACCTTGCACCGGGTGAGTACTGCATCACCATCCCCTCATTACTATCTGACCGCGAAATCTAGCCATGGACAACATTGATACCTTCCATGATCCGTCACAGTCACTAGCGCCCGAAATCAGGGATGCACCACAACCATTCGATGACACAAACGCCGACATCATCCTCCGCACGGGCGATCTCGTCGATTTTCGAGTCTATAAAACCATTCTCTCCATCGCCTCCCCCTTCTTCCAGGCCATGTTTTCTCTGCCTCAGCGCCCCGAAGCCGACGAAATCCAAGATGACGAAACTAGACACGGACTACGCGTCGTCCCTGTGCCAGAGGATTCATCTACGCTCACCATCATCCTTCTCGCATGTTACCCCCGATCCATGGGGAGAATCACCGACCTGAAGATTCTTCAGTCCTCTTTACAGGCTGCACACAAATACGAAATGCCTATCTTCGATGACATCGATGAAGCCATGATCGCAGATGCCGTCAAAGTCAATCCTCTTGCTGTGTATGCCACAGCCTGCCGTCTTCACATGCAGAACATCGCGGACATCGCAGCTCGAGCCACCTTAAAGCAGTCCTCAAGCGTCAATAGACGCACGGACGAGCTTCACGGTATCACAGGCATGCAATACTATAATTTACAGCAGTATCACCGTGATTGCGGAGCCGCTTCCGCTGAAGCCTGCTCTCGAACTGATTGGTTTTCTTATCTCACCAACACCGTGAGGAACGATTTGTCTTCCAGCCACTGCTTTTACTGCTGGAATACTGCGCTCGGTGGCCAGTGGTACGCACCCTCGTGGTTATGGGAATACCTTACCAGCGTGCGAAGCGCTGTATCAGTGGAACCGTGTGGAGACGCCGCTCTCGAGCCATCAAGGCTGTCCATCCCAGTGACCGCACCGTGCGCGCACAGTGGACACCCACGCTCGATATCTGGGCTGGTCCTCTTCTCGCGCGCACTTGCAAACGAGATTGATCGAGTGACCCGCGAGGTGCCGTTCTGCGTTCTTCATTCCTTCATCCCCACAGTGCACCACAAAGTACTGACTGGTCCTATCAACAGGTGCCTACTCCTCGGGTCTGAACTTGTTTGTAACTTGCGGTGACATTCACGCCGCTGTCGAGATTTTTTTTCTCTTCTCTGGGGCACGTAAGGCTGTATGACCAGGTCACTGTATGTCTCACCATGTACAAGCTTTTCCTGCGGGAATTTTTCCTGATTTCGTAATTCATTCGTTCGACTGAATCATTTCATTGTACCGACCGTAAGGACGAAAACTCAGTTGTTCTCTTGCGCCACACACATGCTCCCACACTGTGAGACTAACAACGTATCCAAATGGCATGTTCAACAGCGACCAGCATCATACAATAACACTGGCATAGTAGGAGCACTAGCATGCGAAACACCCCTGGAGTTTTCTTGACGGAGATGACGAGACTCGGATGTAACGGGCAGGATGGCATTAAGAACTCACAAATTGACGTGATCGCTGGGGAGAAGGACGGTGTCTGTGGTCTCGTTATCGAAAGACTTCGGCGAGTCGGTAACCTCGACCGATTTCTTTGATCTTACGTCGGACGAGCCAGGGACAATTAGACGGTGGACCCTGAAAGCAGAGACATCTTCAGATACATGCACATACCACGACACCGACACCGACGGGCGCAGTTAAGGCGGTATTACAGACGAAGGAAACCAAGAGACTTAAGAGGACAACTTGATGCCATATGGACTATACGGCTTTTGACGCCACAAGAATTTGGGGGAGCAGGCGCGAGCTCTGCCTCATGGGACGGACACGATAAACCCCAAGTCGGTGAATGGTTAACCCTGGTGAAAGCTTATCACATCACCGATATCGTCTGACAATAACCTGCAGTAGTCACTCGCATCATCGGAAACCGGAGTGTCTCGTGAAAGTCTGGATATGTACATTTCAAGCCCAATATCGTCGTAAGTGTCATGAAGGTTACAACAAGAAAATGAGGTCGCTGGAGAAAGAAAACAACGGAAGAAGAGATTCAACAGACAATTATGCGTCAGGCCATGAAATGCGGCACCTGTCAAAGCCCATCAAGGTTTCGAGAATCATAGTCAGTTCGACCCCGCGCATCTCATAAAAAAAAAAGCGACATACCTGATTGAGAGCAAGGTCGACCGCTTCAGCCAGCGATTGACTCAACATCCCCATGCATGCCCTTCTGTCCGTGATGCACTGGTTGCAGGTCTCATGTGCAGCAAATATGAAGTCCCTGCTGGTCACCACCGACGCACTCGGCCACTCCTTCAACGCACGCTCCGCCCTCGCCAGATAGTCCCATACATACGCCGGCGCCTCCACCGTCTGGGATGGCTGCGCCCCTGCCTGGGCGGACGAATAGAACTTGTGTCTCTCCTGGCATCCGCCGGTGTGACCAATCCAGAACCTGTTGAACTTCTCCCGACAATCCTGCACCCACTGGTAAGACGACGCCACCCGACTCGCCGCCTCGCCACACCTGTGATGGTACTCCAGGAGGCGTTGATGCTGTGGCACAGTCATAAAAGAGACAGGGCCAGCACGAGAGGTGACGATGTCGGTGTATCTGACGTGGAGAGATGCCTTGGCTGCGCAGCTGGCGACGTCGTTGAATCCGAAGCGACAGGCAATGGAGTATGCGTGGATGGGGTGTTCCTCCACTTGTTCCTTGAGTATGAAGCGCGCCATCGGATGAAACGCCTCGATCTCGTATTTCTCGGAGACCTGTAGCAGACGGGCAACATCGTCGAGGTCGTCGATCTTCGGCTGAAGCCCCGGATAAACAGCCCTCAACAACGCCTCCAACGTCTCGGAGTCCTCTGTAAGAAGAATGATGGGTATGCCGAATCTCTGTTCGGCGGGTGGATCATCGTCGACTTCTTTGATGCCCGATTCGAAGACGGTGGGCGTCTGAGGCCCGGGGAGACTGAACATGGTACGGAAGAATGGGGAAGCGTGGGCAAGGATGATTTTGTAGACGTAGAAATCCACGAAATCGCTGGTATGGAGGATGATATCCGCGTCGTGGTTGTCAAAAGGAAAGTTTGCGTCCTTAGGGTCGGTAGAGATGCTAGGCATGTCGCCTTCTGCTTATGGGCCGGACAGATCGTACAGAGATGAACGATCAGACGAATAACGCTTGCGAAGGGTATGGGTACGAACGATAGTACGAGGACTCACAGAATACAAGTTAACAGAGGTTTTGATCTAGATGATACGAAGTTGAATGCTCCTAGAAATTGAGGGTACAGTCAGCTCAGCGGGCGTGCAATGGTAGTGAATTCCTCACCAGAGGCGAAGCAGAGTAGATAAGGATGAGGAGTAGTCGTTCGATCGTTAATACGGGTCATCGTCAGTTTTAAGTATTCTAAAGATCGAGAACGATACCGCCACCATATCTACGTGCGAAGACTCTGCCTCAAGGTAAGGGGGAGGCTCGATGGCAGCTGATGAGATGCCCACAGAGCAGAGGCAATACTAGATCTTCTGTCTTTACTTAGAATAGACGCTTACGCCTGCGAGTGGCGAGACTGCTGCTAAATCTGGGGGGCTCTGAAAACAACGATACAGAGCATAGTATACATCCTAGAGACAAGAACTGACACGGACATACAAGAGAATCCCCGCTATGGAGAGATAGAAACTGGCGAAACCAACTGATTAGGATCGGAAAGTTCATTTTATGAAGACCGCGGGGGACCATGGAATTGTTGTCGTCAGCGTCGAACAAATTCAGTCAGATCGACTGCCACTCACAGGATGAAAGGCTACAACTCTTCAAGATACCCTTGCACGATGAGATGCTCGATATCTGATCGCCTCACCATGAACCTCTGCCCTTTCTTGAAGTCAATGGTCCCCAACTCCGTTTGGATGACGCCACAATCCTTTACAACCCTCACCAGCGCATGCAAATCTTTCGGTGGAACCTCGATGCCAGCCGTGATGTCCAGCTCATTCGAAAAGTCACTTCTATACTCCATGATGCTCGCATTGTACTCCCTCAAGAAGTCTACCTCGCTCGGACTCATCTTCGCCCTCAACTCCGCGTTTCCCAGAAGATGGGGCAGCGCACCTCCACACGCCCAATACATGTCTCGAAGACGATCCATTCGGTGCGTATGGTATGCCAGAAGACATCGTTTGTTGCGGTTTATGGCGGTCACATAGATGAGGGCAGTGGGAGAGATTCCATTGATGGAACCTTCGTAGCCCGGATCGGGAAGTTTTTCGTCCGCGATTTTTTCAAGATCGCGCTGTTCCCGGACGATTGAACGGACTAGAGGATCATTGTATTTGAAAAGGGTGTCTGTCGCGGTTGAACGACGCGACTCGAGGACAAGCTGGGTTGCGAGGTCCCCAAACTGACGCGTTTCGCTGCTACTCATCTCCACCTCGATGCGAAGCCTAATATCTGGTAAAGAATGTTTGATGCGGTCAAGACACGTTTTTAAAGAAAGGAACTTACAAGATAGCTGCGACTTATATGAGATGATGGACTTTGGAGAGAAAAGTTAGATTCCGCGGGAAAGTCGTGTTCCCCTCACGTGAGCGCGACCAAAATCTAACGCGCCGGGATGACGCGCATCTCCTGTCTCTCGCCAAAACAACATGTTCTCTTCGCCTCTGCGTCCCAGGCGTATATCTCAAATTCGCCGTCTTGTATCTGCCTCAGAAATTTCTGGGGTAAATCATCCCTGTTTACGAAGAAAAATCAGCTTTCATCATGAAACAACAAATACTGTGTATTCCGAGTCTTCCCCATCCCCGGCACTGCTCATGGCATCGAACGGCGGCCCATCTCGAAAGCAACCTCCAGGGGACATGTCGGACCAGGACTGGGAGGTACAAACTGGTTGGTCCTGCTTGGATATATCATGCAAGATGTGATGCAGGGTCTCAAGCTCATGGAACCAGGTCGTGCGATACACATCATCCAAAATACTCTGCCCGACTTCTTCTCCATCGGCCTCGTAACTCGTATATCCAACGAAGATGACAACGCATCAAGTTCGCCCGAATCTTCCTTATCCATTCTGTCTAAGACCATCCCCAGTTTTCCGCATCTAATTGGCACGGACAAAACGAAGGACAGTCTGCCTTCCGCAGAAGACATACCCATCGACGAACATAACGAGGAACACGACCTGGAGCCCATCTACAGCCCCAAAGTCAAACTCGTATACTCTCCTCCTGATAAACTCCCGCCGCCTTTTCCAGAAACGCTCAAAGTCGAGGGTGAGTCTCCTCGGGATCGAGTCTTATACTTCATTCACCCATGGTTCCATTTGTGGTTGGTTGACGTGCAGGCCTCCCACTCTACCTTGCATCATCCTCGGTTGTCCGACACACTCTCAATGCTCTTTATACCGATCTCACCGTCGACATTCGCAAATTCTCTGTCTCCTCGTCTAGTCCCTTCAATTCGTCATCCGTTCCGTCCCCGAGTCCTCGGCCCGGATCGCAGAAGCTGAATCGGAAGCGCGAGAAGTCATTGCTTGTGCGACTCGCTGTGACGGGGAGGGCAAGGGTCAGTGGTAGTCCGGCGGAGTGGGAGGTGTATGTCCATCTTACTTTGCTCTCATTGCCGTTTAACTCTGGCTCCCGATATCTGACTCTCGGAACGGTTGGTTTTTGCAGTAATTCAACATACAACTTCTCACCCAACACCGGTCTCATCTACGAACACATCGTGAACTCTATCCAGCCCGCACCTCATGCAGGAGTCTTTGACTTCATGAGGCTTGCCTTAGGAAAGCTGAGGGGGCCTGGCGCGACTCCGTCGCCAACGGGTTGTCATGGTGGCGAGTATAGACTGGGCCACAAAGACAGAGTGATCACCCAGAGCGATGAATCTTGGCGATGAGAGGTTGGTGTCTCTTGTCTTCTTCCCCTCTTCAGTGCGGTACGAACAGAAGCCATCTTGTACCCATGTCTAGGTACGAGCTGCGGTTGGTCGCATGTCTGAACGCCTGACTGTATTTGTTTGCCACGCTCAAACTCACTAGTCACAAGAAATTGTGTTCCTGCGAACAATAGCTAGAAATCGAGTGCTGTTTGCTCAAGGACCGTCTCAAACAGGTCTCGGCACCCAGTGGCGAAGGGCACGAATGTGGCCCTGCTCGGTGGCTCAGTGATTCTAAAAATAACGCGAGAGTCCCAACATAGTTCAACGATCTCTCACGGATGTATTTAAGTGGCGAGGGCTTGGCGAGGGCAGCCAGGACCTCTCCTCTCCTCTCCTTCTATCTGTCTTTCCAGCTTGATAGCTACCAGAGTCAGTGAAGAATACCCATCTCCAAGATTTCTAATTGCTGTTCAAGTTCTTCGGTACGAGTTTCCTTCTATCGGTAATCTTATGTTCGTACTGACCGTCACCGTCGTTCATCGATTGACAGCGCTGACCCCCAACCATCATCTCGTTTGAAGGTAGCGCACTTGGAAGAGACCTCACGGTTTAGTCATTTTTCTCATAACTTCTTGCTTGCGTTAATATCATTGGATGAAATATCCTGATCATCGTACCATGATAGATACAAAGCACCCCCGGCCTTAGCATCATATCGCTTGTTATAGCCTCCCCTCCCGCTTGTCATGCCGCAGGGACAAAACGACGACCACGCTCCAGAGATGCAGAGCTCTCCTACGGAAATCAAAGACGCACCCGCGCCTTTCGACGACCGTGACGCCGACGTCATCCTTCGCTCGTGCGATCTCGTAGACTTTCGCGTCTTCAAAGTCGTCCTATCCTTCGCCTCTCCTGTCTTCAAATCCATGTTCACCCTGCCACAATCCCCGAGCTCTGCTCGCACCATCGTGGCCGACGATGACGATCATAGAGACGGGATCCCTGTCGTTCGTCTCTCGGAGGATGCAACCACCTTGGAGAGCGTGCTGCGCGCTTGTTATCCAGGTACTAGCCCTCACATCGACTGTTTGGAAGATATTGTACGCGTCCTCACTGTCGCAGAGAAGTACGAGATGGAGGTGTTTCGTGTGACTGCACGCGAAATGCTTCTGAACGGTCTTGAATCTCGCCCCTTCTTGAGGTACGCGATCGCCCGCCGATTCAAGTTCAAGGATGTTTGCACGCGTGCCGCTGTAGCTTCGCTCGTGCTAAGCCACAAAGCCATCCTTCAATATCCTTCTGAGACCGTGACGTCGCCTTTACTCTCTCTTATCACAGCAGATCAGTTCCGGCATCTGCTATTATATCATTATCGTTGTGGCGAGGTCGCTAGCGGAGTGCCACTCTCCAGACATTGGTTGAGTACCCTGCCACCTCTAATTATGAGTAGGGCTCTGCAATGCTCCAGGTGTCAGGAGAAACGGACGCCGGTCGACACCGATGGACAGGCCCAACCTCCACCATTCTATGCCCCGACCCTCCTTTGGAATACTTTAGACCGCGTAGCCCGGGCGTTGAGGGAAACGCCAGACGCAAAAGGAGCCACAAATGTCTTCCAAAGTGCTGGGGATGTCGGGTCGTGTGGCTTATGCTTGATAAACAGGTCTGGGTTGATTGTGCTGGTGCGCCAGAGTCTTATGGATGCGATTAATGTTGCAGTTGCAGAGGTTAGCTGCACCCTCGCTCCTTCTCAACATCTCTCGTACTCATGATATTCCGCTCTCAACGCATGATAGGTGAAACCATCTGACTTCGGCATCGAGTCTTAGTATATTGTGTAAATACTAGCCTTCGTGCGTACTATTTTTCCGTTCTCGTATGCTGAAGCTGAGATTACGTCCGATTCCTTCAGAGTTGCTTTGAATAAAGATTGGTCAATCAAAGAATGGGCTGTTCTCAGCTTCGACTCTTTCAGCTTCTTTGTGGTGAAACTCATGCTTCATATTATGGCATGCGGATGTGTTTCAGCTAGCCTTCTTAACTATATGAACTACATAGAATGTGTGGCCAGCCAGCCCTTCCTAGGTGACACTTCGTAGCATTCAGTGGCGGTGGTGTGGGAGCGTTCTAAAAATAGCACAGAACTGAACAGATCCTTCTCTGCCCCGAACCCTGTATTTCTGTGGCCGAGGGTTTGTTGCTTTATGGAACGTGCACGAATACTTACTCTTGTCATCGTCCACCATCTCTGAGAGCTTCCTCGAGGAGTTACTTTAGCGAAAACCTCAACATCTCCCCAAGCTTCCTAGTACGATTCTTTCCGCTGATACATTCGCTCGTATTGATCGTTGCTTGAAGACCTAGCCGCCCACAGCGCACATAATGCCGGAAGAGCAGAACAACGGATCCGTGCCTCCAGCGCCATCCCCGCATACGGAGGTCAAAGATGCCCCTGCTCCTTTCGATGACCGCGACGCCGATGTCATCCTCCGCTCGTGTGATCTCGTAGACTTTCGCGTCTTCAAACTCGTCCTATCCCTCGCCTCTCCTGTCTTCAAATCCATGTTCACCCTGCCACAATCCCTGAGCTCTTCCCAATCCACCGTGGCCGATGATGACGATCATAGAGATGGTATCCCTATCGTTCGTCTCTCAGAGGATGCGCGCACCTTGGAGGATGTCTTACGCTCGTTTTATCCGGTCTCCGTTCCATGCGTTGATAGCATGGAAGGAATTGCACGCGTCCTCGCCGTTGCAGAGAAATACGAAATTGATACGTTCCGTAGGAGGGCACGCGAGATGTTGTTGAACCGTGTCGACGAAGATCCCGTCTCTGCATATACGATTGCCGTTCGGTTCCAAATAGAGGCAATAGTCGCGAAAGCCGCCATAGCCTTCCTTACGATCCATCACACGACTATCATGAAATGCTCCTCGCCCTTACTCTCCCTCATCACCGCTGAGCAATTCCGACGTCTTCTCTCGTTTCATCATCATGCTGGCAAAGTAGCTAGCGCAATGCCTTTCTCAAAGCACTGGTTGAACACCCTCCCATCTTCTATGATGAGTACCATTTATGCGTGCAGCCGTTGTCAAGAAAAACGATCTGTGACAGCTGCCGGTGGAGACGAGACTATAGTGTTTTACGCACCTGGCTACGTATGGGAGTACCTCACTCGTGCAGCTTTCGAGTTGAAGGATTGGCCATGCGCGGGATCGGCGTCAACCGCGAGTGTCGTCAAGGGTATCGTGGATTCTGGATCATGCTATTCATGTGGGCGAGACAGGACTGGTTGGATGGCGGTGGTGCGTCAAAGTCTTGCCGATGCGATCAACGAAGCTGTTGCAGCGGTGAGCCTTCCTATATCTCGTACACAATATAAGTACTTCCTACTGACTACTACGTCGTCTATCCAGCTGAAACCATCTGACTATGGGATGGAAGGATAACTTAGGAAGGCGGAGACCTGTTGCTGAAGAGGTTTGTGGGTACTTACCTCTTCTATCTCCTCTGCTGAAGTTGGGTTGAAACCCAGTGTTTCTCCAGGGCCGACTGTTACATCATTACATGTGGGAGGCTGGTCAGTCGAAGGACGGGCCGTTGACGCTTTCGAACCAGGTTTTGCTTCTTGCTCGCTCTATACTTCATTTGAGCTCTATGTTCCTTGTACAAGTATTGCCATCGATTGTACGAACACATAGGCTTGAGTGTGGCGGGGTTGGGGTACTTAGACGCGTTGTGGTTGGGATGCGGGTTCCTTGTGTTCATCCGAATTCGCTACTAGCAATTTTTACACGATGAGTCTGACCGTCGATGCGGGGTCCTCTCGAGCAAATGAAAGCTTACCCAGGTCCGACGGAGGAACCATACACGGTGGTCTCGAGCAATACTCGATTGGGCCTATCGGAGAAGTGGATAAGTAGTTCCTTCGATATGTCGGCTCTGCGTCCTGTCCTGAAACGAAAGCTGAGAGGCTACAGTAGATCGTATGCCAATAGGCGACCTTCCTTCGCGCCAATGGAAGAGAAAGATGCATGTTGCACGATGCTTCTAGCACCACCCAAGCAGACTTTTGTTATACTAGTGGTATGGAGGACCTAACCTCTTCGTAGAATGTTCATGTGCTGGTAATCTTGAAGTAGAAATCCAAGCTTGCCACCTCCCGACATGCGATACATCCACTTTGCTCTCGGCGGCGTCACCCATTTGGAGTTTCTGCAGTGTCAAGACTGACCCAAGGCCCTCGAAACTGCGCAATTCTTGTAGAAGTCAACGACAGCAAATTGATCACCCTCCAACGTTTCACTGTGCGCAACGTATGCGCCAACAGGTGGAAACGGAGACGGGTGTGGCCCAGTACCCACGCAACGGCCTATGGAAGCTTAATCTTACGTAAGAAACAAGAGGATCAAAAGGCAAAAATCGGCGGAGACGCTGAAAGAGCTTGTAAACTGCTTCTGAATCTTTCTGAATCGGGCCCGCTGGGCTTCATTTGGAAGAACTCGTCCAACAATGCCAGAAGCGGACAGAGAATGACAAGCCTGAGGACCAAGAGGCCAAGAGAGGGTGGAAGAACGGATGAGCGCCCGATTGGTCCCCTGGACGATGACAAGCCCACGTGGAGGGCAGCGCAGCCCGCTTTATCTTGGTTGGTCCAGTCCGCGATTCCATCTTTCTCTCTTCCCATCTTCCACGCCCTCGCTTGCTCTCTGCGACTCCTTTTCCTCTTCCTACCACCACAATCCTCTTGACAGTCGTCAAACACATCTCTCTTTTCACCCCCACACTCATTACATCCGACAATGTTCACCCAATCCATCGTTGCCGCGCTTGTCGCTCTTCCGTTCGTCGCCCAGTGTGAGCACAGCTTGTTCTACGATCTACAAAGCGAAGTACTGACGTTTTATCACCTATCTCCTTCGGTTGGGGCTTTGATACGAACGCATTCGCGTACGATGTATCCGAACTTGTAGCCGCGCTCGCCGCCGACTGCACTCGCAACTACACCATCCAGGCGGGTGACGTCTGCGACAGCATCTCCGCTGCCCAGAATGTCTCTACGTACGTGTCTTCATATTTTTTTCTTCTACCCTATTTGGAATCTCGAAGGCTGGTCAGCTTCAGAATGCAGACTATAACGGGTCGCGCAAAAACGCTATAAAAAGCTTGCGCAGCCGTACCTTTAATGCGACCGGAGTGACATGCTCTGAGTTCATATGGTCGCTCACCTTATAATATCCGCCCACGCGAGCGGGGCGCTGGCCCTCATGTTATCGTTGTCCTCACTTCGAGGTCCTTGTACCTGGGAGCGGTTCACTTGTATTCGTGATGAACAAGCCTAATAGCTGTCTACTTGCATAATACAGAGGATGCGTCAGTCCAGTTATATTCGGTCTGCCATTGAACCTACTTGTTGTATGTGGCCTGCTACAGGCGCCCAGATCGCCATATTTGCATGTCTCGCATGCATGCATCGTTCCTGTGACAGCATCTGTTGGACTTGTGAGCAGTTACAGCCGTGACAGGAATCCGACCACTCGATAAAGAGGCGCCAAAAGGCGTTTGCCTCTCGTCTTTCCCTCCCTTTCTTCCTCGTTTTCTTACAATTCCCCCCGTCTCTTACCTCTCACTCACCTCTCGTCCCTCTCTCCACAACAGGTACCAGATCTCTGTCGTCAACGATGGCATCATCAACTCCAACTGCACCGACTTGACTCCCGACCAGTCCATCTGCCTCGGATACAGCGGCGAAGACTGCACCACTACGCACGTCGTCGCCGCTAACGAGACCTGCGACGATATCACCACCGCCGCTGGTATCAACTCTACCATGTTGTTCTTGAACAACCCCCAGATTGACACGGCTTGCGACAACATCTACATTGGCGAGGTGAGTTCGTGGATCCCTTTCTGAGACCTGGGGTGACGTGGCCCTTCCTGGGTATATATGGTTGGGCGTCTATCCCTACTATATATTTCGCCCATCCGCCCCAAAACATCACATTTGCCGCTCCATCCGTCTCCCCTGGTTTTGAGCTGGCGTATCCGTCGTTTCCGCTGCTGTTCTCCGTCAATGTTCCGTCCCATCTCAGTCTGGGATTTGAAGGACTGTAGCGGGCCAAACGGAATGTCTGAATTCCCGCCATTTATCTTATGACTTTCCTCTTCCATCTATCACCAGCTAGTTGTGTAGCTGTCGGAATTTAACTGACCAATTCGTTCGCATTTTCTCCACTCTCTCACAGGTTCTCTGCACGGCCTCCACCGTCGCCGTCCCTGCCGCCCCCTCCGGCTCTGTCCCCGCCACGTCCATCCCCGCCACCGCCACCGCAGCCACCGCCTCGGCTTCCGCTGCCGTTGCCGACGACGACGACGAGGACGACGATGACCTCCCCTTCTGCGACGAGCTCTAAGCGCACGGTTCCATGGACCGTCTTCACCTGCGCTTCCGATCCCCGGCTTTTGTTCTCATCTTTATTTTCTAAATTTGTGATGAACCTTTTCTACCCTCGATTTGTTTAACCCGACGACGAATCCTGAATCATTACTCCCGTTATACCCCACCATCACTTTTAAACCTTCTCTCTCCCTTTTTGTCAGTCGATGTTCGGTCTTCGTGCGCGATGCCGGCGGTACCGTTCGTACTCACTTTTGTGGCCCGATACCTGTGATTCTTCTCCTTTTTTTCCACTTTCTTTGGGTCCTGTGGATCTTACCTTTCGTCGACTTCCTATACTCCTGTGTTTCCGATTTAGGTTATTTCGATGCAGTTGACAATCGAAGTTATGGTTGGTTTTGAGCTGATGTGTTTTGGGTTGTAGTGAGCGAGTAGAGTGTATGGATGCGTTTGACACTACAGCTGAGAGATAGGCCTGTGATATCTCGCTGATGTAGTGGCGACGCGGTGAGGGCTTCAACATCTCGGTTTTCGGATTCGACACATCCTCGACTCGACACATCCTCGACAAGGCCAGTGTACTTGACGCGACGCCACAGCGGAAACATCACGAACCCAAATCTCGTCGGCATGCACGCTGATGCATACCGCAGAGATGAGGAGATCTCGTCGATGTAGTGGCTCGTGTTGTGTCCATATGCTTCAACACTCAACGGTCGACTGTTCGGTATCCGACGCTGTCTCGACGAGATGCTTCACGGTTTGGTTTTCTCCGTTTTGGCTCAGGTTCTTGATCTTTTCATCTCTAGGTTTCATCTGGCCGGTTTGTTCTCGCTTGCGACTCGACGCGACTCGACTCGACTCGACTGGTCGGATCATCTCGGCTCTGCGTTCATCACTGGGTTTGCATCTAAGTCATTGTTGTGCTGGGTACGCCATTGCCTTTGCACGTCCTTTTGGCCGCGTTCTCGGCGGTGCTCGATGCGACTGTGAAAGGGGAAAGATAAACAAACAAAAATAAAAATAAAAAGCCCCACGTCCAGACAGTGCTGTCAAAGAGTCTGTTCGCGTCGAAATCTCGACATGGCTGGACTGGGCAGGTCTCTCGCCATATGGGTTCATGGCTGCTTTGCATCTGTGGAGCTGTGGTAAGGTCACGCCGTAGTACATACGGTAATCTTTGAGTCGTGAAGTCGGTCTGTCAATATGGTTGTTCCTTTGGCCGTATAGGCTCCTCCTATTCACGACGGTTCGTAGGATGTTGAGGCGTTGAGATCCGGTTTGAGGCGCTTTGAAGCTGGACATGGGATCGTTTTCCTAGTCATGCTTGTATGCACTATCCGAAAAAAAATGGATAGTGAGCGTCTTGCTCTGAAGCACGAGGGCAGACGCGGGAAGACACCAGGACTCGTGCTCTGGCCATGCTGGCTCAACCTACGGCTGAATTTATCTGTTGTTTCACAGAGAGTCGTACTCGGTCTGTTATGATTGCCTCGCGGAGGTTGGTTGAACCCGCTGTTGATGGTCAATGGCCAACGCGTGGAGTTCTTCCAGTCTCCATTGAGTCTTTCAAACAGTTCATCCCGCTGTGTATTGATCCCTCCACAAATGTCGTAAATGAGAATTGTTCCTTCACCTTGGATACTTTGTGAAAGGCCGAGAAATGACAGGACGGAGATGTATATGCTGCGGGTTGGGTTGATATCAGTGTTCTTGACACCATTAAGATTGCATGCGCTTCGAGTTGAAGCGACTCGTAAGGGAGCTATTTGCGGTTATGGACATGTTCTGTCTTCTTGGCATACATGCTGGTGATTGCTAGGTCTCTTTCGACTTAGGAGAGAACTCAATCTAAGCTCGTCTGTGGAGATGAACAGGATAAGCTCGTTCTAACCAGACGTCTACAATGTATGGGACGCCACATAATTTATATCGGTCAAATCCCGCTCTTCTCAGTGGTCTTCATGTTTCTATGAGCCACTATTAGATATGCATATATCCTTAAGGGATGGGCTAGTCATGAATGCAGGCTGCGAGGACGACGCTTTCTGATGTTTTTCTGATCCTCATGGACAGGCATTAGGGCACCCTCTCACCAAATCTATTCTTTGGCACCACGGTAGCTATGTCGAGCCTCCATGATGCTGGCCCATATACTCTCCTATCATCCTCCCTCGAGCAGTTAACGCCACAAGACATATAAGTAGGCGCACGCTCGCAGTGCATTGCTGCTTAATGACTCGTGTGAGTGTGAGTGCGAGAGGTGCTGAGATGCTGTTGGTTGCGTATCACGGCTGCAAAATGAGTTCCGATGAGGGTTGGCAGGGGCACAGGGCGTTGTGAAGGTCTTTCTATCCCCTTTCAAAGGCGAAAAGTCGGATAGGAAGGGTGTACAACTAACGAGCCTGGTCACAAACCGCGGGTGTCTGGGTAGAGGGATCGTACTGAGTGTATCTCTAACTTTGAGGCTGCGCGATCATCCGTTGTCCGTGGGCTGTCAGATATGCTGCTCTCTAACGCTAACCTCGGTTGCCGTGTAGGTTTGCAGTGGTGCTGTTGGAGTCAGCTGCTCGACGGCAACTGCGAAGAGGATCGGACACAATTTCGACAGTAAGACGTGTGGAGTTCGAAGTGATGGTGCTATGCATTGGCCAAATAGCGGAAGGCTTTGGTCTGCGGCTCGCTTCCTAAGGGTGTGGTGGGATCGATACTCGAGGCATTGCCTGTGAGTCAGGCCCTACAAGCTCTGTCTTACGAGCAGGCATCCTGACCTTCTGCCAGAAGCGTTTAGTAGGGTTCACACCAGATCAAGTTCAGATCTGTTCAGACCCATCTGTCGAGTTCTGGCACAGTCCCCGCTAGGCTCATTTGAAAACTTTCTGGGACGAAATCAACCATGAGCGCTGTTGGAGCGTCGGACACAACCATAGGGAGCCCTACCCCGGCTCATTCCCGGGGGAAGACCTATCATACTTGCTTCATAACAAGCCACGTAGAGTCACCGAGCTCATCGACATCATCGACATCAGTTCATTGTACTGGATCGTGCACAAGGGTGGTCTCTGCGGAACGGCAGACTCTTCAACGCGAGGCTCAGAACTCTACAAAGGATCACCGATGTATGACAGCACAGTGATGGTCTGGTGTAGGGCACGGCTTGCACTGGCTTATTGAGGATAATAATAAGTGAAAAGCGAGGAGCCGTTGACGCACCTTCGAGTTCGAGATATTCGTGCATGTGCAGCTGTCAAGCACTGATAGCACTCACGTACAAGTCGCAGTCCAGTCTCAGTCGACATGAATTTACATGTTAGAGTCTCAACAGGGAAGGTCCTTCAGCTTATTCTCTTAGTCGGAGGGTGCCAGAGGGCCACGTTGATTCTGCCCTGCCCCACGATCCCTGTGAGCAACAAGAGGGATGAGCCTCATGGAGACGAGGCCAAACACTGAACTATGCGCACCGTTTAGCAGCGAATATGCCCACAATTTCTGAGATACGTGAGGAATGCTCGTTCCGTCACTAAGCGCTTTATAGCAGCATCGTCGTCCACATTCAGCAAAGCGGTCGTCGTGATGAACGATGTCAAAACTCGGCGCTATATGCAGCCGAGCCTCGGAAATACACGGCATAGCGATCACCCTCCGTCGGTCACAACGTTTCAGATAATATTGCCATCGATGTCAGTGAGAACGACAACCTCCTCGATGTCCACACAAGATGGTCATCTCGTAGCCGGATTCAGCACCCAGTCCAGATACGGGCTCATGTTAAGGCAACGTATACACGGGTGGTGAGTGTCTATTTTGCGGTACGATGGGCGTTGTATGTGGGGGAAAAGGTAAGTGATCCATGCCGCCTCTGCTCTGTGGACCCTGTCGTGTACCCTGTCCGCCCACGCCATCCTCACATCCTCTTTCCGCGGATTGAGCCACCCTACGGGACAGCTTTTTTTGCATGCTTGTCCTAGCCCCTCAAATGTGGTTCTTAATACCTATGCAGGCCGTCGGCTGCCCGCATCGCTGACATGGAGGTGTTTTACTTAACGTGCGCTACCGACGACCTTCTCCCTGGCTCTCCATGGGCATAGGAGACTGGAGGCGCTTTGAAGATCATCTTCTAGGGCCAGTGCTGCAATGCGATGTCACAGAGCTGTAAAAATGGCTACGTGGGGAGAGCCCTCAGGTTGTGCTGATCCAGCAAATATACTGGACTGAGGCTTTCGTGTTGAGAGCCGAACATTCCGACACTTTGGGACTTGGCACTGTCGATGTTCTCGGTGACTTTAATCCACCGTTTCTCGCCTCTATTTCCCCCTCACAGCCGCCTGTTTTACTGTCGAATGGTCAGACGTCTGTGGTTCATGCGGACGTGTACACCTGCATGTACCGTTCTATAATGGAGCTATGGAAGCGGCACATTCCATGAGAGCTCAGGGAGTGTTCTACGTTACGATGCTTATTTAGAGCTGGTTTGCTCGGAATCACAGATCCCCGGGTTAGAGACGGTCCGTATTCGTACAGACATACCGAAAGTGCAACTTGGCCGGCACCTTCGGATATGATTCCTGTCGACCAGCATTCCTCCAGCTCAGTCCAGGCTCTCAACAATTTCTTACGCTATGAAGGCAGACACTACCCTATGCAAAGTCCGTGATGATTATCGCCTGTGTTAGGCAGATATGAGATAAAATTCTTTCTTGCCTTCCGAATCCACAAGACGTCACAACGCTTGCGGTGATTCCTGCAGTGGTCTGTATTGCTTGCCAGTGTTTAGCAGGTTGGATCTGTGTACAACTTCGCGAATGTGCACGACCAAGATGCCGTCGGCTTCTTGAATAGTACGCACTCCGTTGACGTTAGGTCTCAGATCCAACGAACCGCACAGGCACGTTTTTCTTCTAAGTAAGATCTACTTGCAATGGAGTCGTGGTACATTTTTGTTTCTCAATGATGTGACAACGCTGGGGCTCGGTGGCAGTGTATTTTTAGGATGCCGTTATTTCCCGCTCGGCGCTCAAAGGGCGCCTATGGCGGCGGACCTACAGCTGTTTGGGTAGAGCTGAAGCTAGTCACTTGCTCCATTACAAACGCGGGCCGTCAGCACATCAGTTCCATTCATTTTGCCGGATAAGTGCGATCCCTGTACAAACTGGTGTACCTCAAACGTTACCTTTTTTCCTTCGCTCTACCCATGCATACGCATAGACCCTCTCTGCGTACCTGTCGCCTGTGGTATTCTCCACCGCTTTATTCCTCCATGTCATTGAATTGTCTATCTGTGGTGTAGACATATAAGAAGTGTCTTCAGGTTCACAACATGTCTTCACTACCCATCAGCACTTTGACGACGCTTGAACATGTTCACTCCGACCTGCACCACCATCTCAGCTCGACCTGGTGAGCCAATACATGTTTGCTCCACGACGTATCGCGCAATCTCATGTAGACCGATCAGCAGGAGCTAGTTACAATGGCACCGGAGCATTCGTGATCCAGCCCGCCCCGAAGCGTGGCAAACATTGCATTGACCATGATGTTACTAAGCATCGCAGGCGACCGATAAACGGATTTTTATCTGAACTTCTTTCAATGCCTCTCGAAGTCCTGCTATTCGAGGTAAGAATCATTTATTACATCCAAGCACTCTACCTATGAATGACGCAAGGGCGTCCTAGATTTTCAGTAGATGTCATCTACTAGACCTTATCAGTCTGACACAAACTACCAAGGCGATTCGCGCTCAATTGCTTTCACCTTCTGCGAAGACAGTCTGGATGACATCACGCAGGACTACAAACGATCCGTCCATCCCAGACCCGCCCAGCGACTTTATCTCAGAGTTCCAGTGGGCAATTCTGCTCTTCGGCGGGTCCTACTGCACTGTGAGTCCTCTTGGTCTTCGTGATTTTGACTCGCTGAACTCAATGCCCTGCCTTCGCATGTACGGTTTCCAGGATTGTGGACTCCAAGGTATTCGTATTGTCGATTTTGGAATCTTAAGGCGTCTGTGCGTCTCGTGTCGGAAAGCCAAGTACGAAGTCGTTGTGACTGTCGCTTCTTCATGTTTCATTTATCACGTATCTTTCAGCTTGATACCGGAAACCACGTTCATCAAGATCTTCCCCGATATTTGTCCAGCAGTGATGCAAGGCCTGCCATTTTCCCGAGGTCAGTCTCTTTCACTGTCCGTCCATGGAATCGATGTCTGACCTGCGCGTTATATCTGGCCTGTGTCTGCTAGTTGGTGGTTGGGATCGGGGACATTCTTCGGCAAAAAAGCGCTACTATCATCGCGAAGATATTATGAATGTCACACGCAAATTCAGTTTTCTGTTAGGTAATGACTCGAATAGTGCTGACTCTGACACCGGCGGCGAGCCTGTGTCACAGGAGTGGGAATTAAGGAAGACTCAAATATTCAACTACATGAATCAGGTAAACCTCTCGCTATATCTCGTATTCTGGCACCAGTGCTGATTACTTCACCTCACAGAGAGTCGAGGTTTATGAACAATGGCAGACCAGCGTTATTGAAATCAACTCTAGCAAAGCTCAGAGGTTGAGAGACGCTAGATTTACTAGGTAAGTCTTCGGTATTTATCCCCATTGGAAGACGGAAAATAACCTTCCCAACCAGCATCAAGACCAGACTGACCGAGCTCGGATATCACGAGCGTGACATTGAACATCCTCGTGTCCGGCGTCACAAGATGGTGAACACCCGTACTCGGCTTACCGAGCAGGCTTGGGTAAAGATGCTCCCTACGCTCCAGCCCATCTTGGTTGACCTCGAGCGCACACGTCGCACTCAGACTCGATATATGCGCATATACACTTTCGACTGCTACTATCGCTCTCTGCTGCGAGACCTCATACCGATGCAGTCACTCTATATGCCGAATCCTCAGACTGCTCAGGCATTCCCACTGATTCAGGGAATCATCGAGCATGACCTTGATGATACAAACTACTCAGGGTTGTTCGCATCTATCACACACGACCTGTTCGATCATATGAGTCAGTGGATGCAGATGAGGAAACAGTCCCTTCTCCTGATGTTGCCAGATCATTTGCAATATGACAATGGGCCTGTTCTGCCACTGAAACTTCGAGATACCGAGTTACATGTCGCACATCAGTATGCATCTTCCGCGACGAATAGCGGACTGGATGATGCTCGAGCTGTTTTCGTGCAGGGTGATGGTGCTTCTGGTGCATTTATTGGCTGCGAAGTCGCCCAGGCCTGGAAGGCGGACTCGAGCATGCCTCTCATATTCTCTGGAAACGGTTGTGTGGCAGTCGAAGCCATCATCGACGTCCTGAACCCCGGAAACAACGGGGATGCACAATACCGAGTACCAGCTTTTGAGCTCGATCGATTGGATAAACTCTATGTCGTGTGTGATCATTGCCGGCGCCTTGACCGTTTAAAGGGCAATGAGCATACGTTTGCCTACTCTTGGAGGGCTAGCGTGAGTTCATATCTTTGACGTTCATCCCGGAGCGTTACAATCTGACCATGCCTTCTTCTTGCGATAGATTGACCATTTCTTGGAACCTGCGTTGAAAAATTTGCATCCATACCCTTCTTGGAGCCTCGTGAATGAAGACAAGCTACCGTCCCACGTCACCGGACCTCGGAGCAGCCGTGAACATCCGGGTGCCTTTGATTTATGTTGGAGTTGCAACCAGTGTTCTCAGTATGTGAACGACTATCCGTTTGGCGCTACTCGGGCTGTAGTGGCCGATCATGTTGCTTCGATGTGAGTCTTCCTGAGTACACTGTCCATTGAGTATAATGTTGTCTGACTTCAAGTTGGGTCTAATTAGTCACGGAGTGCCTTGCCAAGATATAAGAGACAATGATGACCTCTTCTACCGGCCGCAGATCGGCAAACAGAGGCCCCGTCTTAGACCATTCGCCATTCCTCTGAATGAGTAATTATCATGCCATGACGGCCCAGCCTATGTTATCAAAGAAAGCGCTCTGTCGCTCGCAGCGAATGCGATAGGGTAGCCTGAAGTATGACCCATTAAATTCCTCATCATGCACTAAGATACATGCGTATGTATATGCCTCCTTTTTACATGTCTTCTCTCCACTCTTCATGCACCATCTATGTTGTTTCACCATCTTGAGAGTTGTTATACGTGGACAAATGCGAAGTTATGATGTTGACCTCCCCGAAGAGCGCTCGGATCTCGAGTATATATGTAAACCGTTGTACCAATTTTATATGGACTTGCGTTTGATTTTGGGTCATGTAGTAGTGGGGATGCCCTCGAAAGGCGTGGACCATTATTCTCCCAATTAACATAGTCATTCTACTGAGGAGCGTGTATTAGAATTTAGATACAGACTTGTCGGGCCTACTTCCCGTCCAGCATGTGCCACCTTCGCCATGGGCAAGGTGCACATAGAGTAGGCGAGGGGAGGTTGGTATTGAAGGGGAGATGATGAAACGAAGAGGGCAGAAGGTTGAATCAACTAGAAAGAAAAAGCCCGAAGACCACGGAACAGCACGGCCATAGACTTGGCTCGCTCAAGTTATCACATACTTATGCGCCGAGTAGTAGGAAGACTGAGACTGAGTTGGGATAGGTGGTGCTAAACTCGCGACGGGCTCGGATTCGGAGAACCAACAAATAGGCTGGAGCGGCAACCAAACTGCCCAAGACAATGAGAACCATGTAGCGGTGTGAAAGAGAACGAAATGAAGGTGGGAATTTCACTCAACAAAAGACGAAGGAAGTAGCAATAATGATTAATTAACAATGTATGTCATGGGGACAACGAACGCCCAGGGTGGAAAGCAAGTGGAAAGAGTGAAGCGAACGAAGTTGTGAGAGAGTGCTAAATGCAGCTGAGAGGCTACGGTGCAGAGTCAGACACACCTCTGCCGGTATAGATAAAAACGTGCAGCGACACATAAAACAAACACTCCCCAGTAAAGGACTTAGCTCATCCTCGTGAGACTCTTGCATTCCTTTCCAGAGAAGCTAAACAGAACGGCTCAGGCAACACCGATAGAAGACAGAGACGCGAAACGCGGGCGACCCTTTGTTTGCCCTTTGCTTCAAGTGTGAGGCATTCTTGGTGAGGTGTGCAAGTATAACAGAAAGAAACGTTCCGCGCGTGAGTGTTCTTGGACGATGTTGCTAAGTGGCAAAGGGGCGAGTACGAGGAGCAAAAAACCCGATGAGGAGAGTATATACAAAGTGCAACACCACACCTTGATCGGGTACGGCGAGTCCGAGACGAAGTGCGACACCTTGAGCGGAAGCTGCACACTGTGTCGCAGATTGATAAGCGTGGGCTGCGCTTGTCCGCGCCATCATGAAAGGGTTATCGCACTCGTAAATGTCGGCCAAAACAATAGGTGAATGGTATTCTTCATTTTGCGCCCGAAGAGTACCCACCATTCGAGGATCCTCCCCTCCCTCGCTGCGCTCGGGGGGTCCCCCGAACCGGATCCTCTCAGGTGGGCACACTAAAGACTCGTTCGGGCATTTTTCTATGTACGTTCGGGCATTTTTCTATGTACGTTCGGGCATTTTTCTATGTACGTTCGGGCATTTTTCTATGTACGTTCGGGCATTTTTCTATGTACGTTCGGGCATTTTTCTATGTACGGCCTCGCTACGCTCGGCGGAGAAACCTAACCCCTAACTGAACCTAACCTAACCAACCTAACCGAAAACCTAACAACCTAACCCGGTGGACCACCAAGACAGTGTTGAGCAGCAAGATGCAATTATTAAAACGGGATTTTGAGCACTTATCAAGGTGTCGCAGATGCCCTCAGAATTGCCTCGGAGGCGCAACATGTCGCACTTCGCGACGTGCCTGGCCAAGGTGCTGTGTTGCATCTCGTATATCCTCCGATGAGGAAGAGGTAGAAACAGAGAAACAGATCTAAATTATTAGGCCGACTGGACGGCAAGTGCCGGCCAAAATGACGTCGCATCAGGGCCACAATTGGGCCCCACGACGTTGGCAAAGTTGCTCGCGGTGAGTCCTCCACTAAAGCAGAGGTAAAACCAGTCTTGAGGGCATTTGGCAATGATATATGATATCAACGCAAGAATAACAACAATTGAACTGCGGAACACCACTCTACTGTAGTTTTCGACCAACTGTTCGTGGGAGAATCACGTAAGCCGTGACCACCGCTGGGCCACTGTTCGCTCGGGTGGGCCACGCGTGACGAACCAGCGAAATTGCTCGTATTCAGGCCAAAAATTGAATTTTTAGCGATTTTTGGCGCAAATCGGTCGCGATTTTCTGTTCGCGAACCCCTGTGTATGCGTGAGCCCGGGACCCAATCTGTTCGTCGACGCACTCCGCGTGATGCGTGACGAACAGTTGGTCGAAAAACTACAGTACCTCATCCCGGCGGTGAAAAGGTGGGTAAAACACACAATTTGAATTGAGTCTAAAAGAGAAACTTCGCTCTACATGCATGAATCCAATGTATGTGTGCCGTCTAGCGAGAACATCTAAGCAGACCCAATGGTGCTCTTCGCACTATCCTTCACTGATTCCTCCAGCGAGATGAAGTCCTTCCTCCCCAAAGCCTTCAAAACCTCAACACTACGCGCTCTCGCCTTCGTGACCGTGCTCAAGTCCTTCGCCTCGTTGGGAATGTTTGAGGGCCACTCGCGGGCGGGGTAAGCCTTGCGCAAGATGTCGAGGAGCTGGCTCCAGTTGTACGGCTCCGCATAGGCGAGAATGCGCTCGGACTTGACAGAAGGGACGACGATGGCGGCGGCGTGAAGACGGGCAGTATCGCGGACATCGACGAAGTATTCTACATAGTAGAACGCAATGTCAGTGAGGTTTCAGTTAGAGCGGAATACGAAGACGTACGAGGAGAGATCCCAAATTTGGACACCGTCTCTAGGTCTCCCTTGATCAATGTCTGAATCCATCCCAACGTGGGCGAGCTCTGTCCCTCATGCAACGCCGGCCCAAAGTTTCCAGCCGGCAACACCGTGCTGAACTCGAATCCGGGTTTATTCTCCTCCACGAACTTCCAAGCAGCCCTCTCCGCCTCAACCTTGCTCGCAGCGTAAACGGGCAGAGCCCTGTCCGGGGTGTAAGGTGCAGGGGCCCAGGCGAGCTTGCTCGCCGGTTCGTTCCAGGTGTCAGAGGTGATTTCGAAGACGGTGTTTGGAGTGGGGAAGGCCTGGGCAGTGGAAGAGGACGTATAGACGACGCGTTTGACGGAGGGCTCTTTGGCGGCGGACTTCAAGATGCCGACGGTGCTGGCGATGGTGGGCGGGATAACGACGTTCGGGTCTGGGGAGAAGGAGAGGTCGGAGGCCATATGCGATATGCCGGCGACACCTGGGGAAATCGAGCCCGTAAGAAAATTATGCTGTGGGGATGATGTTCGAAGGGTCATACCTTTGACGGCTTCATCGAATGCTCCGTCGACTGCGATGTCGGAGACTACGAAGAGCTCAAACTTGCCCTTGCCATATTTCTTGTCGAAGAGCTGTTGGGCCCACTGGGATTTAGTGGCGTCACGAACAGTGCCACGGACTTTGTAGCCAAGAGAGAGAAGTTGGTCGGCAGTGTGAGAGCCGATGTAGCCGTTTACGCCGGTGACGAGGACGGTCGATTCTTTGGGGATGGCACTAGACATGATGAAGAGGGTGATGTTGATGGAAGATCGGTGAGTGTTGTCTGAGCGAGATGAGGTGTTGAGAGTGAGATGGTGGAAGTAAAGCCGAAACCAAATCCTCTTATATAGGGCTTAATGTCAGTTTCGTCGTTTCGTCAGACAGTCATTAGATGTTGTTTAACTGTATCAAGGATCCCATGTCCCAGAGGTAGCAGACCTGAGCAGCTGATTAGTAAAACAACACCCTTTACATCTCTGCGGTGTTCCGAGTGCGTCCTAACACCACAAGAGCTTTCAAAGATCGGGAGAATCATTACGATGACCTCGGTCGGGAATCAAAATGGCTTCGATAAGGTATTCACCGATTTGTAAAAGACAAGATGAGAGCTGGCCAATCGATGGCGTTTCCAAAGCTGCCGTCTGTCGGTAACATGCCGGTTTGGAGATGCGGGATCGACCTTCCAACAGTCTATCTAACACAGGACCTTCCACTAATCCCATTTGAAATCATTATACACAGCTTGGAGATTATCGACGATCGCGTCGTAAATCGTAAGCATGCCTGCCTGACGGTACGATGATGGGGTGCATAGAGGCCTGAAGAGAAGGGAACGTAGCAACAAAAAAATGGTAGTATAGCTTGGAGTAATTCGCAGTGAGCGAGAGCTGACTGAGCGAGAGTATTTTCCTTTTCGGGATGAACAATCAGCAAAAGGTCCCGAAGCGGGATGACTGAGCAGGCCTGCTTTCTGCGAAAACGATGATTCAAGTCGTCTGTATGATCGTCAATCACCATTCTTACAGACATGAAAACACCGTCATGTAGGGTTACCGATGTCGCCCTGATGAGCACCTCAGCCTCTGAAGTGGCCCAAATAACATCTTCCGAGGAAGGAAGGAACTTGAAGGAAGTTAGTTATAGTACACATGTCTCGCTCACTCCGCCATTTGACATGAGCTTCACAGATATTCCGCGGCCACAGATCGGCAGAAAAGAGTACATACCATCACAACATCCATCTTTTCCCATAAACGTATCCGAGGTATGCCCGGTGCATGCATCAAGTACTTTCTCCTGAGGTTTTACTTCGACCATGACAGATTGTGCCAGCCATGTCCGACTATCTGTATGTCGCATCACCTCGCCGGATGTTGAGGTTAGCGTGTAATATTCGGGCGGTGAAGCATAGACGAATCACGATAATAAACTGAACGAAAAGACTGAACGAAGGGAAACAAGAGTCGCTGAGTCCTGACAAAAGCGCAACAAGGGCCGCCCCTCAACGTTCGACACGTGACGTCAGCAAAACTATTGCTTCCGTTTACGCCACACTCGAGCACACTCGACACCAGCGGTGGGTCAATATATACACAAATCTCCTCACGACGTCTGTTTAGCCCTCATCACTTCAGCTGTATCTCAAGAGAATATGACCTAACAACATCTTCTGGTTAAGGACCAAAGCTATTCATCGGATGATTCCACACGCTAAAACTACATATGAACATGGTTTCTATCAGACCCCTCTGATTGACAAAATCGATAAAAGGATTGCAATGCAGAAGCAATGATGTGCTGTACTCGAATACGGAAACTTGAAAACAATATGAGATCATGAGAGTGCTGATTTCACAAAGGTAAAGTCTTACCAAAACAAACAATCAGGTTCCCACTTATGCCTTCAGTGAAGGCTCATATCTTCGAGGGTGGCACCTACGTAAACTTGTCAATCCTGATATTACGGAGGGGCGTAAAACAGTAAGTTGAAACATCATACCAGGGACACCACTTTATCAACCTCTATTGCGAGGACCTGCACGAGCTTTGCAGTTCCCGGTATTGACTTCAGCCACTGACGGCCGTTACACCGTTCACATTCGGTGTCCGTGGGCATCGGCACATCCAAATTGCGTACGGTCTCGCCACACGGGCTATCCTTGAGTGCGAGAGCGACAGCCGCGAGATATTCGTTCACGAACTTTGGTGCGAACCATCGAGCGTGTGTACCAACCGGACAATAACAAGTCAAACATAACCCCATCCCCAACGCCCTCTCGTACAGCAGATCGGGACACGAGCTGAACCAGCGTGGATCGGATAGAACGGTGATGGCGGCAAGAGTACATTCGTGACGATACTGCAGGAGGTCATGATATTGGAGGCCCGATATGGTGGTGAGCCATGGTGAACGACAAGCGAACGTGGGTGACTTGAGCGAAGCTCTCGCCGCGTATGCTGCCATTTCTGGCGAGCCAAAACGACAGGCGACCGCGTATACGCCAAGCGGATTTTCATCAACGGTGAGCATCAAGGGTCCCATAGAGAGACCCTTGAGGGACTGCATCTCGTACTTCTCTGCCGCGAGGAGAATACGCCACACGTCGTTAAGATCCATCTGCACCTCCTGCCAGTCCCTCGTGTAGCAGCTTCGGAGAAGAGTGGAAAGAGTGGAGGAGTCTTCGGTAACGGGGATGACTGGTATGGTGTTCGTCTGCTCATAGGCAGAGACCGAGGAGGTGATGGGTGGTGGCTGTGGGAGGGAGAACATGCTCTTGAAGAAGGGAGATGCGAGGGATAAGATGAGTTTGTGAACGCGGAAGTCGATTTCGTTGCTGGATCGGATGATCACGTCCGCGTGCGGGTCGTCGAACGGCGCATCTGCAGCGCAGGCTTGCCGCGGCGGGCTTGAATGAGGAGAGGAAGGGGCAAGAGGGGTACTCGGGATGATTTGGTCGGACATAATGGTGGAGAAACGACCGGAAGGGATAGGGGGAGGGCGCTGCGAGGTGGAAAATCAGCAACAAAGACACGCTTCCTTATATATGGGAAGTAGACCAATTATGAAACACGCCTTGCGGTTAGAGAAGCCTTCCAACAGATGATCGCAGTCCGAAATCGTCGAAGTGGTGCGAGTTTGCTAAATCTAGATGCTTGCCTTGTGAATTGAGAATTGAGAAATGTGCAGGGTGAAGCTTTGCCTTGAAAGGAGTTACATCGAGGCTTGCTGACACGGGGAATAGATCCTGAAGCATCAGCCAGTGACAAGATTAGAATCACTCATCGCTGACCTAGATTTAGCACACCCCGGTCCGTCGCTATTTTGGTTCTCATTCCATTTTCTTGAGTACAGCCCACCCGAGCAACGGTGCTTGAGTGCGCAGGAGGCTGTACGAAGTGTGCTAGCCTAGAAGAAGACGGGGGAAAGCTTGGGTGAGAGTTTTATGGCTTATCGACAAACGCAATGCTGAGATGAAGGTCTTGGAACAACGTGTGTAGCGTCTGCGGGAAGAACGAAGTTCATACTGACAGCCCACTGAACATGACCTTATTCTTGGCGCACAGGCAAAAGAAAACAGCGATAAAAAAACACAGGCGACGTCATAGAATCTTAATCGTTGGGCCGTAAGCAGAGGATGTCGTTGTGATTGGAGAGGGTTAAGAAACATGGCGTCAACGTCCAAGGATGCACAATGCTCCATGCACGCAGAATTGATGTTCCTCGTCGCACTAAATGCCGAACAGAAGTGGTTAGGGAAGGGGTAACAAGACAATAATGGTACAGTGACGCATTATGGAGCCTGAACGCGAATCGCGGCGGCGAATTCTTGGTGGAACACGAGGGCATCATGTTGATTCGAGCATGTTCCAAGCAGCGTAGGTGCGATGGCGTTCGTTACATAATGGTATCGCAAGACAAAAAGATGTACAATCCTTTGCGCGAATGAGCGATGACGTCTGCCCGAGTACCTATCGAGGTGATGCGTTTTGACCGCACAGAGTCCGCACCCCGTAGATAATAGACGCAATTGTCGGCCGTAAAACGGATCTCAAGTAACCCATCGAACGCTGAATCAGACGGTACGACGTCGACAAATATGAACAGAGCAAGAATTTCTATAGTAGTCCGTACCATCAAGAGCTGGTGACGACTGCTCGAGTCCATAGTATGGATGCTCCATGCTGCAAGTAAATCGGCCGAGGCCTGGTATTTCAGTCTCCCAGGGGGTTGACGTTGCTCGTACCAGCGACATGGAAGACGATGTCGATGAGCAGATATTCAGATCAAATGTGGGTCCTAACGTTGGATGCCTCGGACGATTCTACATTGTACCAAATCGCAAGGAATCAAGGCGACCTAGAACAGACTCAATCAGTACATTGAAAATCAAGAAACTTGGTAAGAGGTGTGTGTTACTTTGACCTCTGCATATCTGTCGAATTCGACGGTGCTTCCTCTCGGGAATCGGGGTTTGGTTCTTCAACTTTGGCCGTGGTGTCTTGAGTAGGGCTACCCTTGTCCTCACTACTACTTGCCACGTTCACGTGCGAGGGACTAGTCTTCACCAATTCAGTGAGCACTCCCTTCTCGTATTCCCGCAGAAACAGTGGCCCAGCCTTCTCCTCCACCCTATCCTCATCCGGCTTCACGTTGAGAGGCCTCTCCATGGCCCTGCCCCAATACATCACACTCGTCCCACTCACCCTCCCTGGCCTTTCCTTCACGACATCTACCAACGCCTCATAGAAAGCCTTCGCCTCAGTCTCAAGCCCCAGCACTCTCAGACTCCGGATGATACGCGTGATACGCAGATGATTGTGATCGAAACGCGTCAACCAGCTGTCTCCCGCCCTCTCCTCAAACTCCGGTAGCCGTGTCAACACTGCCGTTCTCCCCTTCCCCGAGTCTCCATCCTCGCTTTTTGCGACCTTCTTCTTCTTCTCTTCAATCCCAAAACCATAAAATGCCATCATCCGTTCGAAAGCTTCGCGAAGACGGGCGCGTAGTGCGGGCTGCGTTCGGAACGCGACGAATGTGGCGCGATCGATGAGTGGCGCATTCCAGTTCACGCCCGAGCGTTCCGGGAGGGGAAAGACGATCTGGATATAGTCGTGGCTGTATTCTAGTTTGTCGTTTCCCCAAGAAAGGATCTCAGAGAGTGTGCGTCCTCTAGAGTCAGGTAATCCGTTGGGATACGTGAAAAAGCCCACTAGAGGGGGCGTTGTTGTCGATGAACGCGTGCTAGTGCTAGAGCTGGGTGACGAAGAAGAAGACATGGGTGCAATAAGATCACCTCTGGAGCTGAGCCGTAGACTTGTAGACTGTATTCCCGAGTAATGGGGAGCTCTGACACTGAGTGTGTAACGCAGAAGATGGAGGTGGTGGCGAGGGGCAAGCATGTTGTTATCTCGGCAATTACGTAAATAAGTACTCAAGCACAATCGCAATTATTTAATAATTTATCCATCCGTTCCCACGGGCTCAGGATTGCACTTCTTGAGCCTTGGGTTTTACTCGCACCTCCACCAACATTTCATCGGCCTGGTTACCAACGGTGAATCATTCGAAAAACTTCCTATTCCTTTATATGCACGAAGGTCAGCGATCAATAGTGAGCTACTAGATCAAGACTGAAGTCTGAGTCGTCTTCTCACCTCATCTGAGTCGCTCTCGAGGCAAGCCTCTTCTTCCGCGGGTCATACGCAACTAGGTCACGATACTGCTCAACCGTCAGCAGCTTAAGTTCATCTGGTTCAGCACGTAGCAGCTCCACCTTATCCTTCCCCACAGAACTCTCCTGAGCGGAAGACTTGATTGTTTCGAGACCGAAGCGACAAGCGATGGCGTAAACTCGAACGAGATCCGTGTCGATATGCTCCTTCAAAATGAACTCCGCCAGTCTGTGAAATGCTTTGATCTCGTATTTCTCTGACGCGAGGAGGATGCGGGTAACGTCGTCGAGAGAGGTGACGTTAGGACCCAGTCCCGGATAGCAAGCCCTCAGGAGTGGATCGAGAGTGCGAGCGTCCTCGGCGACTGGGATGACCGGCACTCCGTGTTTGTGCTCCGGCTCTTCAGTGGAGATACCGCTAACCATTGCACTGACGGGCGCAGTTTGGGGGCTGAGTGGCTGAGGAAGAGCAAACATGGTTTTGAAGCCGGGGGACGCCATGGAGAGGATGACCTTGTAGACGTAGAAATCGACGTTGTCGCTCGTGCGGAGGATCACTTCGGCATTGTGATCATTGAAGGGAGCGGCGGCGTCTTGAACCTGGGTGACTTCTTCTGTAGACATCGGGTGAGAAAACTAGGTGGAAAAGATGGTGAAACGTTGGTTGTTCCGTGAAACCTAAAAGCTGCGTGCTTTCGGCAGTATTTGGTCCGAGTCGTCGTAGATGCACCTAAGATGACATAGAGGATTAATCCAACTGGCTACTGATAGAGCGCTGCATTCTACTTACCTTGCTACCAACATGAAGTGCGATCGGTCGCAATGTTTTGATACGTGACAATGGCGATTGTTCAAGCCGAGAGCGACGGCATGCAGCGCGCCCTGCGGCGGAAGGAGAAAGACTAGAACAGATCTCACAGGTCAGCAACCCGTTTGGAGAGATTGACAAGGAATCTTCCTACCTGAGCTAGTTGCTAACTCACGTCGTAGGTACGATTGGCTGGGACACGCCTGTGGAGGTGGCGGAGGACGCGAGCAGAGCACGGATGAGAGGGGTAAAACTCTGCAAGCTGGTGATTTATGTTTCTCGACAAGGTCGCACGCCACGGTAATTCCTCGCGTGCGTGAATCGTCCACCTAGAGATTGGGCAAGGGCAGCGAATGCTTAGGCGCTCAGGACGCGTGTTAGATCATCTGGAGCTAGGTCCAGGTTTGCTGCTTTCGCTCACACTGTCTAGTGATATGTCGTAAGATAAGCCATACTGAGCAGAGACCATGCACTTCTCGAAGAATACGACATGTTTGTCAAATCATAATGGTTCATATTCCTGCCCATAAGGGTAAGCGCTCTGGCGAAAGACTTCGGAGAGTTGAGATAATATTGCTTACCCGACATCTGCAACGTGTATCGAGCTGGAGCTCCCGGACATTGCTGTAAAATCTCAGAAACATCGCAGAGCACGGGGGAGGTACATTCGTCAAAGATAGAATAGATTGGAGGAGAAGGGACAAGAAAAAAAAACAGGGAACCCAACACTCCGATCGGCGACGCGGACGAACACAGTTCGCGGCGAAGGTCTGGAACAGCGCGAAGCCGGAGTCACTTCAAGCTCGCGATAGAGTCAGTACAGAGAGGTTATCAAAACTAAAGTGCCGGGGCAGAGTCAACAAACGAAACACATGAGATGGAATAAGGAGTACGGATTGAAAGAGTATATCTCAACGGAACAAGTAACAATAAATGCTGCGAGCTCGCCGATCACTAGAAGGTTGGGATGTGGGTGATCTCGACGCGATATCGTACGTTCAAGGAAGAGCAACCTAGTGACAAAGAATATCAGCGGTCGCCGGGTGATCGCACGGAGATCGGAGGACACATACCTCGGCCAAAGCATCACGGACTGCATTGGCAAAAATGGCCGCCAACTCGACCATCCTACCCGACCTATCCATTTTGCATTTGTCACAGGTCCCGGTCGGCGGGTGAGCAAGAAACGACGGCTGCTTGAGCATCTCAAAGGACGGCTCCTCCTTCAAAGCGATTTCGGCTCGCGAGAGGTATGCCCAAACGTAAGCAGGGGCAAACCATTTTCCTTTCTCCCTCGCTGTCATGCAACTGCTACATCTCTTTGTTCTTGAGAATATCCCTGTATCCTGGGACACCATTCCTTGACATTCCTGGAGCCATGTATCGGATGTTGCAACACGACTGGCTATTTCACCGCACGTACGGTGGTATCGGAGCAGCTTCCGATACTGCCAAGAGGTAAGGAGACTGATTTCCGGAGGTTCTTCGCTCGTCATGTTGCTGTATGATAACGAAAGACAAGCCCGGGATGACAGGTGGACAATGGTGTCGAATCCAAAGCGGTAGGCGAGAGCGTATACTTTCACAGGTGCGTCCACAAGATGGCGGAGCATGACCGTCTGGGCAAGCTGGTCGAACGCCTTGATCTCGTATTTCTCGACGGCAGTGAGAATGTTTGCGAAGTCCTTGAGGTCGTGAACTTCCGGAGCACAGCCGGGATAGCACGCGCGTAGGATAGGATCGAGCGTATCCGAGCGTTCTTCCATAAGCACAACGGGTACGCCGTTTCTCTGCAGGTCCACGCGATACGCGGATGGATTACCCGGGGGTAAGGAGAACATCGCATCGAAGATAGGGGAGGCGAGGGATAGAATGATTTTATAGACGCGAAAGTCCACAGAGTCATTCGAGCGTAGGATAACATCCGCTCGAAGGTCGTTGAAAGGCGCGGCAGCGTCCTTGTCGGTAAACGAGTCCAACTTGGCCATGGTGAACTTGATTACGGAGAGGATTCAAACGCGAGAGTGAGGATTTGTGGATTCGTGGAGATTAGACGTTTTCGAGGTGATGAATCGACACGATAGTTTTGTGGGGCAGCTTGAAGAGACTATGATCAGCGACTCATCGCACTCAGGCTGGGATGAAGGACCATAGTCAATTCACCCTAAAAGATCTGTCTGCCTATGCCTTCAGATATATTTAGATCAAGGCCAAGTTACACCCAAGATCGAGCGCAGATGGAGTGAGGCAGAGATCCTGATAAGTTCGTTAGTCCTGGAGTGGTTTTTTTTCTGGAATTTTCCACCAGCTTTAAAGGGGTCGGGAACGAAGGGTCGTACCTCGGCTAACGTCAACACCAGTCGCGCAAGTAGTTGTTCGGCCCTCGCTTGGGAGTACGATGAGGGAGGCAGGATAATGGAGGGCAGGTCAGGTCAGGAGAGGACCGGTCGTCTTGAGAAGTCGCACGCCACCTTAATACCTGGTACATGTGAGATTGCCCGTCGGGCATGCGATCCCAAGACGTTCGCTAGTGAGCTATATCTAGTTTGGCAACACAACCACTACTCTTGGGTAGAATTTTGGAGAAATGTGGCGCAAGAGTCACTCATGACGTTCAAAAGAAACGAAACGAAAACAAGACATGATTGCACCTGATTGCACGCGGTACGATTTCCCAAGTGAAAAAGATTGTCAACGAGCCTATGGACAGTCTTACCTATCTTGTTGAATCGCTTTCTTGGAGCTGAAGCGCTCGTTCGTTATGACATAATGTCCAACAATATCGAATAAACTGAAAACGATTGTGTCAATGAGAGATAGTCTTTGAGAGCAGGGAGCATTCGCACCTAAGCGATCAGTTCAACTAATAATAGTTACCGCAGTGGCTTTCTCAGCCTCAAAGAGCACCCCTCAAGGCGCAATCGGAGTAAGTATAGACATAGCCGCGGTCCAGTACATCGCGCGCACAGAGCAGAAACATCGAGAGATATTGCCCAGTGATAGCAAGTCGATTTCCCCCACTTGCTCTTGAAGGCATCGGAGCAAGTCAGGCGAGGTCAGGCGGCGGCAGTGTCTTCGTGTAGTCTCTTTGGCGCGGGCAAGGCTACCTTCGAGCCTGGAGCGACATGCTATAAGTAGTGTACATCCAAATATAGTCCGCCCGGAGCTGCCTGCTGAGGAATGCATCGACCACAAGACGAAAGGCCTCTCTCGTACTTTTCCAAAGCGTTGAGTATGGTTGGTATGGCCGCCAGTGGAAGATCGACGGATGGGAGACCTCGTCCGGGATAGCACCTGATAGCACGCTCGCAAGATTGCATGCAGCAAGATTTTGGAGAAGATGATGATTGGATTCCATGCCGGTGGTCAGCATCGACTATAGGCATCGTCGAGCTACTGGTCTGGGGTAGAAGGGCCTGCGGTGGACTCGGAGAAAACATGCCAGTCAGGCAGAGAAAAGCGACGGAGGGTATTGTTTGGTAGACATGGAGATCGACAGGATCGCTGGAGCATAGAATAATGTCCAGGTCTCCTTTAGGATGATCGAATGGTACAGCTGGCATCTTTGGGTCGTCCTTTTTGGTTTTCCGACATATTTTGTGGAGTTGGCCAACGATTGGGAATACCAAGCCGCATTAGGCCGCATTCAATGCCAAAGCGAGGAGGCGGCCCGCAGCCGGTCCGGGCGTGGTCGTCCGCCCCGTTCATTTTGTTGGTCTTTTCTCCTTTGCTTCCCCTTATCGTTTTGGGCCACATATTTGTTTCAGTCTAGGCAAATCTACTCATATAGACACTATGGGTCTCTCAGGTAGAAAAGAAAAGCAGCGTATCCCAAACGATCCTCGTAATCTTTCGTGGGCGAATAGTGCGCACCTTTCCTACCTTTTTTGTACCGCATTTACTGACTATATCTCTCTATCTCCTCCACCTTTCCATGATGATTTTACTTTGTCTGGTTACTCCTCAAAGATGCGGCCAAATTTGGTCAAGCCTATCTCTCAAAGCTGGGCTGGGACCCGTCACAAGGTCTCGGCGTCGCAGGCGACGGGCGCACGAAAGCTATTGCCGTCGAACAAAAGTTGGACATGCTCGGAATCGGAATGCAGCACCAGAGAGAGGAAGGAGGCGTCGCGTGGAGGCAGAACAAGGACTTTGAGAGGTTATTGAGAAGGTTGAACGGACAGGACGAGGGCGGGAGTGGGATGAAGGTGGAAGGGTTTGATCGGGCGACGGAAGAGGCGGTGGACAACACGAAGGCGCAGGACAGTGCTAGCTCAGAGGGGAAGATGGAGGCAGAACAGTCAGAGGAGGGCAAGAAGGATAGGAAGAAGCGAAAGAAGGAGGACGCGGATGGTGAGGACGACAGGAAGGAGAAGAAGCGGAAAAGGTCCAAAGACGAGTCTTCCTCGTCCGGCAAGGACAAGAAGGACAAGAAGAAGAAGAAAAGCAAGTCGTCCTCCAGTGACGATGAACCCTCCCCTTCAACTACACCAGTCGAGGTCACTGTCGCCGATATACCCATCGCTACTCCAACTCCCATGCGAGCTCCGTATGTTTCTGTGTTACTCACGTCGATAACGTTCCCATTTTGATCCGCATTGCTGACATTCTTGTGTGGTATCCTTAGTCCCCGTGCACACCGCGCCCGCAACATTCGCGCCAAACGTCTTGCCTCCCTCACACCCTCTGCTCTCTCCGAAATTCTGGGCATCCCATCGGCCCCAACCACACCCAAACCCGGATCGTCATCCACCTCCACACCATCGACATCATCTCCCGCGCCACAAATGGAAGGGACACTCACAGTTATCGATGACGCCGCCGCCAACGATCTTCACAAGCTGAAAACGTCAACACAGAGCGTAGCAGATTATTTCAAGGCGAAATTAGCTGCTAAATCGAGCTCAGCTTCGGGTTCGAGGTTGAAGGAGGAAGTTCTGGCATATGAACAAGTTATCGAGCGAGAGGAAGAGAAGGAACCACGACGAATGGGACTAGGATCGTCTTCGTCGATGGGAAAAGGTCTTGGATTCGTTAGTGGCGGTGGCACGGGCGCTAGTGGCTTTGGTCTGCCCAGCACTTCCACCACGGCACAGGGAGACGGCACCACCGGGGAGGATCGCTCGGGACCGGGCTCTCCAAAGTCGACTTCGAAGTTTGCTGGAATGTTCGCTTCGGCCGGCATTTCGACGCCGGCGGCTATTAAAGTCGAGACGAAGGTGGAAGCGGAGGTCGTCACTGGAAATGCCGGCGATGAGCAGGATGCAAAGCGAAAGGCGAAGGAAGAGAAGAGGCTGAAGAAGGAGAGGCGTAAGGCTGAGAAGGCTGAGACGAAAGGCAAAGGCAAGGCTAGGGAAATCGAACCACAGGCCAACGATCCTGTTGTTGACGAGGGCGTGGAAGAGGTAGAAGCCGCCGCGGAGGTCAATGGCCAGGCGAAGAAGAAAAAAGATAAAAAGAGACGGGTGAAGGGAGAGGCGGTAAAGGACAGTGATGAGGGTAGGATAGCAAAGGAGAGGAAGAAGGAGAAGAAGCGCAAGAGGGACCAGGAGGCGGACGTTGGCTCTGAGGTGGTGGAAGAGCTCGCCGAGGAGAAGAGCGTGAAGGAGAAAAAGAGTAGTAAAAACAAGAAGAGGAAGGAACAGGTGGAGTAGGATGATAGTCCGGGGTGGGAAAGTTTCGCTTCGTTCCTCTAGTGCATGCACGATGTTGATGTTCCTTGGAAGTTTAGCGTATAAATGCATTCAGCTCGGTTTTCTAGGATTTTTCTATCGCAATTTTATAGCGCACGCAGCCGTATCACGGCACTAAGACGGGCCACACCTTCCAATTTATGATGCTATTCCTTTCCCATTCTTTTGATTCGTCGCCACTGACAGAAGGCTCACCAACGGTCCAGACTTCGATCAGCCCACGAGTCAAAGCAGTCGTGGTTTACCGACTTCGCCGCCTGCATGATGATCTTACTACGGCCACGAGCCTAGACTGTTAGTAGGCAGAAGGCTATGGAGTGCTCATGGCCGTGTTGGCAACTTGTAAGCATGGCTTGTTCGACTCCAGATGGTAAAAAAGACACACTGGGGATGCGAGGGAAAGCATGAAAAGTGACCCTTGGAAGGCTATCGACACCATCGATGACATATATGGGACACTCGACGTCGGGACAGTCTGTCATAGCCATCGGTGCGTAATTTCCTGCAGGTAGTGCGCGGCCAAACTTCATCGATATGCAGGACGTACCTTTGGACAGGATGGAGAGCCCTAACTCGCGATCACCGATATGTCGCTCCCCTCGTGGACTCGTCAAGGCGATTGAAGACGTAGGTTAAATCTTTCTCTTTGACTTCGAAGACGGCGGGGAGGTCTGGTACCCTTGGCCCCATAACAAAGGAAGGGATATGGACCGTATCCCCATTTAGGACGTCTCTTGAGGTCGAACCAAATACAGCGAGCCGATATCGCTCTCGCTTTGCCTCTCAACGCTACACGTCAGCATTTTGATCCTATGTTCCGGAGTGCCGTGTTTTTCCTATGGTTAGCAACGGGAGAGGACAAAGGAGAGACGTGACCACGTGACAGAGATGGCACCCAAAATCGCGACTGCCCATCGTTTGCCTCGGGACGTCCGTATGGACGTTGCTTCTCCGAAGCCTGAAGTTTCCGATAGCCACCAAAACGTGTCCAAACAAAGGCCCACAAACAGCCCCCAAAACTTTGCCCGGCACCTCCGCCACATATAAAGGGTCGCGTCTGAAACCGGATTTCACCCAGCTGCCACAACCCTGACCACCTCTTCTCAGACACCGGGATCTATCGCCACGCTCCTCCGCAACATGTCTCAGACATCTGAGGCGTCTATCTCTCCTCTGTTGGAGAATTGCCTGTTGCCTTTGAGCAATGAGGAGTATGAACAGCTTTCCAAAAACCTCACGTCCGGTTGGGATGATTGTCTAGACTGGGCACAATGTGCTCCTTCCGGGTGAGCTCGATCTTTTGATCGCTCGAGGACGACTAGCTGACGTTGTTTCTCGCAGCCCGAGCAGGTCTCTTCAACATGATGCATTCCCTCTTGAGGGCAGCCCTCGCGAGGCTACTCACGAGTATGTCCATTTCCCTCCACCTGCCTGCTGACGCTCTGCCGGACTAACTGCATGTCAATCCTTTGTAGACTCGCCGGAACCTCCACAATCGACGCACTCCCCACTTTTGAGCAACTCCAATCGTACGTGTCCCCTAGCACCTTCCATTTCTGCGTTGGTTTCTGATAGGAAATTTCAGGGTATTTGTTTGGGATGGGCCACAGGGTCAACCTCTTGAGGGCGGCTTTTCGTCGGACGAGGGATTCTATTGGTGCGTCTATGAATTCATTAACTGTATCGCCTTGATCTGACAATTGTTCGTCCATTCTACCATGAAGTAACTACTTTGACTGGCAATCATGGCCTCCCATCGAAGAGGCCTCCATCGCCGTCGCTTCTTGGGCGGAAATTCTTCCCGCCTATTTCCCGTCACCCCCTCCCAAAGCTGCACCAAACAACGACACGCCCAATCCCACCGCAAGTGCCCTACCGCCTGTCAGTCGAACGAATAATCCGAACGAAATCTCGTCACAATTTATCTTCCACCCCGTCATCACGCAGCGCGAGGCTCTCGATCTACAGTCCCGGTACTGCCTTCTTGCCAACGCTCCCCTCCCCACGCGCATTCCGACACCTGCACCAACGCCCATTTCGTCTGCGATAACGCCCATTTCGTCTGCCCCAACACCCACTTCGTTCCATGATTATGCTCCTAACCAGCAACCTCCCGCTCTGATCCCAAGGCCGAGAACCCCATCCGTCCCAGTCACCGCTCCCTCTGACACCGCATTCTCTGCCAGTCCCAGTAAGAAAGTCAACCTTCCACACCGTCCCACCGCTTCGAGCTCCCAGTCAAAACCTACTGCGTCGCAGGAGACCGAGGCCTATAAGGCCCTGCTGGCTCTGGAGCAAAACAGGGCGCGTTTCGATGTCCAGAAGAACCTCTTCGAGCTCGACGACGACATCCCGAAGGAGAAGCGCTGTCAGTGGGGTCTTCCGGCAGGAGAGCACCCGCACACGACCCCCACAGACCATCGCGGCGCCAAGGAGCATCTGAGAAAGGTGCATGGGTTGAAGCTGGAATCCAGCGAGAAATTGGCGTGCGGAATCCCTGGCTGTGTGGATTCTTGCGATTGGGGGAGTATAGGAAGGCATTTGGAGAGAGAAAAGCACTTTCATTCCGCGAGGGTGCACTGTCGGCTCTGTGGAGCAGGCAATCAAGTTCGGGGTGGAACGGTCCGGGGGCGAGACCATATTAGGACGGCTTGCTCCTGGACAAGGCCAGAAATCACCCTCGAGAAACTGAGAGAGAGGTTGATCGAGTCGGGGGTGTTCAAGGGTGATCTCACCCTCTCCGAAATGTCAACATCCCACTCCATTGCTAGTAGTTCGGCGAGGGGAAACAAACGCAGGAAGCTGTCCGAGGACTAGGGTGGTTGCGGTGAGGTCTATGCTCTTTGTCGCAGCTCTGTTTCACTGCTTTCCGATCGATGTGTCATCGTGCTTTCCATCTTTTTGCTCTTCTTCATTGTTTTCTCAGACTCGGTTCCACATAGCAGCTACTATTGATTAGGATATCTCCATCTGACTTGATCTTTTCTGTCGCTATATTGTATTCCTACACACTGGTCTAATCTTTGAGCTTCACTGATATTTCGAGCGGATGTCAGCCATGATTCTCTACGATACCTTCAGTACATCACCCTTATCCGCCTTGTATATTCATGTACCATTCGTCACGTCGGTGTCCGTACCCATACGTTGTGTCCCCCATACCGTCAATCTATATCGCAGATCTCCTTGTCTCGCCTGATATCCCATCTCCGTCCGGGTGAACCTACAAGACGAGATGAGACGAGCCCAAACTACGTTATCTAGTTGAGATCCTCGTCGACGCTCGTGAGGGGTGAATGTGGCGTAAGCTGTGTGGCACTTGCCGGGCGCTTGTTCTTCGGAAGTTCTACGTCACGAGTGCCACAGCCAAGCCACAGCGCCCGTCGCCCGAACCCTTCCTTCCGCGTGTCTGTCATCGCCGTACTATGTGTCTACATCGACTCTCGAACCAGTACTCTGCTCCTACGCCACTAGCAATCTCCGACACATACGTGGTCCACGACGGCTTAAGTCCGGCAGCGTGTTCTTTACTTAGGCTTGTATACGCTTCTTGACCCACCCAGCTTCAAGTTGCCCCATGAGTCGGGCTTGCGCTTTGCTTGCTCAGCCATAACCGAACCAGCCTTTGTCGTCACTTGAATTATGAGCAAGCAAGATGATTCGAGTATGATGTCGTGCTCCTCTATGGCTCTTGACGCCATCTATGGAGGTCACATGCCGGCCTTGTTCTCACCATTACCTTTATAAAGCGATCCAAGTCCTGGATGTTCTTACAGTCAAGACGCTCTGACCATAACAGTGGAGAACGCAGCAACACCTTCCCTGCCTCTTACCTCTACTCAAGATCACATCTCTTATCGTTCACCGAACTATCGCCCGGTTTCACGCAGCAGCTACCCGCCTCAGAGCATATCGTTCTCCACTTTTGTCCCATACTCACCTGCCACATACCTGGACTCGCCAGACTCAGGCAAATGGCTATTGAAAGTACCCTACACACCAACTCGGCGCCACACACTGTCACTGCGACATTGCAGTATTTCACTCCGCCCGCGGACGGTTCTAAACCTTGGATCTCAGCCACGGAAAGAGTACCGGGAACACTGCAATCAGCATCGAACTGGAAACACAAGGCTCATGTTGTCGAGATCGAGGATATTCGTGGGAGGGAGACAGACTTGGAGGAGATATCCTTGGACAAAACGGGCTTTCAATATTTCAAGAGAAAAACTGAATTCGATTTTGGAGGTAAGGGCGGGGCGGCGAGCGATGAAGCAATCGAGAAAGCCTACTATCCGGAGAGCATTCAGCTCATCAAGGACTACACGGGCGCGAGTAGAGTCGTACTTTTCGATCACAGTGCGTTCAGTTGAATATACTTCCAAGTGCCTACCGTGTCTGAATCTTCTTTCACTGCTCTACTTTGCAATTTCGTGCTTGCGTTCCATAGCCATCCGTCGTAACCGTCCCGGCGACACCGATGAATCTCCCTCGAACCGACACCCCGTTTCCCAAGTGCACGTAGACCAGACTACCGCGGCCGCCGTCGCTCGAGTCCATCGCCATCTCCCCGCCTCCGATGCGCCGGAGTTGCTCAAGAAGCGATTTCAGATCATTAACCTATGGTACGTGCAATCGTCGACGTTGACGTTGACCACGCAGTTTTGCTCTCCATTCCTCACCCTATTCTTACTTGCCGTTTCCCACTACCTTCTGCGCATAGGCGCCCAATCAACCATCCCGCGCTCGACTGGCCTCTTGCTCTCTGCGACTGTCGCTCCGTCGACCTATCGCGAGATCTCGTACCTATGACTCTGCGCTACCCCGATCGCGACGGCGAAGTCAGCGCAGTCAAGTTCAGTCCTGAGCATAGATGGAAATATATCAGAGGTTTGACTCCGGAGGAGGGGGTGTTGATCAAGTGGTGGGTCTCATTTTCACTCGTCTCCCACCACCTTAGAGCGCTTTTCTGTCTTGTGCTCGCCTCTCGTGAAGTTCTCACAATCTCGCCCACCACCGTTGTTTTTTTGAGTCTCTTGCTAACGTTTGCGCCACATTGTTTGATAGCTTTGATTCGCAACAAGACGGCAGTGTCGCGATTCTCACACCACACACTGCCTTTGAGGACCCGACGACGCCGCCGGATGCGCCGTTGAGAGAATCTATCGAGTTGCGAGCGTTGGTGTTCTACGATTGATTGAGTGTGCGTCCTGAGGGGACCCACTAGGACGGCTGAGAGGGACTTGAGACGTATCAGATAGACGGAGAAGGTTGGAGGAAGGTGCCGCCCATGTAGTGGCATGATCTACAATAGTTGATCATCGTCCTGGAACTGTACTGTATCGAGTGATCTCTTCCATTCTCTTCTTATATGGGATCGGTACATGATGTCTTTTCATGCCACAGTTCGTAGGAAGTTCTCCGTTAATGGCCTGATAGTAACTCTTCCAAGGAATGGTCCGCCCGCATTCTTAAACTATACCTCATGGGGACGGCAATAACGTGCTCTCGGACGCTCTGGCTGGCAAACAAAAAAGGGTACATTCTCCCCGAGACTAGCTCTTATATTGAACTCTCCCCAATTGCGATGAAGAGACCGTGAATCATCCAACGTAGGTATGCATGCAAAAAGCAAAAAAAGCGTGCTCCAGGGGCCAAGCGCAAGACGAGGGTCAATGATTATAAGATCAAACAAAGAGCAGATAAGGAGCAAAGCACGACGACAAGGCCGGGCGTGCAAGGACAAACAAAGGCTGAAACAATAACTGAAACATAAAAAAACCAAAGAATAAAGAGACCCCGGAGATCAGCAAACAAGCATTGAGACCCTACATCAACACCATCAAACGTCGTCAGTGCCACTGTGACAACCGACAAGACGCACAACTAGTTAATCCTGGACGAGACGACGTTTGAGCGGGCGACCTCTCTTCGGTACGGGCTCATTGAAGAGGACAGGCGGGAGCTCGCCACCCGCCATTGAGACTTTAACAAGCTGTCTCAGCGCCACCTCTGAGAAGGGAATCATGCCGTCGCTGGATGCTAGGCGCAGCTTGGTGAGCGCAGCGACTAGTGATTCCGGGAAGTCCTTCATTTCTCCCCTAGACTCCTGGTCAGGCGAGGCCGAAAGCCATTGCGGATTGAAGGAATCGCTGGCCGACAGGGACGATGTTGGTGTGGAAGGGGAGTACACGGGTGAGGAATTCTTCGAGGGGAGTGCACTAAAGAGGTCGGGGTGGAGGTAGGGAACTTGGCCCCATTCATCCCAAACAACGCTAAGGTCTGCGTGAGCGACGACGTAGTTTTCTCCGTTGCACCAGAGGTATAGAACCTCCTCATCCTCGTCATGAGTCTGGCACGGCCTATAGGTCTCGGGAGGATCGACAAAATCGGGGACGCGGAGCATACGACACGGGATTCTAGGAGAGGGGGATGATGCGAGTTCGCGATGCACCTTGGAGAATGCAAGTGCCGGAATAGATACGTTTGACGGTAGCCTGGTGGAGGAGCGAGAGAAAGGGTCATTTGGGGAGTAGGCAATAAAGAAAGAGTGACGAGAAGATGAGTGGCACTTACAAGGGAAGATCTATGTCCATAGCTGGACGCGCGTTTGTTACCAAGCGTATCGTCGGCCTGTGGTACAACGCAAGAAGCCATTAATGCGCTGGAACGATGGATCATTGCCTGGAGAACTCACTGCTGAGATATAAAAGAAAGGTCCTCATCCTCATAATCATCCTCGTTTACGACATACCCCAGGGTACAAGTACCCTTGAAGCTATCGACATCGTCACTACCATCCCCATAACAATGCAATAAAGAGGGGGAGAGTGTGCCGTCAGACAAAAAGAAGCGCGGTGCGTGAAGGATAGTGAGACATACACCCAGTCGTGTGCCACCGACCATGAACCGTCGTGGCCTCCGTAGCCTTCACCTTGATCATCCTGCGAGGCCTTTCTGGAGATTGTTTTCCTGTAAGAACATTATGCAAACAAATCAGACCACAAAGTAAAAGAAAAGGAAAAATAGAAAGAGAGAAAACGGACATTGGACTTTCGGAATGAGCTAGGTCTATCGGGAGCTTGTCGTGGCCTTCAGCATCACCTAGGCGAGAAGGTGGACCGTGAGTGATGTGCCATCCAGGTAAATCATCGCAGGAGTCCTGGAGGGTGTCAGGTATACTTTTATAAGCGATCATTGGTGGATATAGAGATGGAGGCGAGTCGAAAGCTGTTCTTCCGGAGTGGGTGAGAGCCTAGTGAGGATGGGAGTGACGGAGATCGAGTGCCTATGGGCAGAGGGTTTTTAAAGGATCGATAGTCATTGTATGCGAGTGCTTGTCCGGGTAAAAGAAGACGCTTGGCCGCACGACGCACTGGCCTGTGCCGTAAGGGACAAAGGGACAAACGAATCAGGTAGCAAGTACAAAGGGGCAACCGAATCAGTTCCCTCAGATCAACCTCAAGCTTCTTCGCATGATAAGGCACGTCAACACTCCACACTCTCACACGGATGGTACTGAGAGTCACTAGACGTCATTAAACGATACTAGCGCTCAGCAAGTGTTAAGAATAAGTAAGGCTCTAACCCACTTACCCCAACAGATCCGGTACCCAATGCTTCATGTCAAATTTTGCCATCTACATGCACCCGGAAAGGCCTTGTGCCACAAGGCGAGGAACGCCGACACCGTTGTTCTCGTCATCGTCGTCATCAGTGGCAAGGTGCCCGTTAATAGTCGTTTCCTTTGTGCACATTCAGCCGGCGCGTCCGAGCATCGTCCGAGTCAGGTTTCAATGACAGTGGAGGCATCTGAGCGTAAGATACAGGGAGGGCAGTTTCACGCACTATAGATTTCAACGCCCTGCTTCTTAGTGAGGAATGAGAGCGACGAAACATCATGAGAAGGCCGAGGGCGACGAGGGCGGTCACGGTGTCAAAGACGTTGTCCAAACAGGAACTTCAAATTCGGAACACGTCGGATGTCCAGCCGATATGAAAGCGGCAAATTGAAAGTCCGACTTCAGACACGGTCGATATTTTTAGAATCCAGACGAAGCGCAGATTTCTCGCGGCGAGAAAGATTATGTAGGTAGAGATACAGAAATTTATGATGATTGGAAACAGCAGAGCGAAGACAGTGGTAGATGATAGCAGTGAAAGCGAGAGAACGACATGACACAAACATGACACCCGGCGTCCAAAATATCCTTCAATCCGAGTCGTCATAAGCAGAGCCCTGTCCATCGTCCTCCCATTCCAAATTAAAGTCCTCTTCGTCTTCTTGATTGGGATCATCGCTGTCTGAGTCCTCTTCAAATACGATTATGATTTTTTTGGTGACTTCTGCGCTGGGTAGGATATATCTTGTTTTCATGGCCGTGACACGACTCGGAGAGACAGGTGCCGAATTTGACCCGGCGCCAACATCAGACGCAGTCTCGGTGAGGGTGGGGAGGGGAGAGGATGACCTGTCGCCATCAATGTCGTCCTGTTCTTCCTCGCTGTCGTCGGACACGGTATAGTAAGCTGCTCTCTGCACGCTATAGGAGGACGTTCAAACATCGAGACATCATGAGGCGTGTGTCCACCGCAGATACAGCACGAGACTGAGCTTACACATCATCCGGCACGCCAGTATCATTCTCTTCACCCTCCGACTCGGTGTTCTGGTTCTCCCACCCGCAATAGAAATCTGGGTTTGCCCCACTGCAAAGCGTGTATTAGCACCAATAGAAAGCAGAAGTGGAGGGAAAGACGCACGATGATTGTCTAAGGAGCAAGCAATACTGCCACTCGGGGCAGCAGTGATCCGGGTCTTGGAGACGACTGAGACCAAGGTGGTAGAGGATCCCGGCCAGATATTCTGATTCGTCCATCTTCGCAGTGGTATGCTATGAGGTATATCAAGCAGACGCCGATGCAGATGGTCGCGGAGATGTTAGTGAGAGTTGAAGAGATACAAGAAAGTCAACCGCGTCTGGAGCCAGACGCGTCTTAGGGTCACGGTACAGTCACGCGGTCGGTATTTCGAATATTCCGCGCGATCGCAGCAAACGGGATAAAACGGAACCAGGTGGCTGGGGCGGGCTCAAAGGATTGACCGAATTAGGTGGTGACTTGAGGCTTGGGCGTGTGCGAAAGTCTCGGCATTTCGAAACAGCCTGCAGCGTAGAGGAGTTACTTTGAGGGGAGGATCCGTCGACATGGGGCAAGGAGTAGAGGAAGGAGGAAAGGCAGGTGGCCAAAAGCGCGTTAGCAAGATAATGGTGCGCGAAGGCATAGTTGTTTTGGTACAAGATAACAAGCATTCATATGTGTAACTAGTTTATAAGAATACAAGCAGTTCGTCTATGACAGACGGTCGACTCCCAAGTTGCCCAGTGGATCAGACGAAACAGTCCAGAACAGGACCGAGAAAGAGAGGAGAAGACCAGTGATGAGGATCCGTGCTGCCAGTGAGCTATGACGAGAAACAGAGAAGATGCAACAGAATATCAGTGCGTTCCACCAGAGGTCTGGGTAGCCTGAGAAGATGCGCCGCTTTGGACCTTCCCAAAACGGCGCTCAAGTATCTCAACGATCGTGTTGTGTTCCGTATTTTGCAATACAATGTCCTGATGGAAAGGGTCAGAGGATTACAAAATTGCAAGTTCAGGGAAGACTTACGAGCAGCGCTTCGGACCTTTCGTCCTGTTTAGGGAGCGTCGAACCTTCAGGCCAATGGCTGACAGGGCCGTCCTCAAAGCCCTCGTCCTCATCTTCTGGCCATGAGTCCACGCAGTTGGCATTCCCGCCACCATTCTCCAAGACTTGCTTCACACGCTCATTGGCCTCGGGATAAACATATGCTCCGTAGGAATCCTCCCAACCCTCAGGCAGAGTTTCGTGAAGGTGATGATGTGCGCCGTCAAGTTCTTCGTCGTCTGAATCTTCCTCCTCATATTCACCATCACGATGGATCGGGGCAACATGAACGTGCTGGTAGGCAACTGGGGGTTAGAATGGTCTATGGAGAATCGTAAAAGGCATTTATTAATTCACCACATGAAGGCCGGCAGCTGTCGTAAAGTCCTTCTCGCAGGCAACGCAATAGTTGTGACGAGGTGATTGACCCAGATGCTATAAATACAGGCCGATGAGCAACAGAGCACAAACGACGACGAAGACATAGAAATACGCACGGTGATGTACGAGATGTAATCGGGGAAGCGAACTTCACATTTCTTACACTTCGGGTGGAACTGGGATTCCTGGACGTGCTGAGCACGATGCTCGCGAGTCTCGAAGGTCATGCTACAGTTGTTGCAGAAGAAGGTAGGCTGAGCCGAAAACGGCACGGACGAGGAAGACATGATAGAAGTATATGCGGTCAAGCTGTTGTTGGACAAGGTTTGATGAGGATACAAATGTGGGGTGCTGGTGCTGACCTTCAGCGAGCAGAGACCGTCCTACTTATATAGTGTCCTATGTCGTATGTAAAACATGGAGAGACTCCTGAGGTAGCATAGTACAGAGACTTCCTCTCACCGCACCACGATGACCAGCACCTTTCCGCCTGTGGAGCTCCCAATCGCGAGACATAAGCGCCGCGAAAAATGTGCACCGGGGTTCTCGGTGACTTTCGTCACATATGCAGGGCCAATATTGTACGGTAGTCAAGGGCACAGCGAGGATTGAACCTAAGACCTCCTCCGGATGTCTTGCACATCGCCACCGACCTGAGACATAAAGCAGGGACCAGAGCAAGCAGTGTTGTTCAGTCTCTGAGACCAGCCGGAACATTCAGGACGGTGGGTTTGAACAAGTGAGCTGCTCCAAGGCAAATTATGGTTGCGAATCCCGGGGAGGGACTCGATCGCCTGCGGGTTCTATAGCCGTTGTTCACCGGGTTTGCCAGACTCTTTGGAGGTTCATGTTGATAGCGTTCCCTTCAGCGGTTACGGGGGCCTGATAACTGGTCAACTACATGTAGAAGACCTACGTCAGTCTCAAAACTAACCTGAGATAATATAGTGCAATAGCGGGGCTGACTCTTGATATACTTAGTACGATGACGACACAGAATATCGTTGCAATATCGCGAAATGGGCTTTTTAAGTGAAAGTTGGCAGGTTATCGAAACATTTTGTGGTGATCCTTTTCTCTCCGGTGGGTATCGAGGCAGCGAAGCAGGCCTGAAATAGTCATGGACGAAGAGTTCAGATGGGAGATGACGAAGACGTGTGGTGCAGTTGGGAGACCGAAGAAAGGTTGAAAAAAGGCCGGAGAGCCCGCTCCGGTAGCAGTGTGGCACCCAACGCCACATCATCTTATCCTCTCTTCCGACGCAACTGTTTACATTTCGCGCCTCGAGCTCACCGCTAACACACTTCATTCACCAAGAATTGACGACCCAGGTGTCTCCCGACCGGAAGGTCAATCAGCAATGGTAAGCACTACCGTGTTCGAGCCCGAGACTGATCTGCGTGCCACGTTTGGGTGGTTAGGTGGTTATAACTTAGAAAGGTACATAAGAGGCCTAGAGAGCGAAAAAAAGACGAATCGATACAGGATACATAGATATATTTCACAACATGTATCATACGATAAGGAGAAGGAAAGAGAGCGAGCAAAGAATGAGAAACGAAAAAGTAAATCCATAAATCAATCAAACGAACCAGGACAAACCCGAACCGATACACAAAGCCCGACATTACAAGATAAGAGCACGAACTACATGCACACAGAACCCAGGTGGAGAGGGTAATAACAGAGGAGGGTTCAAAGAATAAGGGGGGAAAAGAAAGAAGATGAAGATAAAGGGGGATCATGGCTGAACATCACATGATGACACACTCCCGGCCCTCCCACCCAAGCTCGCGCATCATCTCCTCCGCAGACTCCTGCTCGTTCTGCTTCATCTTTTCCTTCGCCTCTTCTGGGAACCAGTCTTGCATGAAGTTCAGTAAGGCCCAGTCCACGTTAGCTATACCCATGATGCCACGCCACACGTACGCCACATGGCCGACCGGGACGAGTCAACGAAAGAGGGACCGAAAAAGAGGAGGATTGATGAGTAAATAGTCGAGAAAGTCAGTAGGGGACAAGGAAAAGTAGATACGTACAGCGATCAGCCTGAAGGACAGTCGGTGCACGACATAACGGGCAATTTCCTTTTCCGCGTTTCTGCATCTTCACCAAACATCTACCACACAGAGCATGAGCATTTCTCCTCCTACGCCATTACGCGCAAACAGAACAGAGGAAAATAAAAAAGCTGGAACAAACCTAACGCAGAACAGGTGCCCACAGAACAGCCTAATCGGCTTGAACGCAATACTCGTACAAATCAAACACGAATAATCGTCCACATGCGGGATCACGGGTAGTAATGTCTCGCTGATGGCTTGTACGAGCGCGCGGGGAAGGGTGAAGATCGTACCGGGGACGGTGAGTGTCATGCTGTCATGTAAACCGTCTGGGCCTAGGGGTATTGATGGGAGGGCGGAAGTGGAAGTAGGGATCAAGGCGGAGGAGAAAGGTAGCGATGTAGGAGATGGTGAGAGGGTGGAAGAGAGAGAAATGAAGGGGATGGGGAGGGCTGTTCGCTTTGCATGTTTCTTGAGGATCTTCCGCGTTGCTTCTGTATTCGCATGCTGAAACTATCCACACATCCACACATCAGAATCAATGTCACACCTCGACCGCTCACAATAAAAGCGTGAAGATAATGACACGCACCTTCTTCAGATCCAGCAACAATAAATTAACCTCCAGAAACCTCTTCAATGCCTCCCTACTCTCCCTCAACTTCAGCGTCCTCCCATCGCCCAAGCCCCTCTCCGTAACCCTCTGCACAAACTGCGCCAACCGCCCCTCAGAATCCTTGACACTCCTCTCCCCCCTCTTACTCTCGCTCAAATCCTCGAACACCTCCGCCTCCACATACAGCTCAAAGATCGCTCTCCAAGCGTACAAATCCGACTTCGCCTTCGACGTGAAAAGGGAGCCACCAGAAGAGGAGCGCACGAGAGCAGGGTCGGCGGAGCGGGAGTAGGCGTGGAACGACGATGTGGAGTGGGAGGGGCGGGCGGAGAAAGATATAGAGCGGGAGAGGTCTTCGAGTGTTGATGTGAAGTTTTGTTGCACTGTGAGGAGGTGAGTGGCTATGGATTGGAGGGCGGTAGAGAGGAGGCGGTAGAAGGCGGTGTCATTGACGAGAGGGACGATGAGCTCGTCAGAGCCATCAATGAGCCTGGATGATGAATATGAATGGTGAGGATCCAGCGTGAACGTGGGGATGCCATGTTAGTGGGTATGATGATGATGGGTCTAAGTAGGATGAGATAGACAGTGATTCTTGGCAAGTCCGTACGAGGATAACAAGGCCAAGTGCCTGAAGCAAAACAGACCGACCAGGATAGAAACCTCAGGTATCTGTGCACGACGCTTACAGAGCGTAATGAAGACCTCAAAGGTCTACATCTTGTGCAACAAGAGAACACAACGCTTTATAGCTGTGACTTGGTCTCACACGAAGAGAAGATAGGAAGGGTGGCACTCACGGGTCTGGTGTGGCGACCACGGACGCACGTTCGTCGTTTCCTCCCCGCCCATTGGCCGCAAAAGTACCACCATGCCGCTGAAGGGCGTAAAGCAAACTTTCTTCTCCCCATCCGAACCCCTTCTGCCGTTCGCCACCAACGCCAGCCTCGTTCCCGTGCCATCTCGCATCATCCTTGTCCTCTCCATCGTGACTATTCTCGACCTCGTCGCCGTGTTCATTCAGTTCCGATATCGAGGCTCGTTGACGGTGGTGTACGGAATTATGTTCAGATGAGGAAGGGGTTGATTCCCGCGGTGGTGAGGATGGTGTCGGTCTATGTAATGGTACGGCATCACGGTGAATACAAAAACGAAGTCTTGGTTCGATCTGGCCATCCTCGGATTCCGACGTGCTGAACTCGTAGACCACCTTCGGGAATGAATCCTGCTGAGCCACAAACGCACTATCGGTTGACGGCTGTTGTTTCTGCTGCAGTAGTTTCTGTAGAATTTCAGGCGACAGGCCGATAGCTTCGAGCTCTTGCACGACGTCCCGTATGAGTTTCTTCAACTACAAGCCACCAGTGAGTCAGAGTCAGTGTTCGACGGGGGTGATGAGGTAGACGTACCTCTCGATATTGAATGGCATTATCCCTCAGCTCTGGAGGTAGTGTGAGCAATAGTGAAGCATATGTCTTAGAATAGTGCATCGTTTGGGATTCATGACATGGACGTTCGTCGACAAGAATGCGGAGTACAGTAGGCCACCGGAAACGTCGCGCTCGGATTCGTTCCTCGTCCAGCTCCATGTCATGACCCGGTAGCCGGGCTCACCTCGCTCATCGGCGTCTCCCATCTCGACGGCGTTTTAGCAACGTTCATCTCGATATGTATTTCGTCTAAGGCCTGATTCGGTCTTGCAGCGATACACCTTTTACGTGTACTGCGTCGAAATGTCTCGGCGTACTTGTGCTTAGGTCCCTACGTTCGAAAGGCTGTTGCGTTTTGGGCTCTTTTCCCGGAGCCTCAAGTTCCCGTACCTTCCCGTCCTCCGTCTCGACATGCCACTGGCAGCCTCTTCGCTCCTCTGGATTCTTACACACTCAATTGCGTGCTAAAATGCACTGTATCCCAGGTCTGAGGCCCTGGTGGTGCCTTCGCCTCGACTTCGCCTAAGTTCTTGAACGTACTTGATGTTTTTGACTCTCGAATCTTTCTCGAACCCAACATGCATCAATCAGCTTGAACTGTGTGGGGATCGTAGCAAGCATGAGGTTGCCGTGTCTCTGTTCACCCTGATTATTCTCGGGTTTTTAAGCGTCTAAAATACAGGTATGTATCGCCCTTTGCGATCACTGATACACTTCTCCTTGCCCACACTTTAAATTTGCTTGAGTTCGAGGGGCAAATGACCGAGGTGAGTGCGCTACCAGGTATCAATAAATGTACACCGTGATATACCTCCCACATACCGCTTTGTTTCCTAATTCAATCCCATAAGGCAAGCGTACTCTTCTCCCTGTCGATATCCCTGCTGAGACTTGGCTGAGACGATACTTGAACACCAGATCACATATATCCCATCACTTCACGTTCAGTGCTCTCGCCGTATAGTGCTCAAAAGCCTGACTCTATGCTCGAATTCACAATGACTTGCGTATTTGCGACAGTATATCACTTACACCCTATGATCTATCCGTGTGCATACTTACTACAATTGCGGCACCTGCCATCCGCTGCTGCTCATACTCTCTTGCCTCAATGCAATTGTAGAAAATGAGAAGTTGAGATCCAATTCTCTTTTCATTAAGACTTGTACAAATATGGTGGGTACGAATGTTGAAACCGATGTGGCACATATATTTACCGAGCCATAGGTAAGTAAGTGAAGCTAATACAGTACTTAGATGGATTCAACACGGGATAGGAGAGATTGGCGTAGAAGGAGGAGGCTGGGACGTTGGAGAAGATTCTGGGGTTGAGACGGAGACGGTGAGTGTTATTGCTCAAGGGTGTGTCTGATAAGTGGCTAGAATATACCTTGTCTTTTTTTTGGACGAAGAAAACCTTTGGGTGCCACATGTTTAGATGATTTTGTGGATGGCTGCTGGGAGAGACTGAGACTGGGGCGGTAGCGTACGTGGTATCTGATGCGGGACAAGAGCAGTCTTAAGAACATTCATTTATAAACTCCCACTCTGAACCTCGTTTCTCTCATGCAGTGACGGGAAAAGAGCGGTCTGTTCGAGAATAGGAATAAATGTGGCGTCCCAGCACTGTTCGACACTGCTCGGACACTGCAACGTTCTGTTGCGCAGCGACCACGTCTGCACGATATTCACAGCCATGCCGCAGCTTGGTCAAGTCAGGCCTGCATATACTATCACAGTATTAACAGCAGAGATGAAAATAATACAATAGACATACCCGTTGGAGAGGCAAGTACTTAGTACGTACTGTCCAAGTGCCGCTCCCCGACTGGTCGGCACTTGCCGACCCGCGTCCCATTTACACCACGCTGAGTGACTTACTACGACCGTCATTCCGACTCACCTACACCTTCGACCCTTCACCCCTTTGCAATCCTTTTGATATTGACCATCCCATATAAACACTCACAAGATACTCCAGGAAAGTCGCATTCAACATGAAGATCTTCTCCCTTGCCGTCGTCCTCGCACCCCCTTCCGGCCCCTCCGCCGTCCTTAGCCAAGCCTCCGATCTCTCCTCCTTCTCGTTCTACCAGAAAGGATCCGTCGGTGAATTTATGACATTCTTTACGAAGACTGTGGCGGAGAGGACGCCTCAGGGACAGAGGCAGAGTGTGCAGGAGAATAACTACACGGCGCATGTGTATAATCGGGGTGGGGCGGAGCAGTTGGCTGGTGCGTACCTATCTGGAGCTCACAGTTGTTCTTCATTTCATTCGTTGTTCGGATACCTGTTCTCTCACATATACCCATCTTCTTAACGATGATCTTTAAACCCGATTATTCTTCGCTCTATTCTGGTCATTATTCTCCGATTCAAAATGCTAACTGTCCGCCTCTACTACCGCCCAAACCTATTCCAGCCGTAATCATTACCGACCAAGAATACCCGGTCAGGCCCGCCTTCTCCCTTTTGACCAAAGTCTTAGACGACTTCACTGCCAAAGTCCCCCAGTCTTCCTTCTCGAACCCTTCGGCCATTCAGTTCGGCGAGATCAATGCGTACGTGCAGAAGTATCAGGATCCGAGGCAGGCGGACAATATCATGAGGGTGCAGCAGGAGCTGGATGAGACGAAGATTGTGTTGGTAAGTCCTACGTGGCCTTCCTTCCGTGCCTTGCTTTCTATTCTCCATTCCATTTGTTTGTGGACCGAAGTGTGGGCGAAGATGGTAACGAGAGTATGGTTACTAACTCGGTGTTTCGGATCGTGTAGCATAAGACGATAGAATCAGTACTGCAACGAGGGGAGAAACTTGACAACCTCGTAGAACGATCGAACGCTCTATCCCTGCAGAGCAAGGCCTTCTACAAGACCGCAAAGAAGGTGCGCCCTCTTTACTCTGTTTTTCCTCCGCGCCTCGCTCACCATTTACTAATTCATGAATTGTACAGCAAAACTCATGCTGCAGCGTCATGTAGTTTCCCTCTCCGTTCCTACAATTATGTCTACTTCAAGCTGCCCCGATTCGAAGATAGCCATACAACGTCACGGACGACGCGCTACCATCTATTCTCTTACACCGTACACCGTACGACGTACCTTTTCATAACGCGATGATCGGGCTTTGTCGAGTTTCTCCCCTTGTATTGTATAGTTCTCATACCCCAAACGGACGGTCTTTGTTTTCACACGCCTCGAGTGACTTTCGGGATATAGACGAGTATTGTGGTACACAGGCCTTGCGTATGACGGCAGCTGTTCGGCGTTAGATGAACGTTCGACTCTCCAAGACCTCAGTTAGCAGGTTGACAAGTTCAGACGCCGTTCAGACTTCTTTCTGAAGTGGACTAACTAATACGGTGTCGATATGTCTGTTCGAACCAGTCGTTGACCGTCTGAACGTGAGCGCGGGAGCGCGGGAGCGCTTGATACCTGATATGACTTTCTCACGCCACCGCCACCTGACGCCTTCCGAGTCGACTCAAGACCTGCCTTTCCTTCAAAACTTGGACTATTGCAGGTAAGTATACACGGTTCATAAAGCTGGCGAGTACGGCCGAGACTCTCTTTGACCTGTTATATCGCCGGCCGAAACCGTCAGTCCTTTGAGGTGCGTCACTTCTATAATAATTTGCGCCACAAACCTGTTCATCCTGTCATCGCATACAGACACACGGAGCATGTCGATTCATATCTCATACACCGACTGTGCGGTTCAAAATGCACGGGCTGCGTATTCCTTGAACTAGGAAAGATGACTTCACCCGCTATAGATAATCTGATGTTCGAGGCGGGCCCGACTACCGCTGGTATCGGTCGTCTATCATAACTGTCTTTGCGCCCTCCCAGTACTGTTCCTCCTGTCCTTTTCAACCAGTCTCCTTCTGGAAGATGGTGGTAATCTATGCGTCAGACTACTTATTGCCAATGGTGGATAAAAATCATCAAAGATCCTAATTCTACTCGGCCTACTGGTGGTGGCCGTGGTCTGCCACGATCGCGGCGTTGCCCGCAAGCCTCATAGTCCTCTCCCATCTGCTCAAGATGCTCCACCATGTCCTTAGTCTCATCGCCGAGCGGTCAAGGTAACACTGATATCTGAGAGCGCTTCATGAGGTTGTAGTGCCCGAGGCAGGTTCGACTCCTGTTGGCACCGCTTTGGAGGCTGGGTCCTAGTATATAGCTTCGTTTTTGGGAAATCATGCCATTGCTTGGAGTAGGCATAAATGGGTCATATGGCAGTATTCTGTGTTGAAGCACGCAGTACGCCTGAGTCCTGACGCCGTACTAGTGGTAGGTGGCGTACTATCCAACTTTCCCGGTAAGCCGAGTAGTCTAGACGAAGCGAGGTATGTGTCTATTTGAAGTACTCTCTGTCCACGTACTCGTGCCTGGGCAGCTTCGGTTCTTGCCACTTTCGAAAAAGTGCTCAACAAGTGTTGAGCTACCGTGGCTTTCAGCGGCTCCCTCGTGACAAGACAGACCGGAGAATAATTATCCACGACACAATGTCCTCGATTCGAACGTCCACAACACGAGACCACTATACGCAAACTAAACTACACATCATTTCCCTTATAATACCCACCATCATGCGAGTTCTCCGCCGCGTTGAAAGCGTACTGCGCGCCATAGTTCGGGGCGAACGTTGTAGGCATGCTCGCCGGCGGCTGAGCCGTCCCTCCAACGAACATGGGCGAAATAACCTGCCTCGACTCGTCCTCTTCGTCCATCTGTCCAAGATAGTCTGCAACAATGAGGCAGCCCCCTATACCGAGCAACAAACCATGCATATTAGCATCGCATCCTCACAGAGACCGAGCTAGCACGAGACTTACACAGCTCAAGCAACCAAAACACGACCAGCAGAGCAACAATGATCCCCCTCGCGAGCTCGAAGGCCTTCTTACATGTATCATCATCGTCCCCATTCTTGCTCTCGCAACTACTGATGGCGTCCGACTCGGTGTCGCCTGAGCGGTGAAAGAGATTGTACATGAAAAAGGCGCCGGTGGCGATGCTGACGCCGAGGTGAAGCCAGACGAGGGTAGAGTAGGCCGACACGTAGGATTTGTTCTTGATTATGGTGCCAATGAGACTGTGGAGGGAGGACGTGTGCATGTTAGCATGTGACATGCATCAGAGTTGGGGTGAGAGAAGAACGATCAGGCAATCGGGCGGTGGTGTGAGGATGAGAGGTACAAGGGGTTGATAGAAGCGGGGAGGATGTGATGTGTGTAATGATGTTATGCAGGGAGACGCGAGAGGTGATCCGAGGTTGTGATCAGAGTGATGATAACACAGCGCCACTGCAAGTGTAGTGGCGGTGATGAAACAAGGACAACGTACCCGAACAAGGAGATGAGAGCCAGAAGAGTCCAAGACACAGCAGTGATGTACAGCGAGACCTCTTGTTGCTTGGAAAAATGGAGATCATCTACATAGAACGTGAAAAGATCAGATCAGTGTCAAAATCTTCAACTAGATGTAGCATCGGTGATAAAAGACGAAGACTCACCAAGATGCCGCGTTCCATACCATGATGCGGCGGCGAGTGCGATGCCAACAACAAGGTAAAGCATAGACATAATGAATGCGCCGAACCTGACCGGAATGCAGCAGCAGAACTTGCGGGAGCGAACGTAGCCCATGATTACTGTTGTGATTAGTTGAAGTCGGTGGGGAGGTGAGTTAAGAGTGGTGTAGTAGAAGAGATCTTCAGGTCGTGAACGACAAAAGAAAGAAATTGAGTGAATAAAGTATGCGTGAAGGTGAATGAAAGACGAAGGGAGGCGCAGCCTAAAAAAATCACCCCCTTCCTCTCAGGATGTTTTATAGGTTTCGGATAGACCTGATGATGCAAGCTAAGCGGGAGCTGTGAGTAGAGTACTCCTGGAGAGTGATGGTTTCAAAGCTTTCGGGGTGATCAAATTTGATGTGAAACGCTACTGAGAGCGGGAATCAAAAGCTCTGGATACCTCTTTGAAGGCCATAAGAAAATACATGGCGGGGAACTGTGATGACGGAGCCGGGGAGAAATGTATATTTAGAGCTCTAATTCGGTTCATAGACGGAGAAGATGAGATTGCAGAGCGCAGAGAGGAGTACTAGCTCAATGCCGGTGCAGTATATCTTAGTGAAAATACGATCCCTACATATCCTTTCCTGTGGGAGCGAAGGGTACGGTGACGGCCTTGACTTGGCCGAAGAGTCGTTCAAACCGATACACACCTTCCGAGGTTTTAAAGCACTATGGATATCAGAGTCTAGGGTATCAGAGACATGATATGATAGGCTCTGGACGACGTACATGAACCAAGGGTCAGCCAGTATCCATAGTAAACCAGCCGGTCTCGATAAACCTCACCCTCTCTCCTCTCGATAGCCGAAGCCAAAGTTGAGTGCACTGGCCAATCCACCCGGGATAACCAGCGTTGGAGCAGGTCGCCTTTCTCGTTGCGAGGATATCACTGACAAGAGTAGAATACTTTCATCCTCTTCAACGGATTTCCTCGTTCAGAGGACCGTTTACCTGAGCTGTTGTCACAATAGTGGAAGAGCTCATGGGTACTTACGTTTTGGAAGATGTTCTATTAGACCGTATCTGCAAGTGAATTGTTGACCTCGCCAAAGCTCGCTAAGGCCCAACGGACGCGACGATTGGCCCGATCACAGTTTTAAAGCCGTTTTAAACGGTTGCAGATACGGTCTATTTTGGACGCTTCGATCGTCGATCGGAATCCCAATCGGAGTCCCAATCGGAGTGCAATCGGAAAGAACCGGGCAGCTGTCATTGGTTGGCTCGACTTTCTTTCACGCCGCTGCCCGCATCCCGCCCGAGGAGGCTTCGTCGAGCCATGACCTCGGAGCTCTGTGGACTATTGTCTATCGAGGAGTAGTGTACATTCCGAAGAGGTTACAAGCGTGGTGTAATGAGTACAGCAGAGCAAAAAAACAATGGGTGGAAGTAAATCGAGACGCGATTCATCGTCCTCCTCGTCCCATTCAAAACGAAATGCATTGATATTATTAACGTAACCCTGGAGTATCCGATATCTTATACGTTATCCTTTGTCCAACGGTCTGATCATCACGAAAAAAAATAGCCATTAGTATACACTAAACGAGACCAGGAGAAAGAGCGGGACGCACCTTTCCCTCCATCATCCACTCAAACCCTTGTTTCACACTTGCGAGCCCGTCGGGCATGAGCAGCACAGGAAGTGGAGTGATATGTCCCGCTGCAACGACCTCGGTGAGTAACCGCGCAAGATAACGGCCTCGTTCGATGTCGAGTTCGTTCGCTTTGTGGAGGATTGGATAGTTGAAGTCCTGATTGTGGCAAGTGCGGCTAGTTAGCATGAATGGCGTGCATACGCGGGAAATGGTTTGCCGGGAACTGAGGAAAAGGATCATAAAAACAACGCACATAAGGCAGCAATCTAAAAGCACACATAAACTCCAAATTCATCCCGTCCCTCAAGGAATCGTAATACCTCACGCTGGCCACCTTCCCACCTGCCCTACTCAACGCACAAGCAACCTGCATAGGTGTCTCCCTCTCCGCCACACAATCAACCACCCTCGACAATCGATTTTTTGTCTGTATGTGGATTTCGTTCCCGACGCGTGGGGAGGTGTAGTCGAATACATGTATTGGAGGTAATGACATTGATGCGAATGCCTTCGACGGGGAGGGAGACGTTGATATTGGTCTCGAAAGTGTTGGTGAGGACGATTCTTTTGAGTTTTGTTTTGTTCCTAGGACTGAACGAGGGTGGGAGAAGCTTTGCACGAGAAAGGCTGTTTTTGGAGAGCAGGCGGCAAGAATTGGGGCAGATGGGAGGGAGATTTGAAGGAGTTGAATAGCGAACAATCCGGTGCATGTTGCGGAGCCGTAAATTAAGAACGGTGCCGTGTGATCAACCGTATCTATACTCCCATCGCTCACTAAACAAGAAAGCACATTCAATAAGGACATGGGCAGAAATCAAAAGACATTCGCAACGAACCAGAAGGGGTGTGCATCGACGTTTTGGATGGGACAGAGTTGGTAGAAGGAATAGCCCACGATGTTTGGTTCGATGGTGACGGAATGTTATGAGCGACATAAAGACATTGAGCAGCATTGAACAACGAGTGTCCAAGCTGACAGGCATTTTCAAAGGACCACGAATCGGGGATATGGATGAGAACACGAGCATCCGCGACAATATATTCGGAGTAAGCGCCATTCGGCGTCATTCCTGATCCAATTCCAAATACATGAGAGGTCAGCAAGTCGAAGACAAGATCAGATTCAGGGTAGCCAACCAAGATTGAAATATGAAGATGGATGCGGAGAAATAGAGATACGAACCGCCGTAGACGAAGCCTGCTACCCTTTCGCCAACACTTCGTACGCCTGGCCGAACGTCAGATCCAATAGTGAGGACAGTACCCGCGAAATCTGAGCCTGCGATGGCACCTTTGCGCTTTGCGTAAAGTACTGTTTTCCCTGTTTGCGATGTTAAAAATAATGCCGTGATTAGACCTTATATGTTTCAAGTTTACTTGGAACTCGTTGGCGGAAGATCTGTCCGATCCGCCAATGAGCTTTCGCAAAAAGTTTCAAGTTTTAACTAACATATAAGCCCTATTTACGATATTATGATTGAAAGAACGAAACACGCACAATCACAGGTGATCTGCCCCGCACATTCGACTTTGATCAATACTTCCGTCGGACTTGGTATAGGGACCGCCGCGTCTCGGAAAGAGATTGATCCTTGGCCATCGACAACTACGGCTTTCTGCATAGTCGGAACCTGTGTTCTTGACAGCGAATGTGAACGAGAGCCCATCGTGATTGTAGCCCACTCCAAAGTACTGGGCGAGCCACTCGAACTGCGACTGCGACTAGTATTGTCAGGAGTTTGGGAGTAGAAGGAGCTTCGAAGTGACACAGGGGAGCTGGCTTTATATAGAGATGTCTCCGGCGGAGATGCTCACGCAACCTCGGAGAAGTCGATCCATCCCCGAGGCCGGGTCCTCATCTTCTCGGATGTATGCAACGAGGACGAGATGTTTGCTGTTAGGAGTCTATGATTGTCTCTAATGATGGAGTACGGATAATTATCCATAGAAGAGATGAGGAGAACGACCACTATGCACGTGGGGATAGCAAGAGTCCGAACCATTCATGTCCATGATGGATCGGTAACGTAGATTTTCTTTCCCGCAGCAATATTGGCCACGTGTACGCAATGTTATAAGAGGTGTTATATAATCTTTTACACTGAATAAAGGCAGATGTTGGGCCACCATACAAACCATATTTAGAGGAGGTTAGCTCAGTTGTATGGATGGTAGTGTACGCGGAAGACAAACTCACGAATGGATGGATAAAGAGCGGCTCACAAGAAGCCACAAAAGCGCTTTTGGTATAAGTTAAGTACCGGTTGGTTCCCATAGGTCCTGATGCGCTGCACGCTGGCCGGGCCAAGTGACGATGATGACCGAGGCATGCCCGCAAGGAAGTATCATGACGAAACAGGATGTTGCCCGCTGTTTCCGGGCTCCGCGAGCGCTCCGCTGCAGCATAAATTTGGCAGTGGGTACAGACAGCTCTTTCCATGACACTTTCACAAGATGAAGTGGGCGAGATATATAGCGTGACGACTACTGCAGGTCTGATACCTGGTCTTATTCAGGCTCCAGAGTCAATGAACAGGCAGGGAGAAGCACATCATCATGCAAAGACATATCCATAGTCGCCATATCTGAAAAAGACCCATGACTTACAAAGTGCTCGAAGGGGACATGGAGGTGCGCTGGCGGAGACTCAAGATAAACCAGACCGCAACGGTGTTTGCAGAGCGCTGTGGCGAACGAACCTAGTGGAAGTGTCCGGTAAATGCCGCAGCAACGGACTTTCGGCTGGAGATGCCGAACTGTACAGTTGCTCAGCCACCACCAGCCACCGGACCCGGGAATGAATTCCCACGTTGAATAATATTCGGTTATTGCAACCTCAAGACCCCCCGACATCGCCAGCCATGGTGAGCACAGCTCGTTCTGTCATCTTGGTCAATACAGGGTGTAATGCTGACCGTACGATGTTTGACGTCAAATAGCCGAAGGAAATCCGTGACATCAAGCAGTTCATTGACATTGCCAGGCGAAAGGACGCCTCCCGTGCGTGTTCTAACCTCTGCTGTTGAGATAGAACACTGACTTCTGAGATTTTGACCTGTCTCGATGAATTGTAGAGGCCCGCATCAAGAAGATCAAGTCACGGGTGCCCGGCTCAAAAGAGAAGACGAAGTTCAAGATTCGCTGCTCACGATACCTTTACACCCTCTCCCTCGATGACCCAGAGAAGGCTGAGAAGCTCAAGCAGTCGCTTCCCCCTGGTGCGTCGCGGAACTTCTTCATACTCTTCTCCATATCTCATTTGGCTGTAATCATGATATGGCGACGAATAGGTCTGAATGTCATTGACGTGGACAAGATCCCCAAGAAGAAGTAGACGCGCACTCGCATTCTGTTTTCATCCTTCTTTCATCGGTCTTGTTCGGGGCGGGAGCACGCCGTGTATGGAGTACGAGTAGCGAGCGGGTGTGGCGGTTGTGCTGGTCATGGGCGATGGACGGAATGTCGTCGGTGGTGGTCACGTCTCTAGGGCGCCTCGTGCAGGCGGATTGTATGTTTCTTCACCACCACACCCAAAACTCAATTATGCACGCATGCATGACACATGTCCATCCTTTCTGTCTTCCTATATCTGATCTCGTGCGCTCCTGGGCAACATTTCCTGAACCGTATCCTCCATCCGACTTGCCTATCGTTTGGACGACTTCTACATGATCGAGGCTTATACACTGCTATGGACACTCTCGCTTATCAGGTTCAAGCTTCCTCCCTGATCTTGAGCATTCAATCGTTCTCGCCCACGCTCCAAACTGGGGCAGCCGCATTGGTCCTCCGTCGACTAGCATCGCTTCCCAGGACCTATACCTGCGTGTTGACGTTCAATGTCTTGTGGTGTGTTTGCTTGCAGAGTCTGCGGCCGTGCGCACATAATCGACTTTGGGCAATGTTGAGGAAAACTAGGTGTGGAAGTGACCAAAGCGAAGGGGCTCAAAATGATAATGAACCTTCGACCTCAGAAGGTCGATTACGCTAGAGTTGAGTTGAGCATAGGATTCGAAGACCTCTGTTTCGGCCCCGGCTATAGTGTCATTCCTCGTATGCATATCTCCCAAGTGCAAATACTAACAACCCACCCTCGTACGGACAGTCTCTCCATCATTGAAACAGCGATCACAAAGGGGCTTCCATCGCGGCAACTTGCAATCGTCGGCAGCGACAAGGCCTGCATCGATTTGAAAGAAGTCAACACGCCGAAATATGGATCTGAGGAGACTTGTGTTATGGTCCCCGTGGGGGCGCATACTCCGACAGACTGGTGTGTATTTGCCCCACTTCCGTCATGTGCACCGTGCTAATAAAAGTCATAAATAGTTGATCCTACATAGTAGAAATTTCGCACACCGTAGCGGGAAGGTAGGTATCACCTCTTGCTGAGATCTCTGGAGAACGGTGGGAATCGGGTCGGATGTGACTTCTGCTGCACGAAGTTTGGGCGAGCGCGTGGCGCCAATGGTTGCGGTGGTGCGTAGACCTTACCTCCGTCCCTCCTCTAAATGTTCCTTCAGCTAAATCGATTCGGCGATTATTTGTTTGTATAGGGTGGGGCCAGAACGGCAGTTTCACTGAACACACAGTCGCGTATGTCGTCCGCCTCCTTCACATTTCTGACTCTTGGCCCTTCGAATACGCAGCCCAATTGGCTATCGCATCTTCCACAGCCGGCTAATACCTCTGGGAATCCCTTCGGGCATACCTACCCCTCTCTCCTTCTACCGGTACCCATGACGAATCAATTCTCGTATAGGGTGGGGTCATATCCGTAGACAGCCACACGGTCCAATGGGTTGCAAGCCGCGTTACTACCTGCTCGTCCAGGAACCTCAACATCGTCAGGTCCTTCGGTGCGGATGAGAGGACTAGAAAGCGGCCAAGAAGTAAGAAAGAGCACAGGGACCAAATAGGCGAAAGCGGTGACTTGTGTGGAAGAACGGGACGGTGACGCTTATTTCGCAGGTCTTGAGCGAAATTGATGCGTGATTGCTGTAATTATGCAAGGGAATGGAGAGTCCGAAGGGGAATAGGACGGATTTGACGTATGATTTAGAGGACGAGGTCAGTCCTTGGGTCTTACTTTTTGGATCGTGCGCATATGGGTTATTGTGGTGCTGACGTACCGGTATCGCGACAGTGTGTTTCGATCTGTTCATACAGCAAGAGAACTTCAGGGCGGTTGTCTTCCCGCACAAGTAGACGCCTACTCCAGAAAAGTGCAGCGTGGCCTTGATATTCTCAAGCCTGCTAACGTCATCATCTCTCTTGGGGAAATGTCAAGCCATCGCCGGAGCTCGTTGTGCAAGGGTTGACGATCGTTCTGGATGGATTCGGGTATATGATGAGGGGGAAGGTGCGTCCTTTGTTTCTCTCGTTATCGTGAGCTGCTCTCCTGCGAAGTAGGTTACAGTTAGGGTGTCACGGTGAAGGTAGATGGGTAGAAGATCACGTATGTGATCACACTGGACACTCCGAACATCAAGTAACTGTGTGGTACCGCCACATCTATCACCGTTTGTCGAATGCTTCAAGGAACGAGAATGGTTTCATATGTGCACCTTCGTCTAAGGACGTATTGCGGTCCGGTTTGTTATGAAGCCAAAGTATGTGGCCCTATACGGTGCCACACCGCCAAGGGGCGCGAGCTAATCAAAGTGACTTCAACGTCGGCGTCTCGTCCCGATTGTCGGCGAGCTTGAGATTGTTCCTGCACGACATGCACTGCTTGGTCATACACATGGTACAATCTCAACTCGCCCTCGGCCTCGGATAGTTTTCTCCTCTTACCGATGCTGTAGTGTAAGGACCACTATACTTCTTTGAATGGCTGTGAATAAATGTAGAAGTGGTCGTGTGCCTCACAAGGTCATCGATTTAGCGTACTTGGGAGAAGTGGAAGAAACTACTCTAGAAAAGTGTAGGGTGCAGAATGTTCCCGATGATTCCTTGTGACTTCGGGCCAGAGAACATCGAGGGAGAGACCGCTTTTACTTCCGGGTCACGGATAAAAGGATCGAGTGTTTGTAATTCATCGATGCCCGCATTACATCACTAAGCAGAGACGGTTCGTATATTTTCTCTCCACCTTCGTTCGTCCTCTTGACCTATTTCCCCCACCCACACACAAAACCCTCCCGCCGCAAAACAAACAGAAACAGCAGCAACAAAAATGGCCCCAAACAAGCAACTCGCTATCGTCGTCAACGCCGAGGGCGGTGTCGATCTCAAGGAGGTCGATGTCCCGAAACCAGGCCCTGGAGAGGTTCTCATCAAGGTCGTCGCGGCGGCCCAGAATCCAACTGACTGGTATGTGTTTTATTCTCTGTTGGCTTCCTCAATGCTGGCGGGCACCCTCAGAGAGTAGAATCAATTGCTGACGAGGTCCGCTATATGTAGGAAGACTGCCAAGTGGGGTAAGAAGGCGGGTTCCATCTCTGGATGTGATTTCTCTGGCATTGTGGAGGAGATTGGGCCGGATGTGGCTCCTGGATTGAGGAGCGTTGGCGAGCGTGTGGCGTCAATGGTACACGGCGGTACGTGAAATCCCGAACCATCTCGATTATATGTCCTAACACGCTACTATTAATGTTGGTATAGGTTGGTATCAGAATGGTAGCTTCTCCGAGTACCTCGTTGCATCCGCCGAGCGTGTCATCCGCGTCCCCGAGTCCTGGTCTCTCGAAGATGCGGCCCAACTTGGCGTTGCACCCCTTACAGCCTGCCAGTGTCTTTGGGACTCCCTTCCAGGCTTACCCACTCCGATGTCCCCATCCACTTCTTCTACTCCCGAAGCCATCCTCGTTTGGGGTGGAGCATCTTCCGTTGGAAACTACGTGATTCAGTTCGCCAAGCTCTCTGGATTGCGAGTCATCACCACCGCTTCGCCGAAGAACTTCGACCTCCTCAAGTCCTTCGGTGCGGACGAAGTCTACGACTACAGGGACCCGGACGTCAGCAAAAAGATCAGGGAGAGTACCGGGAATAAGCTGACGAAGGCAGTCGACTGTGTGAGCGAGAAAGGAACGGTGGGATTCATTTCGGAGGCGTTGAGCGAGAGCGAGGGCGGTACGATCGCGGTCATTTTGGGTAACGAGAGCCCGAGGGAGAATGTGAAGGTGGTACCGAGTCTGGCTTATGATTTGTCGGGCAAGGTGAGTCTTCAAGTGCCATTCATCCGTCCGAGTTCTCTTGGTTCTTCCCTGCTCTGGCTTGCGGATGCACTGGGTGGCGTGAGATGGTGCCACAGGGGCTGACTATTGTCGTGGCATTCTTTGTGATCTCCATAGGAATACGACTTCCCACGCAAATGGACACCCACCCCAGAAGATATCAAGCATGGCCTCGAGATTTGGAAGCTCGTCAACGACATCTTCGCTTCTAGTAAAATCAAGCCCTCGCCGAAACTCGTGTTGCCCAAGGGTTTAGCGAGTGTCCCCGATGGATTCCAGTATATGATGGACGGGAAGGTGTGTTCTATATCTACCAAGACTGCTGTGAAGGCGTTGTTCTTATGAGGTCGCTGACGGATATGATGATGTAGGTCAGCGGACAGAAGATCACATATGTGATCGCGGACACTCCGAAAGCCTGAGCGATGATATGACCTGTAACCATTTTTTAAAGTTGTCGGGTGAAGGAAGAAGAATCGATTTATATGTGTATGTATCATCATTGAAAACATTGTTTCGTCGACTCTTCCTCGAGTGTCCCTCGTCTGGCACATCAGCGTGGTCTGAGGTATTAGAATAGGGTTAGCGGTCTTACAAGATTCCAACACTTGTATGGCTTCAGTAGAGAAAGCGGTCATAAGCCCACTGGGCATCCGCTAAGAAAAAAAGTGTGCTTGATGGACCATGATTAGAACCAAGGACTGTGTGTTTCTTACGCTTGTATCGCCCGCCACCCGTGACCAGGACCCCGGGCACTGGGGCAGCGCCCGCCCTGGCCCGCCCGGTCGAACTCTGTTGAACTTTGCAGTCGCCGCTTCAGCAACAGTAGACACCTCCTTGACCATCTACCCTGTTCTTCGATGAGCATCAACTATGCGATCGACAGAAGTGTCTATTCTGTGATCGTTCAGCGATATGGCTTATAAAAGAGTCTCCTTTAGCTAGAACCTTCCATCATCGTCCTGCCCACAGAACAACGACAACAGCACCAACAAAAATGGCTCCAAGCAAACAACTCGCCGTTGTCGTCAATGCTGAGTCAAGGAGGCCGATGTCTCATTAACAGTCCCTGAAGGGGTTCTTGTCGTCGCGGCAGCCTAGAACCTACTGGTTCGTGCTTCCTGCACTTTTCATTACTTGCTCAATACCTGGACCGGTCAATATGCTTGGATCGAATCGAGAGCTGACGATGTTGTTTGACGAATAGGAAAGCGGCTTAGTGGGGTAAGAAGTCATGTACTATCTCTGGATGCGATTTTTCGGGTGTTGTGGAGGAGATTGCGCGTGATATGGCAGGATGTGGCTCCTAGATTGAGGAATGTCACGAGCGTGGCGGAACGCAACTGGTACCCAGCCATCCTTCCCTGTGTTCCTCCCTCCTCAACTCGTTTTTTTGACGTTGACATAGCCTGATACCAGAACGGTAGCATCTCTGAGTAGCTCGTCACATCCGCTGAATGTATCATCCACATTTCCGATTCATGGTCCTTTGAAGACGCATCCCAACTCGACGTGGCAACCGCCCATAGCCCTCCAGTGCCTTTGGAACTCCCTTTTTAGTGTACTAACCTCCCCTTTCACTTTCACCATCTCTCCTCCTGAGCTGATTTTCGTCTGGGGCGGGGCGTCTTCTATTGGCAACTATGTGGTCTAACTCGCCAAGCTATCCAGTCTGAATGTGGTCACCACTGCCACAAGAATGTCGATCTCGTCAAATCGCTCAGGGAGGATGAGATCTTTGATTACAGGGCCCGCGGGTGAGTAAGAAGATCAGACAGAACACGAGGAACAGATCGACGAAAGCGGGGGACTGCGTGAGTGAGAATGGCACGGCAGTATATATCTCGGAGGCGTTGAGCGAGACCGAGGGCGGTATATGGCGGTCATTTTGTTGGGCATTGAAGGTCCAAGGCAGAAACTCAAGGTCGTGCTGAGTTTGGGGTGCAGTTTGTTCGGAAAGGTGAGTGTTTGAAGTGTCAGTTCTTCATGCTGTTGTTACCCTACGTCACTCCCATCAAGGTATTATATGGTGCCACAGGGACTGATCTTCTGGCGTGACGGCGCAACGTCATTAATGCATAGGAGCATCACTTCCCGCGACTGAAAAAATGGACTACTCTCCCGAGGATATCGGGAATGGGCTCAAATCGTAAGAGCTCACCAACGACATTCTCGCTTCCGGCAAGGTCATCGCTGAGGCTCGGGTTGCCAAAAAAGCTAGCGAGTGTGCCCGAGGGGTTCAAGTACACGATGGAAGGAAAGGTGTGTTCTTTGCTGTGATTAAGAATATAAGCCTCGTTCAGAGTTGGGGTCGAAAGAGTGTTTAAACACTCTTTCGACGGTCGTTGAACGTATCCGAGTCTTGGCGGTCGAAACACTCCTTTGTGAGCCAATCAGGAGAGATGCCGAATGAATACTCTCTCTCGGCTATCAGAGTGTTTCGACGCCAAGAGTCGAGAACCCGCTCAACGACTGTTGAAAGAGTGTTTAAACACTCTTTGCTCATGTCTCGAAATCGAACTCTGAACGAGGCTATAGAATAGCCTCGTTCAGAGTCGACATCGAAAGAGTGTTTAAACACTCTTTCGACAGTCTTTGAGCGGTCCTTGGTCTTGGCAGTCGAAACACTACCTTGTGAGCCAATCAGGAGCGATGCCGACTGAATACTCTTACACGGCCATCAGAGCATACATTACTCCTCGCTCCTGATTGGCTCACAAAGGAGTGTTTCGCCGCCAAGCCTCGAGTACTTCGTCAACGACCGTCGAAAGAGTGTTCAAACACTCTTTCGATCCCAACTCTGAACGAGGCTAATGCACTGTCCTGTGGTGTTCTTCGCATATATTCGCTTACGGATGTGTCGATGTGGGTGAGCGGACAGAAACGCACGTATGTGATTGCGGACGCTCCGACCGCATGAAGCGATAATTTTGTACGTCGCCGTCTTCTAATGCGGGAAGAAGAATGAATCTATATGTGTATGCGCGACCGTTGGGGCAAAAAGAAATCTGTTCTCTCTACCTCATGGTCCAATGTGCGGCCTTCCCCGATTAGGTGACACTTCAGCTTGCTACAGAGCCTCATATGGGCAAAATTGTCATCGACTTTTCTATCCATAGTCTTGGTGGAATGAATTGTTTCGTTGTCGAAGAGTTTAATTATGCGATCCTATTTTGGCTATGACCTCATGAGCTTCCCGCTATCTGCACTTCGATGACTGATACAAAGACGGTCATAAATCCAGCGTCCCTCGCCACTTGGTGTGTAAATAGGGAAGAGTATATGTTCGTGCACATCTCGTTATACGCTTCGTCGTCAGATCACAACGAGAGGCCACGAAATAGCTCCGCATATCCCATCTTGTGTTGTATATGATCTGTTGTTATCTTTCTCTAGACCACCGAAGCGTTTGAAAATAACACTTCTGTCACACTGCTTTCATCTCGATAACGATCCAAGGACATGACCACAATGGGACAGCAGATTTCTCACACTAGGTCTCTCCACTATCTTCCAAAACAAGCTCCTGATTCGCACAAAACGGTCATTCAGCGGCGCCTAAGTCATCCTTGGATCGTAGGCGGTGCACCCTCATAGAGTATATCAGGAGCGTTTACCCTATGGCAAACGGCACCTTCTCCCCTTCTCCGCCTCTCACGACCGTAGCAACACAGCACTCCCAAATATCAGTGCGCGGCATTCGATATGTCTCCTCCTTTCAGATTTCTCGCGGAAGAGGAAGCCTTCCTCGAGGCCCGTATCATCGCTGATGACGTCAAATCTGGAAAGAACAATAAAGAGTGGTACAACTCTCTTGTGGAAGGGTTTCAAGACGAGTTTCCTTGCGGACCCCGTACATTGCCTAATGGATTGGTCGAGACGCAAGGTGAACTGATGATGAGATGGAAAAATGTTCCGAGGGTGAGTGCAATCCAAAACCATCCTATCGAAATTTACACTGATGCAATGCGTGCACTACCGCCATAGCGAGTCAAGCGATGGGTCCAAAACCACCAGGAATCTGTTCTGGACAAACATCGTCGGAAGCGTCCTCAAACCTCCAGCGTCCGTTCCGCCACGGTACGCGATAAACGGCATCGCTCGAAAAACGCTAGAGATATGGCCAAAGCTCACGACTCGGGTATTAAAGAAAAATGGCTTGAACTCCAAGCGCAGGTCAAAGCGGGGGAAATCACTAAATCTGAAATGTTGAAGGTTTACAATGACGCTGTCACCGCGCTTTTGAAAAACCAACGCTGGAATGAACACTACTCCGCCCTGGCAAAATCAGAGGCGGACATGTTGCAAAACTTATGGAAATCACAAACATTTGACTTTATCCCCTATGCGTGTGTCTTTCCCCCTCATATTATTACTTTTTTCTATTCTCACAAAGTCGCTTCAAGTAGACCGCCAGAGTCTCCAACCCAACAGGGAAATAACGACAACTGTATAATCACTGACGAAGACGAAGACCGATCACGTACAATCTACAGTGTCGAAGCCTCTAATTCACAAATCATTCCAGAACAACATCAGGAAGACGAGGACGTGGTGAATGATCTGAGCCATGCGATTGATTCTGGCCAAGCTTCTACGTCCCAATTGCATCATGCTCACGTTTCTCCCTCCACCACCCCCATCGATCAGCTTCGCCCATACAAACCTGCAGTCTTTCCTGTCTTTGACAGTAGTGTGCATTTGCAGGAGTTCCACACGGTGGACCGCCCTGCTGATCAAACACCTACTTCTCCGATAGCGTGGAACGATGTGAACCAGAGCGACTCCGTGTTAGTGGAATGGGGTCACAATACCCCGCCGTTCGATCCGCTTCGGCAACTACTTCCATATAGCACTCAGACACACGGTAGACCTCCTCTCTTATCCGAGAACTTTTATGTCCATTGATGTCTTTACAACAGAGCTCACTACCACACTTCCATCATATCAAGAGTATAACAGTAAACGCCACTCCAGAGATTGTAGTCTCGGCAGAGATCGTGTCCTTTGTGACCCTAATACGTCTAGTGCAGCCCTCTCCATCGCATCCGGAAGTCGTATTTCAGTCGAGCAATTGCGTGGGCGCCCCGTTGCGACCAATGAGGCACACATGCAAACGCCTCCAGAAAGGCATGTCCTAGATTTCGAGACACTACACAATGTGCTAGCCGTAGATCGAGCTGTCGAACATAGTATCGTCGATGTATCGCAGGCCACAGCTGCACCATCCAACCAGGCTCTTGCCATTCGTCTTTCTTCTCAGGATCCGTTTAGACGACCCGCCTTGAGCGATCATACCGCTGTACGAGCTTCGATCAGCGGACATTCACACTCTCAGCAGAGAGACTTCGACTTCACCCCCTTCTCATCTAGCACACGTGATACAGGGCATCAATGCAGGCATCGAGAAATTCCGTCTCTTACGAGTCCTGTTGACTGCTATGCTGCCTCTCCGGACAAATGGTCACCGGCTGGTGATTGGCACCTGCAGAAAACAATCAGAACAGAACGCAAACACATCCCATACTGTAACTCGCTTGCCCTCTCTCACGATGGGAGGTTCGTAGCCTCAGGTCACGAAGACGGTGTGATTATTTTGTGGAGTACACAAACAGATGATATCGTTTCTGGGCCATTGAAGGGTCACACACGCCGGGTGAACGACATTGCATTTTCCCCAAAGGACGAGCGTATTGTCACTGGTTCCAGCGACTGTACAGCCCGAATCTGGGACTGTACAAACCAAAAGCTTGTCAAATTTGATGGACATCCAAGAAGTGTAGAGCTGGTTGCATTTTCACCTAATGGCAAACAAGTCGTTTCATCATTACATGCATCCGAGGGGCCTGAAGGTTCGTTGGCCATAGTATTATGGGATGCTCGCTCTGGAGAACAAATCCTTGTCTTGAACACAACTCATGATTTCAAGGACATTCGCAATGTTGGATTCTCCACGGACGGACGGTTCGTAATGGGCACCTATCGTCGGCGCTTTTATGCATGGGATATTCAAGCTGAGACGGGCCAATTAGTCCAATGGACATCCAAAGAGCAGGCTGGCCTCGATTTAGTTTGGGTTGGGGACGGTTCTATGGAGCTGTTCACGCGCCAAGACGGTGAAGTCCGGGCGTGGAATGAGACGAACCATCTTACTTGGAATAGGCCTGTGACACTCTCAGCAACAGGAGAGTACATCGCCACCATTTCCGAAGACGGTATCATAATGCTGTACTCTCGAGATTCATTCAGTCTGTCAACTTTATGCATCACGGCAACAGAGGATATAGATGAAAAGCACCGAAAACTGTGAGTGATTTTCGTCTCATGCACGTAACATGTGTGGACCCATACTAAAGACGGCGATGCTCCTTTCTTTCGACAGCACCTTTGTCGGAATAGATGATTATGACGATCCGGATAGTAATGGATGACTCTGCGTTATGGACATGTTTGTATTTATAGTCATTACGTTGTACTCCGCCTGATAAATTTCCTCCAACAATATTCGACTTGAAGTAGAAGACATTCATTGGACATCCTTTCCAGTACAGCAAAACCATCCATCCATGACACAGTGACCAGATTGTGGTGGGACGACGTGTAGGTCGGAGTGTCCACAAAAGTTGATTTCGTTCGGGAACGTGAGATGCGACTTTGACTCCGGCGACAAGTACATTTGAACCTTCATGTTATTTTTGTGGTTGTTGAGCGCACGCCTGTGTAAAAAGCGCAACAAAATTCCAGCTCAGTACTCATTTTCGACGTCTGTAATTGATTGAAAGAGATAGAGTTACATTCTCGAGCCGCTTGTGACCACTGATCTATTTCCCAAGAATCCTCTACCTCAATGCCCCAGTTTCTCGATGACCATGCTTAATTCCGAACGGCCTCCTGCCGCCAATATAAACCTAACTCCCATATATCCACACCCCCGCTGCCTTTAGAATCCCAAGCCCAACGCACCCGCCCACAAGCCCAATCGTCCCCGCTGTCACAACCTTCACCACATTGTCCTTCTGCACCGTCTTCCTTCTTCGACCGCCCGCGCTTCGCCCTCCATCAACTTCATCGTCATCTCTACCGTTCTGATATGCACGCATTCCGTGGCCTTCGCCCGCCTCCATCTCTTCTTGCCAGAGATCGTTCCTCCGTGCGAATGATGTTCGAGAGGAGAGCGGAGATGGGGAGAAGTACATATCGAGGAAGGCATCGAGGAGTTGGGAGCCGTCGAGCATGGGGAGAGGCAGGAGGTTCAGGAGGTAGAGTGTCAAGGTCAGGGATTTGAGATACCTGTTGTCGGAAGGAGCGTGTTCAGCGGTCGAAGGGCGCGTCGGTGAGATAAGCGACAGGAGGGATAGAGAGAAAACGTAAAGATAAAGCATGAGGATACGCACGCAAAAAACGTAGAGACTGTTCCCGGAGTGTATACAGGTAGGAACCAGAGCAGGGAAGGAGGCTTAAGCGACGAAGTTTCAACTATTGAAGAGAGGGTCCGGGAAGGATCGGTCAGCAGGGTGTAGAAGTGTTCGTAGTGAAGATCCAGCGAACGGGACTGGAGCACGCAAACGTACCCTGCTCCCAAACCTCCCCTCTCGGTCCTCTCCATAAGACAACTCTCTCCCTGTCCTCATCCAAAATAACGATCCTCAACAACTCCCCCCCATCCCTCGGCCTCACACATACACCATCCTCATCTTGCACCTCATCATCGTTCACAAATGTACACGTCCAATGGGCCTTCTCTCCCGGCCCTGGTGATTTTGAGTCTGATCCGTCTGAAGGTTGCTGAAGAGGTGCGGAGTGATGTTTCGTGCTACATCGGTTATGTATATTGTGTGAGCTTGAAGCAGAAGACGAAGATAAAGAAGAGGGGGCGAGGATAGGGCGAGGATCAACGCATTTTCGATCTGATGGGAGAGGGGGAATCCCTGCTGGTGTGGATGGTACTGGTGCGACGAAACACGCGAGGTCACCATCTTCTGTCGAGGAGCGTGTGCAACACGTCTCAGACTGCGCTGGATCCCATAACCGCCCAAGTTAGTCACGTGTTAATCGATTTCTGCTGTATTGAGCTCAACAAAGAGAGATCCTGTTTAAGAAAACGTACCCCGCCACCAGGACCCTCTGACGCACCATCCAAGATCCGAACCCGGCCACGCGGCGTTAAATTGGCTATCCGTGAGATATTGCGTCCATACGTCCATTTCGGTGCCATGACCGTCGGTGTGGATATTCAGCGGTATGTCATCGAGGCCGATTATGAGGCTTCCGAGGGGGAGATGTGGGTGCAAAGGAGAGTCCTATATGCATCAAGAATAATATTAGCAGAATAAATGTTATTAGCATCGTGAGAGAGTGTATGAAGGACGAGAGTAGATTGAACCAAATCGTACCTCATCAACACCAATGACAATCTTACCCAGATCACTGACATCCTCCCATATCCATAATGGATTCCACATCCATCCCGCCAAGACCAACATACCCCAGAAAACGAGGTTATGCCACGCTCCTGCAGCTGCGATGCGTGCACGTGCGCGAGATGGGAGGGACAAGAGAGAGGCAGAAGGGAGGGCGACGAAGGCGGAGGGAATTAGGACTGTTAGTGAGACGCCGAGAGAGGTGAGGGGGAGGGAGTCACTGAGATTGCGTAAGCGTTAGCGGATATATACATAGAGGATTAATATTATTTGAAAATATAAACGTACATAGCGGCCGAGAAGAAGTGGCCTGCTTCGTGGATTATTTGGGAGGTCAAAAGGGAGAAGATCAAGAGTGGGAGGTGTGAGAGTGGCGTAGTAAGGCCGGGGATCTGCACTTCCGTATACAAGGAGCCGCAGTCAGAACTGCAAACACAAACCGATCATGAAAAGGGGTGTTAACCGTACGAGCAGAATGAGTTGTAAGTGACTAGACGTCGCGCCTGTCGCAGTAGAGGGCGACAGATCCAGCGAAGCTGTATGTCTTTTCGTAAGATGGTGGACTGAACTAGAATTCGGATTCGAGTCGGATCCGTGTCGCCCGGGGTGTGGGCCCCAGACGCTTTGTCCAAGTACCCAGCAAGTCCATACCAATCCTAATATTCCGAGAACCATTCCAACAGCACCAGAAATACTTCCGAGGTCGTAGAACAATGTCGCCAATCTCCTACGATGCTCATTCCCTTGCTTCATGCCACTTCCGGCATAGTAAGACGAAGGTCGAAAGAGCGTCTCATGCCAATCATTCAGCACAGTCGAAGAGATTCGAAAGTGCAGCTTGGAGACATGAACAGTCCAATGTCGGCTCTTCCAATTCGACTCCAGCGCAGTCTTTTTATGAGATCGGCGGGATGCTGACGCTGAGGTTAGGGGCAAAGGGGGGGATGATGATCGGAATATTGAAGAGCGAGAGAAAAGCCGTGAGAGTATATGTGGGAGAGCATGTATACAGAGCCAGAGCACAGCGAGCCAAAATATGAACGCGAAGAGATCCATATGTCTGGGCCGCTCAAGCTGGTGCCAGGTTTTGATCAAGAACAAGTTCGGATGTGGCCGCGCGTGGCGCCACCTCATGGGAGCGCTTGTTGTCTGATAAGATAAGATCTGAATTTTGTGAACAGAGATCATCCTCTGGACTTGTCTTCAACGTTCTCTTGCCTCGTCCTTTGGCCACTCTACTCTGTTTATTCTGTCGACAATCTAACAGACTTTTTATCTCAAGGCTGACTAGTAAAAAAATAAATCACGTCAATTGCTATGGTGGCAGCCGTCTTGAAGAGAAAGAGGAACGCCGCAGGAGATGCACCGTCCAATAAAGTGCGTGTCTCTGTTACAATTGGAGAAATTGTAGCTGACATCATGTCTACTAGAAAAGACAAAGATCCGAAGACACGGATATCTCATACGCTAACGACAATGCTCAGGACACCCTAAACGCCCCCATGGACTTGGACTTGGACTGGTTAGAGGAAGAGGACGAGGAAGAGGAAGTGGGCTCAGAGGAAGAGGAGGAAGATGAATGGAACGGACTTGGAGACTCTGGTACTGACGCCCCGATATCTGGGCCCAGTGGCGGTGGAGGAAAACCGAAGAAACCACCGACGGGCGAGGAAGTTCGAGCGATCAAGGAGGCCACTGACCTCTACAAGTCGAATACCTTCAAGCTTAGAGTGCGTTCCATCTCTGATTTCTCAATTGACATCGTAGTATGTGCCAGCAGCCACGGACTCGGAGAGTGTATTGGTTTTTACTCAAAGACGGAGTACGGTATGGCGAATCATCTCCTTGAATGGACGCTCTGGCCACTTCGGGATGCAAAGTACCCACTGAATCCCCTTGCTTACTACATGTTCGTGGTGGCTCACAGAGTCAAAAGGGCTTACTTTCGACTGTGATATTGTGCTCTTGCCCTTTCATTTGGTATCAACCAAAAGGATACATCCCACACACGACTACGCCATACTGGTCTTCCTTAGAAAGCCCATGTTTTTCACCTCTTTTCTTGACCTCGTCGCCTCAAACATATTTTGACATCATACTTCGGTTATTCTAGATCGATGCTCTCCTCCCTACCATTCGCCCAAAACAATCCCGAACAGCACCTCTCGAACGCTTCCTCCTCGAGCTCCACACGTTTCTCTCCTCCCTTCCTTCCGTCGCCCCACAACTCCCACACGAAGCAGCTCGCTCCGTCGTCACACCCTCCTCCTCCATATCTGCCTCAACATCAAAAGACACTAAAGGCAAATCAAAATCAAAAGCCCGAAAATCCACCGAGCAAGGAAACGCACAGAACGTCACTGAAGCTATCACCGTTGCTGTACCATTCCCTCTGCCCATGCCACCAGCGGACGCAGCGTACAAACTTGCGTTTGAACCCCCGTCAAATATCGTTCTCACGGGCTCCTGGGCGACGAAGACAGGGGTGAAGGCGAAGGACAAGAAGCCTTGGACGGTGGATGTGGCACTTGAGATGCCCGCTGTAAGTTTTATTTCCCTGCTGGACCTGTTTCCTTTCTGTTTAATCTCCGGCGCGACCAACTGGTATTTTCGCTTTCTAGGATTTATTCCAAGAGAAAGACTACTTGAATGGTCGATTCTTCCATAAACGTGCTTACTACCTCGCCGTCATCGCACGCCACATCGTCGACTCTGCCTCCTCCTCGAAGAAAGATAGGCTGAACGTAGACGTGTGTTACGAGTCTACGAACGGTGATCCACGTCATACTACATTAATCCTGCGTCCCGGAGCCGGTAAATTTCTTCCCTTTCAACTTCTCACACGAACTAGCTTCCTGCTCACTGGTATTTTGCGTGTGGCTCTTTCTGGGTCTGGATGCAGATGGCTCTCCGACAGACTTCACGTCTTTGAATGCCCAAGTCCGACTCTTCCCCTTCCTCCCCGCGACGAACCCCATGTCGGCCATCCTCTCCCGTCTTGCACCAACCCGAAGCAACCTCCGCATCACCCCGAACCCAAATTCCACCCCAGCCGTCGACGCCACTGTACCAGCCCACCTTCCCACACCGCTCTACAACTCTGCCCTTCTACTGTCATACACCCCCAAAGAACACCTCCTCAAGAACCACGAACTGACAAAAGAGGTGTCTGGGTTTATGGACGGGATCGCGCTCCTGAGGGTGTGGGCGAACCAGAGAGGGTATGATGGTGGTGCCTCTTCTCCTGTGAAAACGATCAAAAAGGACGGCAGTGGTACGGGTGTAGAAAATGACGCGATGTGCGTGCTCGGTTTCGCAGGCAGGGGCGCTTGGTGGGCTGCGCTTGTCCAGGGAATCGCGAGTGGGTTCGATGTAGTTAGGGTGGATAAGGATGGGAAAGTGAAAGGAGGAAAAGGAGGCGGAGCGTTTGGAGGGAAGGGGAGGGCGATGGGGAGAGGATTGAGTTCGTATCAGCTGTTCAAGGCTGCCTTGGATTTTCTTGGTATGTTTGTTTTCAGCCCTTGCCCCACCTCACAAACAGCGGACGGAGGTGCATTTCCTAACTTTGGATCGATATTGACTGGGCTGGTTTGTGTGTTACAGCAAGGTGGGATGTCCAGAAGGAGATGGTGTTCGTAAAAGGTGGCTCTGGGCATCGGGTGAGTGGATTCGAAGGTTTCACCAATTGGCCACTCCGATGCTGACTCTGCGTCGTAGTTCCAGCCAGAGGAGTATGCCATTCACTTATCAGTTGGGCCTGTCTTTGTGGACTCGTCGAGTTATGTCAACTTGCTGGCCGGTGTACCTCTTTCGTCGCTTGAGATGGTAAGCCGTCGCTTTCGTCGAAGCTTGTGGTGCGTTATTGATTCGACGATTCACGCAGTTGAAACACGATGCCAAAGTCACGCTTCACGCTTTGGACAGCGGCTTGGCGCAGAACGATTCCTTCCCAGAGGTTTTCCTTAAAGACCACAGGGATCTGGCCAGCCGCTTTGACGCCGTCATCCGGTAGTTATTAGTCCCTGTTGCCGTTTTGCAGCGATGGACTCATCATATTGCTCTACTTCTATAGCGTGGATCTCTCCGCCGTCAAGGTTCGGAAGCCATCGTTGCATTCGACCCTGGAGCATGGATCGCATTCGGCAGCTCTTTTATCCTCTATCTCATCGTACCTTCACCGTGCCCTCGATCAACGTATTCGTGCCCTCGCCATTCTCACCCCTTCATCCGAATCACCCACCCAACTCCGCGACCTCTCAGCCGCTCAGCCCACAACTCCTACGACCATCACCATTGGCCTCATCTTCAACACCGAACATGCCTTCCGGCTAGTCGACCACGGACCTGCTCTCTCTTCCACTGACGAATCCATCACCGATGCAAACACCCAAGAAAAAACACCAGCCCAGAATGAAATCGACGAATTCCGCGATTTCTGGGGCGACAAGTCTGAGCTCAGACGGTTCAAAGACGGCCGTATCGTCGAGTCCGTGGTCTGGGAGATCAAGACCGCAGACGACAAAGCCCACATACCAACGCGCATCGTCCGACACATTCTATCGCTCCACTTCGGAATCACAGAGTCATCGCATATCCAGACCTCGCAGAGCGATTTCGACTCGATACTGAGGTTGCCAGAGTCGGTCTCCACCACGTACGCGGCGATGGGGATGACGGCTGGTTCTAAGGCCGTAAGCGCGGCGCTAGACGACTTTGTCAAGGTGCTGAAAGGGATGGACGACCAGCTCGTGCTTTCGGTGCTGAACGTCTCGCCGATATCGGAGTATCTACGCCATACGAGCGCATTCGTGCCCATCGCTTTGCCGCCTGCTGCGTTGATGGCGAATTCGGGGAAAGTGAAGGAGTGCATGAGCTATGTGCCGACAGTAGAGGTCGTTGTCGAGTTCGAGAAGAGCGCGAGGTGGCCGGATGAGTTGAGGGCGATACAGAAGATGAAGCTTGCGTTTTTTGAGACGATGGCAAATGGTCTCATGGGGAACGTGAAGGGGAGTGTGGCGAGAGTTATCGTTGGTGATGGTTCCGGTAACGGAGGCACGGAAGGAGGGATAGTAGATGAGGCGAGGCTGGAGGTGGTGTTGAAGGAGGGGTGGTGTTTCGTGTTCAGGATCTGGCATGATCGCGAGGCGCTGCTCCTGGACCGGATCATCCACGATCGTGAACCACCAGCGTTGAAGAAGTTGCAAGGACCACAAGACGAGGCGGAGAAAGCGCGGTTGGTCAGAGAAGCGACGGAGGCGAGGGAAGTCTATACCAGGAGGTTCGTTCATGCACCGAGACACCATAGAGCCGTCATGGCGCTTTGTCATAGGTTCTCCGCGTATCCTGGGACGGTGAGGTTGGTGAAGAGGTGGCTGGCGGCGCATTGGCTGCTACGATGCCATATCAGCGAAGAGGCGGTCGAAATTCTTTGCGCTAGTGTTTTTCTTGGGGTCGGGTCTCCCTCAGCGAAAGAAGCCGACGATGTGCCGGGGAGTAGGGAGAGAGGCTTCGCCAGGGTTGTGAGGCTGTTGATGGAGTGGGAGTGGGAGACTGGCCCGCTTGAGGTGTCTATATACGAGGAGGGGACCGAGGCGGGTGACGGGGGCGTTCTAGGGAAAGGCGTCACCAAGGGAGTCTGGAGGTTGAACACGGCGTTTGATGTGGACGGGAAGATGTGGACCGCTCATGAGCCGGACTTGGTGTCTGCACTGAGGGTTAGACAAATAGCGAAGGCGACGTGGGATCGGTTGAGGGCAATGGAGTCGGGGCCATTAGACGTGAAGGTACGTATATCCTTCGTTCAATGGTTGGTGAGACGGTCATGGTTTACTGAGGTTCTGGGTTGAATACCAGGCACTATTTGTTCACCCTACGGACGATTACGACTTCATCGTTCAACTTGACCCGGCCGTCCTTCCTCGATATTTCCAGAACGTAGCCGCAGACCCGAATATCTGGGGCCACAAAGGCCGGTACGCCAATCTTACGATCCAGGATGATGTCAAACGGCCACTACGACCGGGTTTTGACCCCGTGCAGATGTTCGCCGATGATCTCAAGGTACGTATCTCACTGTCTAACCATTCGTCAAGCTCGAGTTTGAATGGTCGGTATAGCGCGTCTACGAGCACACCTTGAAGATCTTCCATGATCCGTTGGGTGGCGATCGCATTGGAGCAGTGTGGGAGCCAAAACTGAAAGAGGCTCATCCGTTCAAGGTCATGAGCCATTTTTCAAGCCGTCCTGTCCCAAAAGTGAGGGTTTTTTCCAATATGAGTTAGAAATCTATCGAGACTGATGCCTTCTTCCTCTGTCTTGTCTTTCTCTATTTACTTTAGGGTGGCGAAAAGGCAAAGAATTCCAACCATTGGGAAGTGGTCGTCAATGAGGCTGGAGTGCTAACGGAAATCGCGAGGATGGGCGCTGGTCTGGTTCTGAATGAATGAAGGTGTCGCTCTTTGGTTGTTGCTGTATGCTATTTGCTTTCAGTGGTCGCACATCATCCTCCTCTGCTGTCTAGTATCATTATTTGCATCTCCCAGATGATCGTCGCAATCATATGTGGCACATATTTCTGCGTAGTGAACCGCCCGTCTTCCGTTTTAATAGTTATGCTATATTTTGACTCGGCTCTCATCCTCTACTGTAGTCCAAGAAAGACTCTCAACATAGGTGCCGCTACACAAGAGCACTATTGACCTTGTCGAGTGTTTCGGCACAGGCGCCTATCTATGTGGCGAATTTCGTGCCACACAGGTTGTGAGAAGGGTGCGAAGGCGGTGTTGTCGATGTTTCAAGGTCAGTGCGTCATCGACGCGGCCGCAGAGACTCTGGAGGAATGCAGACACAAAGAAGACAGAAGAAGACCCACCCAAGTCCGAATCTTCATGAATATGACGCATAAGTAATAAACCGAGTTGTGTAGCTCGCACGATATGTATCGTCTCCGCACCTTTCCCTTTGAAGTGCTGCATTCCCTCTCCCCACTCATCGACTTCTTCACGCCAAACTCATCAGATCCCATGGCTGGTCCTTTGCAAAGGGCGTTTATGGCCAAATCAAGATTCTCTGGCCCCACAGTTGGCACTCTCCCGATACCTACGCCTGGCAAGGATCAACTGCTGGTTAAAATCCATTCGGCAGCCTTGAACCCTGTAGATCCTTATATGGCGTTCACAGGGTTTGAGGTCCATTCGTATCCTGCTGTGTTTGGACATGACGGGGCAGGCGTCGTAGAGGAAGTCGGCGCGAATGTTAAGAACTTTACTAAAGGAGACAAGGTGTAAGTACTTTGGTGATTCGCTCTTGCCATAGGCCTGACGACCTCAGACGTGAAGCATGTTCGCAGGAGATACCTTCAGAACAGAAATGCATACCTTGGCAGAATATGCGATCGCCGATCCAGCCGTAACAAGCAAGGTGAGCCGTCACGTTTACTAGACTGACCACATACCGAGATTTTGACGAGGCTTATTCTGCTATGGCGAAAGTAGATTCCTTCTAATGTCACATTCGAGGAAGCTTCGACGATCCCACTTGTCCTCTCCACCGCAGCCATAGGCTTGTACGGAGTGCTCAAGAGAAATAACGGAGGTGCAGGTCTCGTTGCCCCATGGGAAGAAGGTGGCAGGAACAAGTATCAAAATGAGCCTATCGTCGTACTAGGTGGCTCGTCAGGTGTGGGGCAATCTGGTGAGTAATCTCATCCTGACGTGGTTTCGTATTTACTGTTGCGCATACGACCTCACCTAACTCACTGACCCGATTGATTACGCAGCAATCCAGCTGGCGAAAATGTCCGGGTTCGACCCAATCATCACTACTTCCTCCTCACACAACATCCAATATTGCAAAGCAGCAGGTGCCACGCATGTCATCGACTACCACACAACTCCTTACGGGCCTGCTTTTGTGAAAGCAGTTTCCTCCATTACAAACGGTCCGGTGAAGGTGATATTCGACTGTGTCAGTGATAGCAACTCACAAAGGGCTTCCTGGTCGATCCTTGCACCAGGCGGTAAGTTGATTCTCGCGCTTCCACAATCTTCCGTAGGAACACCCGGCGTAGAGGGAAAAGATGGGAAAAGGGTTGTCACTCCGTACGGGAGTGTATACAACGATGAGGTTGGCGGAGATACCCGTCTTGGAAAGAGTATGTTTGCTTCACTGGAGAATATGGTGAGAGCTGGGGACATCAAGCCTAGTAGGGTGGAGCTTCTTCCAGGAGGATTGAACGGCATTGCAGATGGCATGCGGAAGCTGATGGCTCATAAAGTTAGTGGAGGAAAACTTGTCGCAAGAATTGGAGATACACCGCAATGATGCTTGGGTGGAGAGGTTGTCTTATGACAGCACCGCGTTGTACTTACTCTACCTCGTTTATCCAGCTATAATCTTCGTCTATTTCTGACCACCGCGTCTCTGGGCATTATAAGGGCGACGTCAGGTCCATATACACTGTGCTCTGGTCACACAGTCGAGTTAGTACACAGTGGCCCTCGAGGTGGATTTATTGGTCCGAACAAAGACTCACACTGTCTTAGCCCTTCTTCATTCGTTGTTATTATACAACATTTTTTATACTGCTTAGTGTCTATAACATCACTGGCAAAAGTCAAGGCTAGAGCAATGACTTCGTGGCGTTCCAGTTGGCGCCCGTTAGCGGCTGGACCCGTTAAATTGAGTCTCCGCTATAAAAGGCATGTCTCTGACTCTCTGTCGTCAAACATGAGAGATCGTTTGCTCCTCCTCCCTTCACTTGGCTGAAACACGGTAAGTACAGTTGGACGACCCGACATGCTCATCTTTTATCTGAGAATCTTATACAAGCTCAGGTCCCGTTAAACACGGTCTTACGACCAGAGACATTACTACGTCGGTCGCCGTTCTACGTTCAAACCTCGTCGACCGATCTTGGCTGATCTTCGAGATCCCCCACTAGTACTCAATTTTACCTACTGCCATGTCGCAGGCACTTGCATTTGCCCTCTCCCGAGTGATGCCACCAATGCCCCCTGTTCGTAACGCAGAACCCCCCTTTGACGACGCAAAGGCGGACATCATCCTTCGCGCCAGCGACAACGTGGACTTTCGCGTCTTCAAGACTATCCTCTCCCTCGCCTCTCCACTCTTCAAAGACATGTTTAGTCTCCCCCAGCCTTCTACCGATGAAGTACCACAATCCCCCGGTGATGAATATCGCGACGGCTTGCTCGTCATACCATTCACTGAGGACGCTCTGACCCTCGACTTCATCCTCCGATCTTGCTATCCTGTTCGATCGCCCAAGATCAACGGGATAAATGATCTACCCAAAATCCTTATCGCTGCGCGAAAATATCAGATAGAGGTGTTTGAAGGGGTCGCAGAAAGCGCACTGGAGGCTGCTATTTCGGATGACCCTGTGGGCGTGTACGCTATCGCTCTTCGGTTCGGTTTGCACGATGTTGCAGACAAAGCCGCTCGTAGGACCGTCCATTATCCGGTCCTAACGTATTCCGAACCACTTATGAATGTCTCTATACCACAATACTTCCGACTATTGAAGTATCGAGACGATTGTGCTATCGCAGCCACTGCCGTGGCGGAAAGCAGGGCCTGGTTCGAACCCTGTCCCAATAGCCTTTGGCAAAACGCTTCTTCATCATGCGATTGTTACATGAGAGACAAAGCCATAGTCAACGGCGGGCGAGTGTGGAGCGCGCCTGACTTTCTATGGGATTTCCTCGCGCGTGCAGGGATTGGGCTCAGGGATCGTTCCTTCTGAGCATGGTTGGTCGAGGATCTAGATTGGGACAGTGCCGTGACCCAATGGAAGTCAAGGAAATGTGCCCATCCGTATGGAGGGGGAAAACAACTCTCGGACGGGATGGACAAGTTTCGCAGAATTTTTGCGCAAGCGGTCGAAAGAGCAGTCGATGCAGTACGTGTTTTCGCGATAGCCCAACGCAACGAGCAGATGCTAATGCTTGGTCATGCGGTATTTGTAGGTTCCCCTGCCCCAACATTGAACAAATGCTCAGTCACAAAGCCAACCCCGTTCAGCAAAATATTTGTTTCTTTTTTTGTGATCTCCAAAGTCACTGCCTGCCGAACCAGTCGTATCGGCATGAAATTTCCCATGTTCCCAAGTCACGCTCTTGTCATCTATTTTCGTGTTCTAACTTTGTGCTATCCAGATAGTCCTGTTATTTAGCCATGTTATCTTTACTCTCCAAGTTTGCGTTCCTCCCTTTCAAATGTGCAATCAATTGAGACCGAAATGATGAGAGTAAAATTGGCTCAATCGCCACATTTGCGCTCTTGGTCGCTGTGGCGTCGTCGCAATCGGTAAAGACCGAGATGCTCCGAGTCAGCGCTGGGAAAGATTCTTTGTGACTTACACCCATCGTACCTCTCTACGATCCTGTTGACCGAATCAAAAACCAGGTACTCTCTACATTGATCAAGATAAGCAGGACTACACCTTACGCTCGGTCACAGAGTTGTCTGGCCATCTTCTGCTAGCTTCGGACACATCAAGCTCGACGAACCTCACGCGTGGCCAGCATGGCACTCCCATCTTCCCTCATCTCCGGCAAAGCATCATCGATGTCCTCTATTCGCGATGCACCGTTTCCCTTCAACGATGCCAGCGCAGACGTCATATTTCGCTCTAGCGATGGCGTGGACTTTCGTGCCCTCAAAGCTATCCTTTCGATCGCATCTCCATTCTTCAAAGACATGTTCACCCTGCCTCAGCCGTCCACGCATTCACCGGATACTTTCACTGGCGATGTATATCGCGACGGAATCCTCGTAATCCCACTCACCGAAGACTCTGAGATCCTCGACTTCATCCTCAGATCTTGCTACCCTGTACGCTCGCCCAGGATAACCAGACTTAATCATATACGTGCAGTCCTCGTCGCGTCCCGAAAATACCAGATCGAGGCACTGGAGGGCGTTGGCGAAGAGGAGCTTTGGAAGATTATGGACACCGACCCAATCGGAGTATACACTATCGCCGTTCGCTTTGGACTGCGTGAGGTCGCGACTAAAGCTGCACGCGCGAGCCTCCGACATCCCCTTTTGACCTTCTCTGACGGACTCTCTGGGATTACCTGCGAACAGTATTTTGCTCTGTTGAAGTACCGAGACGACTGTGGAATTGCCGCCGCCGCCGTTACTCAAAGCAGGACCTGGCTCGACCAGTGTTTCAACACCTTGCGTTGGAAATGTCATACTTACGGCCGCCCTGACGGACTCGATGATTGCTATGTCAAGGATACCATCTCCTCTAAAAACTCTGGATGGGACTGGTTCGCACCTCCCATTCTGTGGGCGTTCCTGACACAGGCTGGGGTCGGACTCAGGAGTCGCCCGCATGGCTCCTGGTTGACCGATGATCTGGAGTGGGAAGAGCAGGTTCCCCGCTGGTCTGCAGCCAAATGCAAACACTCTGGTTCGTCTTTTGGGCAGGGCATGACGAAGTTTCGACAGCTACTCGCTGAAGAAGTCGAGAGAGTAGTTGACGAGGTGCGGTCGACTCTATTCCATGTCGTTTGTGACAATGCTGACGCACGTGCCATACCAGATCGCTGGGCCACAGAATTGATATGACACTAGTACCAAGGACTCTCCATTTTTCTTGGACTCGTTCGCCGCAGTGTCGAATTTACATCGGCGTCCTGTTCTCCTTCATTCAACCTCTGCTTAGATGTTCCCAAGATGTTTTGATTTTGTTCTGTACTTTTGCTTTCTCTCTTCCGAACGCTATGAGTTACCAGCGTTCAAGATACTTAGGTCAGGTATATCTTTCGTCAACGTACATAGCGAAGTATCGACGTTCATAGCCTTCTGCTGCCAAGTAACCACGACACACCCGAGTATACCGCAAGAAATCATGCCACGCCAGGCCACCCCCAGAAATTGACACGTATGTATTTAGCTTCGCGGCCTTCCATAGAACGCGCGAACCACGTAAGTTGACCACCAAATAAGGGCAAACCCGGATCGACGCGACATAAAAAGCGCGTCCAAATATTCTTCACCCCAACGGTGACTGCTGGCAACAACAGACCCGTTGTTGCTCATCGACCTCGTCGTCGGCCATGTCTTCCACACCGAAAGGCCTCACCAATACTCCCATCTACAAAAACCCTACTCTTATCTCTATTGCGGAGGGCAACGGCTCTTTCAACAACATCCACCTCGCCGCCCTCGTCCTCGGAGTCCCATGGTTCGTCAAGCGTATGCTCCCCCTCGTTAATAGGGGCGGCTTCAAGACCTATCTGTTCCTTGTGCTCGTCTTGGGTGTGCCAGTCACGATCGCATACTGGACGTTGATGAGTATGTATGGCCCGAGGAAGAACGAGAAGGTCGCGTTGCCTGGGAAGGACATTGAGGAGTACATTACGATTCACGACCCGGAGTTGAAGGCGAAGTACCATGGAAAGGAGAAGATCCCAATGCAGATCATGCATGATGCTTACTTTGATGGCAAGATTGACTTCAACGGTGCGTTTTCTCTGCTTGTGCTTGTAGTGCTTGTGGGGGTTGGTGGTCGTTTCGACGCGCGCGCTTCTGTGCGATACTTTTCGGGTTATGCGGTCTTCAACAGTCGCGTAAATCAAAGAGTCCACCCTCTCTTTCAGTTTCTACTCGAAAAACGCGTATAGGTCACGGATGGGACTGGTCGACGCGTCGTACCATCCTGTTATAAGACCTCGGTCTTCGCCGGATACACCCGTTTCATCAACTCTCGTGTTTTGTCTGTGTGCAACTTTCAACTGATGGATTCTTCGCCTTGCACGCAGGTGATGTTTTGGACATTCTGGAGGCTCGCCACGACTGGGCCAAGTTCGTCATGACCCCCGAGCTCTTCAAATATGTCCTCTTCAAAATGATCCCGGAAATTATCGTGCATTCGCAAGGCCAAGATGAAGAGCAGGTTCGGGACCACTACGACAGTACGTATATATTCACTGTATAAGATTTTGTGTCCACCAATAGCTCATCCATTTCACATGTAGGAGGCGACGACTTCTACGAATGGTATATTTTCCGGTGCTATTTGGATATCAACTGCTCTCGCTCACGTATCACGTGGCTAATAGGTTCCTCGGTCCCCGCATGGTTTACACTTCCGGTATCGCTACCTCCCTCACGGAACCTCAGTCTCTTGAACAGCTCCAGGACAACAAACTCACCGTCGTCTGCGAGAAGCTCGACCTCCAACCTGATGACCACTTGCTCGACATCGGCTGCGGTTGGGGTACCCTCTCGGCTTTCGCGCACAAAAACTACGGTTGTAAGGTCACCGGTGTCACCCTCGCTAAGAAGCAGACGCAGTTCGGAAACGACAGGATTGTGTCTAACGGTGGCGATCCCGAGCGTGCTAAGATCGTCTGCTGTGACTATAGGGACATTCCTGGTGGCCCGGCTACGTACTCTAAGATCGTCAGTCTGGAGATGGCTGAGGTGCGTCGCTTCGTTGTGCGTTCTTGTGTTGACTCACAACTGAACGGCGTGTTCTCTACTGTAGCATGTTGGTGTCCGTCGTTATGACACGTTTTTACGCCAAGTTTATGACCTCCTTGATGACGATGGTGTCTTTGTGTTCCAAGTCGCTGGCCTCCGTAACTGCTGGCAATATGAAGATCTGATCTGGTACGCTTTCATGCCCTCCGCTTGTCCGCCACGTATTGACTTGTGTTCGAAGGGGTCTTTTCATGAACAAGTACATTTTCCCCGGCGCCGACGCATCTGCCTCCCTCGGCTGGGTGACGACTCACCTCGAGCGTTGCGGCTGGGAGATCAAGTCCGTCGATGTCATCGGTGTCCACTACTCCGCCACCATCTGGCACTGGTACAACAACTGGGTCTCGAACAAGGAGAAGGTTGTCGAGAAGTACGGCGATAGATGGTACAGGATCTGGGTGTTCTTCCTCGGTTGGAGTGTCATCGCCGCCAGGCAGGGAACAAGCGCTGCTTTCCAGTTCACGCTGCACAAGAACTTGAACGCGTACCCTAGGATCCTTGGGTTGAAGAACCATAAAGGGATCCATGTTACGCCCGAAAGGACTATCGAGTGAGTGCTCCGTGCTCTCTTCCTTCCTCCTGCCTATTTCACGCTCTATTGCCTTTCTCGCGTTGCTATGGTCCGTTTGGTGTCATCTGATACTGAACCATATTTTTCTCGTTCACGTTAGGCCTGTGCTCTAAAAGCATCTCCATACTTCAACAGCATCATCCCTGATGATGAGAAGCCTTGGCAATACGAAGATAGAGCTTTCGTTTTCGCTCGCGCTTGCGCGCGGGACACCATACCCTACACGTTTTTACGTTACGAATATTGTTTTTTACTGACGCTCGTAGAAAAGTCAGCATGCTTGCACGCTCGTAATGAGGAGTTTGGTTTTAATTGTTTAAAAATGGATGCGTATCTGGACGCTTTGATCGCCTGTCCGTTTGGTAGCGTCCGTGAGGTGGTTGTGGGCTGTTGGCGCAACGAATCTCCAGAGATGCTCAGAATGTTTGGAATCAGGGCCACTGCCAGTCCGCGAACCTGTTATGATATTTTCGGAGGTGCCACACTGCACAGTGCACGATTCGTCGCCCGAAAAGTCTCTCCGGCGGCCCCTGATCGTGATTAGGCGCTGGTCCGAGGATACGGCTTCCCGTGTTTCGTGACGTATTCGCCAGGTCTCCGCTCCGCTTTTTCGTCGACGGCTTTCATTACTTTCTCACGGAGACATCCTTCAGCGAGCTTCCAGTCTGTTCGCTATGCCGATATCAACCTAAGTTGTGTATTGCGCACAGTTGTCTCCTTATCCAGCCATGTCTATGGCGCCCTCGGCTTAACAGATTGCTTTTCGGAGGTAAAACTTGGGTCAAGATCCTTTGGAACATGATACGATGGATCGGAGCGCAGTCACCTCCTTCCGCAGGGCTGTAATATAGCCGGCCCCATAGACTATACAGAATGGACGATCCAATTGCAACGAGCTGGGTATGAGCACGTCGCGCACATTTTCTTCCTCTGTTTGTTTCTTTTCCACCACCACCACAATCGTCCCTAATCCCCGGCTAGTCCTCGCCCATCTCCCTTTCCTTTTCCCCTTCTGGCTCCATCAACATCTCTACTATTTCATCGCAGCGTATCTCGCCCCGCCAGTGCTAACTATCACGGATTCGAACTCATCGAGTTCCACGCCAGTTCGCCTGGCGGGCTCCCCTTCGCGATTCAACCACACATGTCTATAGTCTCTCGAACAAGGTTGCAGCTCCTAGCCCGCAAACTCGCGTTCACACTAACTTCAAAATCACCATCGATCCTGCGATACATCCATGCACTATTGTCTCTTTCCATCCTATTCCTCACATATCGCTCATACCATCTATACTGGCTTCACAAAGTCGGCAATGGGGCTTGGGCTCCCGCTTGGCCTACAGCACGAACGTGGCTTGTTCTCAGTATGGCCGCACTCCCAACTTGGTCTGCATTGATGATATGCATAATGCTTGCTTCATTCGTATGCCATCGGTATTCTCGAGAGGTCGTGAAAAAGACGGAGAGGGTCTATCCATGGCTGGAGAGCGCATCGAGTAGAGGAGAGTACGAGGTCGTGTTGGATATGGATCCGGAATCACCTGCTAGGGTGGCGTTCCCTCAGCAGTCTCTGCCGCAGCACCGAGGCTTGGCATTGGGCGTGACGGTGGGGCGGTTGGGGTTAGGCGAGATAAGGTGGAAGGTTTGGATGGGCGTGTATGTGGCGATCATGATTGGGGGGTTGTATGTGGCGGAGACATACGAGCAGCGGTCGGATAACAGATTCAAGAAGGATATCGAGGCGGCTGTGGCAAGGCCCAGAGCGGAAGGCTATGGGACTGGAGGTATACATCCCCGTTTTTCTCTCTTTCCGTTATCCAAGAGCTCATGACCCTATGATTAAGAAGAGAAGGTACTCATCGCAGCCATGTTTTACAATAACGAACGTGTCGTCCCATTCTGGACCCAGGAAATCACCAAGGTCATCCGGTACCTGGGGACGGTGCGTTCTTTCCACTGCCTTCCTCATTGGGACACCGCAACCGTAGACTAAAACATCATCAAAATTCAGGACAACGTCTACATCTCCATCGTCGAGTCCAACTCCGATGATTCCACGCCCTCCCTGCTCCGCGCGTTTGACTCACAACTATCCACAATGAACGTCTCCCGCCGGATCCTTACCAACGACACGTCCATCGCCCGTCCTAAATCCATGTCTACCTCTCTGCCTCGGATCGAGTTCCTCTCCGCCGTTCGAAATCGCGTTATGGAGCCACTCATCAATCAGCCCGATTTTGACCGCGTGGTGTTCAGCAATGATGTGTTCGTAACAGCGGAGGGCGTCGTCGAATTGTTGAATACCCGGGATGGGAACTACGACATGGCGTGTGGTACCGATCTGGCCTATTGGGGGTACGCATTTTCCACTTCCTTCTGCCCCCTCTCCATTCTACACCCTGATATCTTGACTCGACGGACTAACGTATTGTCCGTTTCGCGCCGGTTCTATATCAGCCTACACGACGCCTGGGTGACCCGTGATCGTCTCGGCCATCTTGTCTCCTCTCAATGGCCATACCTCCTCGAGGATACCGGCATGAATGCCATCATGAAAGACGAACCTGCACCGGTCTTCACCTGCTGGAACGGTATCGTCTCTTTCCGTCCCGATCCTTTCCTCCCTCCATCCTCGCGCAAGTCGGGCGCCCTGTCGACGGTGCCAGCAAATTTTGAGGTTCCGGAGAGTCATCCGTGGGTACAGGAAGGAAGAGTGAAGAAGGGAATGGCACCGGTTGAGATGCCGGAGCTGAGGTTTAGGGCGAGTGGACGGAGGGAGTGTTTTGGGAGTGAGAGTTTCAATCTACCGTATGATCTAAGGAGGGTTTACGATATGCAGTGCGTATCCTTTTTTATCTTGCTTCTCCCCCTCGTCTTTGCTGTGGTGCTTGGCTGACTGTCTTAATTCTTTTTTACCGATGCACAGAGAGATATACATGAACCCTCGTGTGATCACATCGTACGAATGGTCCTACTTTGTCTGGTACAAATACATCACTAGGCATTGGCTCGTTAAGTGGTGGATCGAAAAGGTGGAGATGGGGGACGGAATGCATCGAGCGAAAATGATCGTTGGTGAGGCGGACAGGGTGTGGACTTGGGATGGTGGAGAATGTCAACCAGTTGAGTGGCCTTTTCTCTTCGCTATAATATGCGGTGCTAGATGTGTATACACGATGATTTACTGACAGAGTTTATTCGCTGACATAGGGACTGGACTGGTCGTGAACTATAATCTGTGCGGCGGCGTACCGACATGCTTGTGTGGCACCACCGACTCCTAGCCATGGGCGAAATATTGCGCGGTGGCTTTCTGATGTGCCAATAACCCTTCCCAATATTTCCCAGTGTGGAACTGGAACCTCCGAGTCTGCAACACTCTTGGTATCAGATCACGATTCGTACCTCTACCGCCTTCTGAGTCGCTACCGCTCTCAACGCTCTCATTTTCCCGGTCCTCTTCTTGACCACATATACTATACTTACACCCACCCCATATCCACCTATTCTCCCTTCCTCTCACGGGCATTACACACGATTACTACAGCCTCACATTATTACCGCCAAGCATCTCATCCCAATCTCATCCACATTCTACGACACTGCTCTCGATTCTATTTCTACCAAGTGATGTATGACATGCTGGCATCTCAGTTTGCGCCTGTAACTTATTACTCAACCACACGTGGTACATATATGTGTATACCCAAGCTGCTCTCGCTACATACTTACTAGACAGAGACCTTCGTTCATCGTATAATATATGGTCCGAGCAATCGTGTAGCCCAGACACGAATGGCTCTTGTGCGACACAGAGGTCAGGTGGAAGTGCAGAATCAATAACTCTGTTGGATATGTTGAATATCGGTCTGACTCTCCATTAGATAGAGTCCTTGTGTAGGGTCGGCAATAGAACCTTCAAGTTTGGTGAGTGGCGTCGGGGTGCCACACAAAGACTCGCGTGCCACGTTTCAAGCACTGCGCGGCGCCGCTCCTCCAACCACCTTTAACTTTACACGTCCAAAACGCCAGCACCCCCCTCACCTCCGCATACCCAAATGGCGAACTACTATTCTCGTTCACCCCCACCACTCCAACACCCGGTACCTACTCATCCAGCCTTCATCCCAGAACCACCAGCCACGCCCGTTTCCCCACAGGGATACCAGCGTTACACGTCTTCCCCGCCTGCAGCTGGCTCTCATTCGCAGGCTAATATAAATCATCCTTCGGCAGTTGGAATGGCGGCTGCCGCTGCTGCTTCTGGATATCCACAATTTCAACCGCAGGTGCAGGGGACGATGCACCCGGGGGCACAACCCGCGCCTGGACATGGTGTGCCGGACTTCTCGTCCTGGGGGATTGATGGCGCGACGGCGCAGTTGGGGATGCAGTTAGGACAGAATGCAGTGAATGTGGGCCAGCAGTACATGCAGAAAAATGTGCGTTTTGGTTTCTTATTCTTTGTACTTTCGCGTGTTATGAGTGCTGCAGGGGTGTTGAACCGAACGCTTGGTACAGCTCGGCGGGATATTGCCCACAACACAACTGAAATATCAATTCAACGTCTCCAACTCGTATGTCATCCGTAAACTCCGACTGCTCCTCTTCCCGTGGCGACATCGTCCTTGGAATCGAAAACTACGTCGGTCAGAACAAGGTCTTTCCGAGTTTCAGCCACCACGAGATGATATAAATTCGCCAGACCTCTACATTCCTAGTACGTTTGTTTCCCTTCTTTTTGCACATATAATGCGCTTAGACCACCGGACTGACTATATTTACTCGGTGTGTATAGCAATGGCTTTCGTCACATATATTCTTCTCGCCGCTCTTCACTCCGGCCTGCAGTCCCGCTTCGACCCTGAAATCCTCGGAATCACAGCGTCCACTGCACTTCTCATCATGTTGCTCGACTTTTGCGTCCTGAAGGGCGGTTGTTATCTGCTTGGAATACAGAACACTGCGCCGGTGGTCGACGCAGTCGCATATGGTGGCTACAAGTTCGTTGGGTATGTATCGCTTCCTATATATCCGACCATTATGCCCGTGTATCACCCATCGTTATACTGGGTTCGCTAATAATACTTTCTATAGTGTGATCTTGACCATAATCATCGGCCTACTAAACCCAGGCCGGACAATTTGGAGCGTGACATTCCTCTACGCCTTCTTAGCAAACGCTTTCTTCCTCGTACGTCTCCCAACCTGCCTCAATATTCAAGTTATATATTCACCATTCACGTTACTTGTATTCCTGGTCGGTTATCCTGGTCGCCCACCCCGCACTCATGACCAAACAGCTCCGCTCACTCCGTTCCGTCGTCCTCCCAGACGCATCAGCCCCACCAGCCGTCGGCACCGTCTCACACGCCCAACGTTCCCGCAGAATCACTTTCCTCTTCATCGTCGCCGTCACGCAGATATTTTATATGGGACTTTTGGTCCGAGTGTAACCGACTAGTATAGCTATTTCTCCCGCCTCGGTACTTTTGAAATACACTACTCTACAAGCTGTTGGCGCGTTGAACGCTTTATATATAGGAGCGGGAGAGGATGGGCTGGCGGCATTAGTCCAAGGAGTATGAAGGGGTGGATAAAGGGGGCAGAGGGTGTAGGAGATGGACGGATGTCAATAGCCTCATTCTTTCCTGTAAATCTATGGGAGGAGTCGTTGCCCCCGAACGGTGAGGGTGTCCTCATTTAGAGGGCAAAGCAACTTCTCGTGAGAATGCTGTGTTAACGAGATGTTGTACCAGAAGGAGCCGAAGTACATTATTGCAGAAGGACTGTGACTGTAAAATAAAGTCAAAAGAAATAAGAAAAATATTTAGTTCGAATCTGAAAAATCTCCCTGGCGGGGAGTCGAACCCCGCTCTCGCGCGTGACAGGCGCGTGTACTAATCCGATATACTACCAGGGACATATGTGGAAGACCTTCCAGCATTATATGTATGCAGTGTCATGAGGAACGCCACCCACCGTCCCAAGACTCAAAAGTGATCTCGTGGCCTGGGCGCCTATCGACCGACCTTCCTTTCCCGCTCCTCTTGACAGCCACCAGATACTTACTTACCAAAGTGCGCATTAGCCGGTAAATCCTCCAGAACTCATGCGTTCGGGATATGCTTACCAAGTTATTCCACATTATCCGTGTCGATTCTTCTTAGTCGACCTTTGTGCAAGGTCTATCGATCTCGATCAGTGATTGCTTCCTCATTCTTCAATCGCCTCTTGTACATGCTATCTAATTGTTCGTAGGTCGATCACAAAGTCCCTTTTCGCGTTTTTCAGTAAGTAGCTAATCTGGTTTCTATTTGATCCCCCACTAATCCCTAGTTCCTTAAGTATCACGCTCTGACCGACGCTATAACACCCGAGTCTGCAACAACTGAACACATCATTCACAACGTTGGTTTACCTTGATTGACCTCCGATTGACCGTATTACTCACCTCACGATTTTAGCTCCATCGCGCTATTGATTGATGTCAGTCGACCGGCTTCCCCATGAAGTTTGGGCAGACATATTCACCAAACACATGCATGACCGAGACGGACCGGGAGAACTCTACGACCCCAAACATGCTCCAGTCCTATTCACCCTCGTCTGTCGAAAATGGCGTGACACAGCGTTATCGACTGCAAAACTGTGGACGAACCTTTGGCTCCCACGACCTCCGAGAGAGCTTGGGGCCCTTCAATTGTATATCAACGCGGTGAAGGGTTGGTTGAAATGCTCTCAGACGTTGCCGATACATATTCAAGTTCGCAATCTAGAGGTCATCTCGACGTCTTCCTCGCAGTCGTATAGTTCCGCGCTCCTGGAGCACGCGTATCGTTGGGAGAGCGTTTACATATATTTTGGCGATCAGGATCCCAGCCTCAGCGTCTTTGATGGCATAGGCGAGACCTCCTTCCCAATACTCAAGTCGTTCGAGATACGTGACAGCTATGGCCCAGTCTCCCATAGCCTGACGCGGGCACTCAAGGCTGCCCCTAACCTTCATACCGTCAGCATCGGACATGCAATTCTAGACGATTCATGGACTCTTCCGTGGTCGAACTTGTCCTCCATTGTGCTGTCGATACAGGCTGGCTCGGAGCAGGTCGAGCAAAGGCTTGACATGGAATTTTTCGTTTTCGCCATGTCCACCTGCACCCGCCTGCGCTCGTTGCGCCTCAGCTTCGGCTTCGGATATTGGGTCGTCGGCGAGCGGGACATCATACTCGCATCCAAATCGGCCACTGTACCTTCATTGGAGAGCCTGGTCCTGGAGATGGACCTCACCAGCATCACTCCCCTATTCGCGAAAGCTCTCATCCTCCCGAACTTGAGGTTCCTCGCCTTTCACGTCGACGATGACCTGTGGGGCTACGATTGTTGGGAGAGGTTCGTTGAATTCGTACAACACTTTTCCAGTACCCTTGAGGATCTCAGCCTATACAAAATGCCGTTAGACGAGGAGCAACTCATCGAGCTGCTCACTAAATTCCCTCGCCTCGCCCGGCTCCGTCTCAGCGCTACGAAATATTTGACGTATTGGGACATGTTGTTCCGCTACCTTTGCTCTCAAACGTGTCCGAACATTCTTCTCGAAGAATTGATCATCGACCGTCCGTGGAGATCAGATACGTGCGAGTGGGGTTATAAGGCATTGGTAGAGATGGTAAAATCGAGGCGAACGGGGCAACTTGGTAGTGGGGCATCGGAGTGTTCGCAGTTATTGTCGTTACATCTGCTTAGTGAGGACGCGACGAGGATGGAACAGGGTAACCCGGAGGAATATGCGAAGCTCATGCAATTGATTGAACAAGGGTTGAAGTTGACGACCAGTCCTGAGTCGTGACAATGAGGTCAATTAGCATGACGAGGATATAGGAGGATGAAAGTTACTGTAGTAGCTCTTTCTGTGTAGTGCCATGTACCTCGCTCCTGTGTATAGTAAACGGTTGGCCTGGATGTGGCGTATCTGCGAACGACTGTCTCGCCATTTCAATGCCTGACTGTGGGGACTACGTAAAGCTGCATAAAGTATGATGACACGAGTCGTCACATTCACATGACTTCGTGACGGTCGCCTAGAAACAATGCAGGCGCTTTCTTCAGCTTTTGCGGCAGTCCTTCAAACCGGTGTACCTTACAGCACTCATTGTCTGTACGTTGCCTTGTTATCCAAAGAACATGTTATGCCATGTATCTGGCGACTAATAATATTGCTCAATTCGTATAGGGCTCGCCATACTGAAATCCAAGACGCGGGCCCCTAGCTGCTCCGGTAGAGAACGCATCCGACTCTCGTAAATCATAGGCAACGTCGGTATACCTTATGCACTTCATCTTTCTGTCAAAGGTCATACCACTCATCCCCACGGATCACAGTTTCTCCCAGCTATCGATCAATGTCGGTCAATCGCGTCCCGCCTGAGATATGGGCACATATATTCATCAAGTATATGAAGGACTCCCGCTACTGCCGGAGCCTCGGACCCAAACACGCTCCCATCATCTTCACGCTTGTCTGCCGAAAGTGGAGAGCCACTGCGTTGTCGACTCCACAGTTGTGGACAAACCTGTGGCTTCCACAACCTCCAAAACAGTGGGCGCCCTTGCGACTATACATCATCGCGGTGAAGGGCTGGCTGAGATGCTCTCACCCACTCCCCATACATCTTCACGTTCGTGTTCTGAAGTGTATGCCGCCTACGTTCCTCAGATCCCTTGTCTCGGCGCTCCTCGAGCATGCACGACGATGGGAAAGCGTCGTGATCTTTTTTGAGCGCAACAATTCAAGTCTTACCGTTTTCGATGAAGTCGATGAAAGCTTCTTCCCACTCCTGAAGTCATTCGACATCTCTGATAGTTGCGGCCCAGTCTCCCACAACCTGACGCACGCTCTCAAGGCAGCCCCCAACCTTCATTCTGTCGGTCTCAATCACTCCATCCTCGATGACTCCTGGAGCCTGTCGTGGTCGAACTTGACCAATCTTTGGATGTCGATTTCTACGGGCGTTGACGCAGTCGAGCAACGCCTGGACATGAACTTTTTCGTCTCCGCCATGACCGCCTGCACCTGCCTGCGTTCTCTAACACTCAGCTTCGACGTCGGACTCGCATGGGACGATGAACATACAACCATCGTGTCGACCGTCAACCAAGCCACCATACCTTCCTTAGAGGCCCTCGACCTTCAAATGGATCCCGACGTCATCGCCATATTCGCTCCGGCTCTCATCCTCCCTAACTTAAATGCACTCACCTTACACACGGGGGGAGAGCCATGGAATATAGACGCCTGGGATGTCTTCACCGATTTCGTGCTGCATTTCCACAGCTCTCTTCGACACCTTGGCCTCAATGACGCCCAGGTTGAGACGGATCAACTCGCCGACCTCCTCATATTATTGCCACGCTTGGTCCAGCTCGAGCTCAGGAATATCAGCCGCCTAGCTCATTGGGATGTACTCTTCATGTACCTCTGGCAAGAGCCGATGAACCTGAACCGGCGTCTCGAGGGACTGCTCCTTGTGCGTCCACAGCGCCTGGGAGAGCTCAAAAGTTTTCACGAAGGACCGCATTCGTGGGGATATGAGAAGCTGTTGGAGATGCTGAAGAAGAGACGATCGTGGCCCGAAGGTGGTAGTGGTTCTGGGGGAGCCGATGACAATGGACCAGGGGATCACGGCTGCTCGCAGTTGAAGTCTCTTTACATGTTGCGCGACGATTTAGAGAGAATGAACAAGGAGAGCCCGCAGGATTATGCGGGGCTTATGCAATTGGTCGATCAAGGGTTAGAGTTGTCAACTGATCACGATATCGGTGCTGAGGACGAAGATGACGAAGATGCCATTGATGAAGACTAGTATGATGGTTCTTGTGGCGGTCAGTCTGTGCGGTCCCTCATAGGGTATGTCTGTCGAGCTTCGCAATGGATCATAGACTTTGCTGACCGTTAACTCGGATATAATGAATACACCATAGTACCGAGGAGAGCAATGTGGCCTGCGTGGCACCCTATGTTGGGCTTGTACGCAGTGATTGTGCTGGATGATATGTATGAGGCGACCTTGACTCCATACTTCAACCCTGTTGCTTTGTAAATTATATCACACGCACGACTAATCTGGGCATGATCGACGGGGTAACGCTGAAGGTCTGCCTGTTGGAAACTGGGGTCTACAGAATAACATAGTCGTTTCCGACATCGATCTGATCAAGCGGGACGAAGTACCGCAGAGTCTAGTTCCTCAAAGCTTTCACCTTCTCGACCAAGACATTCCACCCCTTCACGCCCTCACCAGCGCTTGGACCTTGTTCGAGTCCCTCCACCCACCTCTTCACAGTCTCCTTCACATCCTCACTGCCCTCCAGTCGTATCCTCTCCAGCAGTTCAGCGACGACGAAAGCCCCTCCGCCCTTCGCGATCTCCAGAGTCCTCTCCTTCCCGACGATGCGCACGAAGGATTCTGCAAAGTCTTTGGCTGACCATCGAGGGCATGGCTCGATAGATTTCGTGGTGTGAGAGAAGTGCCCGCCTTGAAGAAGGGTCTTGTAAAGCCGCGATGTGTGAGGGAGGTCGATTGGATGGGGCTTTGTTGGGTCTAACGACGGATACGATGATATAAGAGACTGAAGCAGAGATTCTGTAGCTGCTGATTTATCTGCAGAGATCCATCGAGCGCGAGTCAGCGCCACATCGCCCATGTGATGTCGAAGAAACTAATCAGCGAACCTCCATCGGCCTCGAGCATTACCTCCATAACAACCAAACTCCCTGCTGTATCCCGACTGACGATCTTCCCATCCTTCGCCACCCATGCCAATAAATCCGCGCTAGCAGCAGCTCTGACCTCCGCGGCTCTGACGTCCGCGTCCTTCTTACTCGTCTTCGCCCTTATTGGGTCTGTTTCGGCTAGTGTTGCGATTATGGCTGGTGTGAGGGTTCGTCGCGAGCGGGGGATAATTGGGTAGAGTAATGAACGGCATCCGTGAGAACTTTGATAGAGATCAGATGCATGGAGGGTGATTGCAGGTATGAGGGTTTTGGCGAGCATTTTGGTATCGCTGGAAGAGCGAGCATGCGTCAGCTGGCCAGGTCCCGAACGACAAGAAGAGGATAACGTACTCGATCACATCGAGAGCCGTAAAAAGAGCAAGCTGCGCAGAATCGTCTTGGGCCATTTTGCGTGCATGTTCTTTCATATTTTTCACAATTTGTTTTCGGTCCTGTGAAAACGTGTCAGGATGGTCGAGTAACTTAACGATAGTAGCTTCTGAACCGACCTTGGCGGTCCCCTGAACCAAGAACTCTCGGACAGCCCGGCTTCCGTCCTTTGTGTGGACCATATCCGCCAGATTGTCCTCACAACTAATTCATATCAAAGGTTAGACTCACAGTGAAGAAGAGTATGCGCTTACCTCTCTAATATCTCATGCCTGAGCTTATCCCGTTCAGCCTCGTCCGGGATTTCGTTGATCTCCATGAGGTACTCCAAAAGAGCACGATGCACAATGGCCCATCTCAGGGAACCCTTGTCCGGATTATTGAATCTACAAATGAACCTGTCAGCGCATATTTCAGTTAGGGATTCAATCCAACGCACATGGTCACGAGGTTCTCTTTCAATGCCGCAAGCACTCGTTTCCGTCTCTCGAGATCCGCTCCCTCCAAGACACCCTTCAAACCCTTCCTCGATTTCTCCTTATCCTGTTCACTACCTGTGGTGATTGAGAACAGAGCGGTCTCTCGTCCATAGAAATCACGAAGGAGAATTGCGCGCTCATACGCATTTGCATGGAGTTCAAAAGAGTCTGCGATAACCCCAGAGGCTTCACGATGAAGTAGAAGGCGGATAACGCTAGACTGGAACTCGGTGAGAATGGACAACCGGTGTGTAGGGCATAGCTTGATGAGCTTCGTCACTAAGAACTGTTAACGATGAACAGTCAATAATATTGAGCGCATGCGACCCGATGAGATCCACGCACCTTAGAATATTTGTTCTGCGCGAGCTCCTTGTACCTTCCCTTCAGCTCTACCGCGATCTCGTCTCTTTGCGACTGATTCCCATGCTTGACCGCTGTCTGGACTATCCTGCTCGCATCGTGCTTGAACACGATCTCCTGGACCTTCCCTCTAATGACATTCATGAGAGCTTTGATATGCTTCTCGCGTTCCGGTTTGGGGATTTCTTTCTGGCGGGCGAGTGCCCAGGTGCTCTTTGCTGAAGTAAGGAGTTCGGAGTGGGGTTTTTGAGCTTTTCGTTGCTCGTGGAGCACCTTCTGGGCTTTGTGAGATTCCCTCGCGGCTTTGAGAACCAAAGACAATTCATTATACATCTGAAGAAGTATAGTGTGGCAGTTGACTTACCGTTCGGATCCTTGACCTGTTTCTGTTCGGCTTCCCCTCCCAGTCCTTTGTCGACGTCCATCTCAGCATCAGCATCCTCCATGTCTACATCTCCTTCTCCCAGAACATCGTCTCCAGTATCCGAGTCGTCTTCGGAGGCTTCGCTTTCTTCTACAGGTACGACAGGCCGTGCGCGTTTTTTAGGTGCAGGATCCGACTTGGCCGCTGCGATGTGGGCCTTTTTTGCGGCAGGACCTGCTTGAGATTGAGCTGGTCGCTTTTTGAAGTTCTTTGAGTTGGGAGCCGGCATAGGGATGAAGTGGATTATTTGAAGGAACGGTAGACGAGAAGTTGTAGGGAAAGGGAGAATGTGCAAGAGCTACAGTCTTTGCCACGGAGAAAATGCTCCAGTCAATCTTGATTGCCTTTTCGGTAAGTGTGGCACTTGTGTGGCCCAACAATTCAATGCTGGGTTCGACAGTCGACTCTACTTGAATTGCTGAAGGAAAAAAACCTGAAAAACATTGCATGGCATAATATTCAGTATCTGTTCCCTACGGTAATATATAGGAAGGTCAAAGCCTGAGAGTGAACAAGACAAGCAGTACTAGTCCGATACAAATCGAAGTACACCTCCGGCCTCCATTCACGAAGTCCCTCTATTCCAACAAGGTATCATTCTCCTATTCACAAAACCCCTCAATCAAAATGCCACGATCCTCGAAATGATGTAGCGACGCAGCAAAATCATCAATTGAACCACCTCCCATCCGAAGATCCTGGGCACCGAATGTGTGCTTCATCGAAGGCGAATCCAACGGAAACTGGCTGGGATTAAAGAACCGAAGAATCTTCAATGATCCCACGGATGCCGGCAGATCTGGAGTACCCCTGCAAAGCCACTTCAAAGCCAGCTCTGGAGTCAGTGTCGATCCAAAGCTCTGGCCGTCCACGACCCAATCGGTATAATTGAGAAAGAGTCCGAGATGTGTGACAGAAGGGGGGAGAAGGAAGAGCAAGTCGTGAGCCTTCTCCTCGAATCGGAGGTCTATCTCGTTTAGGTAGACGATGAGTCGCGTCACGTTCGGGCAGTACTCGCGGAAGTAGCCCAACGCACGGCGCTGTCTTTCGGGAGAGAAATCTGACAGGACGATGGTCTTCAGCCGGGAGCCTTGGATAGCTAGAAATTTTCCCGCGGCCGGAGAGGTGCTACTGATGACGACTGTGGATAGAGAAGGGTATGGAGGGTTTGAGGCGTCCTGCTCGCAGGAGCAACCCCGCATGCGATTAGAAATTTCGACGCCTGATACGATGGAAGGTAGCTGCAGCGCACAAAGGCTGCACGCTTGGACAGTGGAGATCCAGACGTGAGGATGAACGGTTCGCAGCCGAGAAAAGCCACGCAGAACAGTATCTCCACGGACGGTTGCGCTCGGCACGAGGTTGTCCACGATAGTATGCTCCAACCGAAGCAGTGAACTGCCTGCAGTGGTAATGAGAGCGTTCCACGCCTGCTCCGGAATTATGAGGGGAGGTGTTGTTGATCCAGCGACGGACAAAGGACGTGGTGCACCAATCACCAGAATTTGGAGGTTGGGCATGGATCGAAAGATGTCGGCGAGGTGTAGGAGCACGGGAACATTGGCGTATGCAGGGCCCGTTGGCAAATCCCTCATGGAAAGGCTCAGTCGGCGTGTTCGATGCCCAAGTGGAATGGAGGAATCGTCTGGGGTAGTTGGATTAGCGGCGGCCTTTAGTAAAGTAGTTGCTAGTTGCGCCATATCTTGGGTTCGAGAAAGCAGGATGGACTCGTATAGCAGAGGCTGCACTAAGTCATGCCATCGCTTGCATACGAGCGTCAACCGGAGCTTCGTGGAATTCGACAACCGAATTGAAGGAAATAATGCGTCCACTGGTAGACACAAAACCGTGTTCCACAGCCGGACGTCAGAGGCGAAAGGGTCGTCGTGATCAATGTCGAGGCTGCCAGATACAAAGGTCGCATGATGGAAAATCTTCAGCCAGATTTCGTTGGGGAGAGTGAATGATTCTGAAATAGATCGTAAGTCTAGGATGCAGGCGTGATCGATTGTTCAGTGCAAATGGACTGACCGGTATGCTTCGGAGGTTTGGGAGCATCGATTTCTGGAGCGTTTGTGCGTATGAGGTCGCGGTAGTTCTCTACTACAAACTTATACATGTTCTTTCTCTGTTGTGATCTCGGGAATGGTCGGCTAAAATAGTTCGTTAAGCTCAGAACAAGGATCATCCACATTCAAAGTATGAGCTCCGTCGTCGCCGAGCCCAGGACTCGGACGGCGCTGTGCACTCTGTTCTTATATAGGTAAGGACGACTCACGAAGTTTCTGGGGCACCTACGATGATTCTAGGAGGAAGCGATGCTACGTATCGGCGACCTTTAGACTCAAGCCACGGTTATATACAAAGGCTGCCTGGAGATGCGACATGCCACAATCGCCACGACCGTCGACCACGATTCGGCAGTGACACGTAAGAGATGGTGCCACAGTGGCGCAAGTTCCCACACAGAAAAGACGTGGTCAGAGGACAGTACCCTGATAAAGCCTCAGTCTGGATAAAACTATGTCAAATACGGTATAATAGATCATCGCAGTCCACGTAGTAAAGGCCCGCTATGGTGCACAGGGTAGCTAGAGAGCGACGTTCCTCAGCCAGCGATTCACCATGGCCAGACTTTCTTGCGGTTTATCGTGCGGTACCTACACACAAGGGATAGTATGTCGCAAAAATAAGTGGTGTAAATGATGCATAAAGACGTACCATGTGTCCCGATTCAAATACAGTAGCAAATGTCAGTCCCTTCGCACTTCTCGTCAAGCCTGCAGCCCTCCCGCCGACAATCCACTCCCTCAAGGTCTGACTTCCGTATTCTATTTTGCCAGTCCAGTCCATGTCTAGCGTCCATCTCTCATTCCCTACCCAGTTAGCTATCGCATCATAATTTCCGACATATACGAGCACTCGGACTCCTCGATCGAGCAGGGCCGCGATGTAGTCATGTGAGGATTGGAACTCGTCTCCTGAGGCTTCGAAGGCTCTGTTCACTGCCCACCCGACGGTGCTGAAGTTCTGGGGTACGGCGTCATCGACACCAAGAGACTCTCGAATGGAGGTTTGGCTCAAATATTTCCCAACGGATCTGTATGTAATAAGGTCAAGATTGTGATATGGCATCTTTATCTCGAATGCTTACAAGGAAATATAATAACATATTGTTTCGGTCACTTCTCCTTCACAAACGGTTCTAATGTCGTACACACTGAGACCTGGCAGGCACGAATATATGTGAGCAGCACGAATGATCAAAGCGTATGAGGCACAACACCAACCGCTCGAGAACATAGGGACTGTCAACTCAGTATCACAAAACTGGTGAGCAGCCTGGCAGTTTATCTGGTCATACTGGTCTATGCAACTGTCTTTTAGCAGTCTTTGACACCGTTGAACCTATAGTAGAAACACGTCGACGTTGAGGGTATAGGCGATTTGTTTTTCGTGGTGGTTACATACCGCCTTTTCCATCCGTACGCATGTACTGAGTCTACGTATTGAGCGAGATTTCTGGGTTGAAATACTGCGGACTGACCTTATTGGGAGGAAAGGCGTCAGCGGAGCCGAAACTGCTGAACAAGAAAAGTCGTTGTACGAAAGCGTCATGCTATACGGGTCAGTTACACCGTTTCCTGAAGGGACACATAAGCATATGACGTCAACAAATACAGGAAATAAAGCACCTATCATGACGCTTGTTAGATTGATGGGCTCCATGCCAATCTCCACGAGCTTTGCGTTCTGGTCGTATATCTCCGCCGCAAACACAGGCGTATAGCGCCCCTAGCAGCAAATATACATGGTTTAGAAATTAATATTGAAGAGACTTGCTCGAGCTTACGCCGTAAGATTCTCCTGCAACATGGAACGGACGTCCCTTCAGCGAAGAGAAGCTATTGAACAAGATCGCGATGAAAGCGGCCATGTCTTTTGCGGCTTCAGGGGTGCTTGACTTATAGGAGAAAATGAAGGCTCAGTGAGATGCACATGAACGGGACGTCCAGCTAAGGGTAGCCCACCACAGTTTCCCCGTACTCTGCATAAGAGAAGCCCACTCCAACAGGCTGATCAACGAACAGCACGTTCGCGTTCGCGTTCCAAGAGTACGGATTGAACTCGACGTGCGTATCGTTGACGATGCTACAGGGTCCTATTTTACCCAGGTAAGCTGGTTGTGGTCTTCAAGAGCCCAGAGTGATTCTCCAGCCGCCTACCTAGTTCCATCATCAATCCGATTGAGGCAGATGCGCCGGGACCTGCAAGAAGTCGGCTCTGTCATTGATTGATCCATGTCAACACAACAAAACACGAACCCCCATTGATCCACATTATGACATCGTCTGTGGAAGGATCGTTCCTGCTCTCGAAATAGTAGAAGAAGATATGTCTGACTTCTATGTCGACATATCCAGAGTATGCTCTGGTCATATTCGACATAAGTCAGACGGCGGCAGGAAATTTAGTGCATCATGACTGTGTTCCGAGAGCGACTCACTGAGAAGTGGTATCACAGAAGTCCGTTTTCCTGATTCTGGTACTGTACTGAGGAAAAGCAGGGTGACGAAGAACAGTGAAAGTTTCGCTCAAGGCACCCATGTCATGCTGTTCATATATCTCTGTCGTGGTCCCAACTTCAGCTTGCATAGCAGCCTGTCCAGCCGAAGAGCACAAGGCGGAGACTGCGAAGTTCAACAGACCGAAGGCCTCGGATATCGTGAATATCATACTGCCGAAGTTGAAGTTCACTGTCAAGAGCAAACTGTCGGAAAAGCGCGGGTGGCCATGCCAGGAGTCGGCTACCTCCGCGCCAAGTGTGTGGTAGGTAACGAACTTACTTACGCCACACAGGACAAGTGTACGACGAACAGCTCGCCTCTTGATGCAGATAAATCAGAAGACATGAAAAAGAGCCCAGCCATATTACACATATATTACACAACTAGTCCGGAGGAAGCTCTTGCACAGAAAAAGATTGTGGCGACAGCACATAACGACCGGCGGCGCTCTGTGCATCTGCCACACTATCCCCGCTCTTACACAAACATCCACAGCCGGCAGCGCACGCAGATGCCTTTGTTGCTTTCCAGCACTTAATGTGGTTGACGTGATGACACAACAGACAGCTATATGAAAGCCCTGAGATAAAGTAAATCCTGTCAATGGCGGTCTAATTATCTCCGATGGAAGATGTGAGAATGCACCTTTGACCGGCAAGCGACATATTGCACAGAGCGGCATAGTGAGCCGCTGTCCACAAGCGGAGCACAGACGATGACCGCGAGGTGTAGCATCGTTCCCGCAACGTAAGCATAAAACGGCGACGCCTGTGCATGCAAAAATAATCAACACACCACCTTTCTGATATGCTGCAAATCTTACCAAGCCGATTGCGTTCGGGTTCGCCAATGGGTTTGGCTAAAGCCTGAAGGTCGCGGTCCACTGCCTTCAGGAGCTCGATTCGCTTGTGCAAAAACTGCCATCTGAAGAGGATCTCGGCATAAACGAGAACATGATCAACGAGCTGCTCAAGGAACTGCGGCTGAAAGAGGTTCAGCTCTTGTTCTCTATTCCGAGGGTGAGTACCACTTCTAGTAAAAATTCGTCGAGGGACTCACTGTCCCTTCTGCAACTCTGTCGGGAAGTCGCGTAGGACCAAATGCTTGTTGGCTACCACTGGCTTCGCGCTAACAACCTGTGAAAACGTTGGAGTTCTCACATGTGCAGGAGCAAAGCTCAGCGGAATCCGCGTAGCGACGTCACCCCACGATTTGGCTACCGGCACTGGAGAGGTCGCACTTGGATTTTGAGGTGAATCCGGGACTCTTTTCCTCGGTGATTCTGATCCAGAAAGTACGATGTGCTTTCGACCGCCGCCAGGCACCGGTATCCCTGCTGTCCTGACATCACTTTCTGAAGGCCTACGATTAAGGATGGGTTCTTTTGAGATATCTTGATCCCTGGCGACGAGTTGACGCATCCCGCTCGTGTTGAAAAGGCTGGACCACGAACCCCGAGAAGAGAGCGAAGAAAATGAAGCTGAGACAGGGTTACCAGTGGGAGAGGACGCTGGTCGAGGCCAGACTGGAGAGAGAGGAGGTCCGCGACCATCTTTGACTCGTCGAAGTGTGAAGTAATCGCCACTTGGGTGGCGCGAAATAGCCCGGAGCGGCGTTCCGACTCGTACGGGAGGGGATTTGTCTAAAGTACCACGTCAGGACGAACATGGAACAGACAAGCAGACATAGTTACGTTGTGGTGGAGTGGATCGATACAACTTGAGGAGCATAACAGAGAGCATGCCTAGCATTTGGATGTCCTTTTCTTGGGCAAATCCGTTATACCTAGGTGTAAAAATCAGTTTGATTCCGATGACTATGTGAGGATCTCGCAACAGCGCAAAACTCACATCTCTGTAACAAGGTGATACGTTAGGGGGTCTGAGCCCCATGGCCCAGCTCTCCGTTTATCACCCTCAGCTTCTTGCGTCTTCTTGTTCGGTACGAATAACTTCATTGTCTTGAAGAACCTCTCATGGTCCCATCTCTCGTTTTTCCTTGCCACCACTCCGTTAATGTCGCACATATCCTCCAAATCCTTCCCGTCGAACACGTATTCGCTCGCCGCTTCCCTACAAGCTCCTACCACATATCCCGCGTTGCGCAGGTGAACTGTGATAACCTGGGGAGGCAATAAAGAATAGCTCGCTGGTATTTCTTCAAACAGCCGTGATTGTTCCGATGCTCGGCGTTGCTTCAGGCGGGAGAACACAAGAAGGTTAGTCATGATAGTGAGGATACTATCACCCTCGTCCCCTCCTCGATGAAACTCGGGGGTCGCTATTTGGCGGTCGTGCGAGGCTACCGTAAGTCGACGAACGGCATCGGAAAGAAGAGCAGGTGACTGGAAGAGACGCGGAATGCTTTCGACAGGACGCTGTGGTACGGATGGTGATACCGAGAGCTCGTGCATCGGATTACGAACGATTCGAATAGGTGCTCGGCTAAAGCATACTAGTTGTCCTGTGATTCAAAAGAAAGAACTAATGAGTGAGGTTAACACAATAACCTCCGAGAATGACTGACCGTTAGGCCCAAAAACGCCCTGAGACGTCCTAGGCTCAGCAATATTCTTTGCGGCCCCAAAAGAATCCGTCGTCACCGCATCCTTTGCTCTTCGAACCTTTGACGGGCTCTCCTCGTCAGACGAACTCTCGAAGTCCATATGAAGAGGCTGACGCTCATGCTCGTCTTCGTTCCGGAACAGAAGAAAGCGGAGACATGCTTCGAGACACGGACGGCGTTGCTCACGAATTGCGCGCAGGCGCCGTAGCATGAGTGCTCGAGTGCGCATTGGAATGAGCGGAGATCGTTCGAGATCGACTGTCGGTGTTCCATCGGGATGTGTGGCGTGCGGGTATTCCTTCGGAAAGGTGAACGATACTCGAATGAAAACGGAGGTTGATGAGGACTCGCCCCAAGGGCCGTTCAATCCCAAAGTGCAAGTCCGTCGTTTTGTCAGGTCATGCTGAAAATCCTGTCAGTACATATAGCACCGAACACATCGGATGGGACGCACCTTCTCTAACTTGATCTTGAACGCAGATAACTTGGTCAAGACGGACGTGATCCTGATCCAGACACCGTCAGAGCTCACTTGAGACGTCTCCATGTGATAAATGTACTCACTCTTCCTGCAAGCTTTGTCCCTCCTCTTCGCCTTCCCACCTACCAGCACTTGCGCTCCTCTTTGTATATCCAGACGTATCTCTATCCCTCCCAATGGCTCCAGGCAACCACACAGGGCCACTCAGTGTACTCGGTAGTCCTAAGCCATTGTTGGCCACACTTTTCCCACCAGACCTCGATCGCGCCGGCTCTCTCGAACTCTGTCTACTCCGACTGCCCATCCTACTCACATTGCCACTGTTTTGCCCACTACCAGTCCCGGAACTGGCACCATCACGACCACCGCTGCCCGGGCCACCCGGTTTCTCTCCAACTTTGACGGAAGACAACCAGTGGAAGGCTTCGATCTTCGCGCTCTTTCCGCCCATGTTTCCTCTGGACATTGTGCCCCTTGCTGCTGAGATAGGTATTGGAACGGACGTAGCGGTGGGCGTAGAGTCCGGTTCCGACGAGGATGTGGCTAGACCACTGACATGTGAATGCGGAGGGGCTTGCGGCGTGTTATGCAAGCGGTGCGACGACGCAGCGGTTCGATGACCCGAAGTACGCTTGCGATGTACATGGCTAAGAGGACGGGATGGATGTGCAGCGCGAACTTCGGCGAGGATGCCTCGGTGACCCACGGGTGCTGAGAGGGCTGGAGCTGGTTCTTTGACTGCTGGTGGCGTGCGGAAGGAAATCTTGCTGTCGGCATAACCTTGAGCGCGGGCAGGGGCAGGGATTCCCGTAGGTTGTCCTGCCCGCTACAATTGGGATATGATTTAGCAACGACAGGTGTCGAAGTCATAGAATGAACAGACCTGCATGGCATCTGGGTTCACGGGCCACAGGCGAAGAGTCTTGTCCTTCGACCACGTGATGAGCTGGAAGTCGTTCCAATCTAAATCTTCATTAGTTGGATGACCTGGCTAAAACACTATTAAAACATACCGGGTCCTCCGCGACGCCACACAAACTCCTTCACAACATCCGTGTGACCCTCAAACACTTCCACCGGCGAGTCGGGGTCGACTCCCGTTCCTTCACTGGCATGCACAAACATCTCTAAAGTTGTTTCACTCCTCTGCGGTAAACTCAATACCCCCTTTCCGAACGGCAGGTCCCTGGCCCTCCACACCGGGTAGGTAGTATGTATCACCGACCGTGGTTGATCCATGTATTCGCTTGGTGTATATATAAAGTCCACGGCACTAGGGTCATCTTCGAAAGTGGATGTGTGGCCCGAGTAGCCAAGAACGTCCCAAATCTTGATAGTTTTATCGAGAGAACAAGTGAGGAGTTCACGAGAGCTATTGTGAGCCCAGTCAATACCATATATCTTGGCGGTGTGAGCTTTGATACGTTTGGTGGGTATTGAACCTTTCTGTAGATATCGAGGAGTCAGTGTAACTGAATTGAGATGAGGAGAAGGCAGTCTACTCGGCGGTCCCAGATCAAGACTTCATTCATATGCGACGATGCTAACACGTTTCCATCTTGTCGGTTCCATTTCACCTGGGTGCCACCCGCTGCATGATCGTAAGTAAATGCAGTAAGACGAGGCTACTCCGAAGCTTACCATTGAACGCGCTAAGACCTACAAGAGAGAAGTCAGTCAAACAAATGCGATAACCGTAATAGTTCGATCCTACCGACCCATGACGGGCTTCTGACATGCTCGTAGATCCCATGCCCAGAGCCACGCATCTACTCCAGTACTGACCACAATATCGGGATCTTGGGTATGCCAGTTGATGTCGGTTATGGCACGGTAGTGAGAGTGTAGGACGTGCTCTATCGACGTGGTCCCACTCATGAAAAGGTTCCAAATCAAGCTGTGAAGGGTACCCAAGCTCATTTAGTCTTTGTTGGGAGGAAGGGACGGACAGCGTCGTACAGCTTTTCGCTTGAGGTCGAAACAATATATTCTGAATAGCACGGTAAGCGACGTTGACTTCATGTTCGATCACAAGACGCGCGGAGGCCAAGCATCATGTATTAGCTGGGCGAAGAGTAACCTTTGATGTCAACGATGATAGAAGGGCTGAAATGTTGAGAACAGTACACATATTTCAAGGCTATCGAATGGTACATTCACGGATCCTGCATTGTAGTACAGGCACAAGGGCATGCTGACGGCTACGACCATCCTGCTGCAGTCTCAATATTGTGATAAATCTGAGACACTGCATTCGCCATTTAACTAGGAGTGGAAGGGTCGAGCCACACTAGTTCTCGCGGACTGTTTACACAAGCCCATCCCTATCCTTGACAGATGTCGACATAATGGAAACCCTCCGCGCGTGCCATTTTATATAGGGCAGAAGGGTTCGACATACCTGCGCGAGCGGGATGAGGGTTCCATTGTACATCGGCTACATCCCAAGTGCCTCCTTGAGGTAAGAAACGAGGTAATTCGAATGGCGCTTCCAAGTCGATGATGAAGAGGCCTTTTCGTCTAACGGTCCGACTTCAACATTGTGTTCGTTGAGTGTAAGTTTAAATCCCTACGCAGCAAGAACAACGTCGCGGTACGAAGGACCTATACTCATCTAACGCAATCCGTCAGCTTGCCACCATGACCCCAAGTCAAGGTCTGACCACTCACGTTTCCGACCGCATCTCCTACCAGACCCTTCATATCTATCTGCAAACTCTTCTGTACGCCATCGTCAGGAGAAGATGCGTCCGCATTATCGGATCGACCAGTGCCTTCGCTTGCAGACGTCCCAGATCCATATATTGAGTCTGAGGCAGGCTCTTTCGAGCTCTCTCTTCGACCGCTTGGGAAGTATACGCCTGGCCTGGTCGTTCCGGGGACGAATGTGGAGGAAAGGTCGTCTACGTCAGGTGTCATGACATGGATAGAGGTATTCAGCGCGCGATAATGTACAAAATCAACCGATGTCGACGTCAGCGACGTTGATGTTCAGTAAGAAGTGTGGCTTCGACAAGACCTGACAAGACGTGTACGGAAGCGCCAAACAGCGCCAAATTCAATCTACCCATTTGAAACTCCGCATCTTTCCAATTTCTTTGCTACCCGGATGGCCGCATCTTCCGACTCTGTCCTACTCTGTCCCATTTGCAATCTACGACGCTCTGGGATCGTTAGTCCAATGATGGGGCCACTCTACACGACATGATATCTTGTCATCTGAAGAGTCGTCGCCAATCATTGTAGCATGTGGGTGGCATTCCTCATCATGGTTAACCGAGTTTCAGGGTTGTTTTAGGGTGAAGAGGAATAATTGTCTTGCTCGATCTTTCAGTCTAACTACGTCTACGTATGTTCAGCTTTTATTTTCAGATTTAATTTTCCGCTGATGTTACTTCGCCTCCAGCTCTGCGTTATGAACAAACGACTTGTTTTTGTGAACAGATTTTCCACTGCATGTGACTGCGAGCTGAGCTGAGTCTCCCATCATCGACATACTCACAGCTTGGGCGGCCCGTTATGCGGCGAAAGCCTGTTGAACGTCAAGGCCTCCCAACCCGCCATGCGATTGTCCTCCTTCATTGACAATGTCTTTGCCTATCATCCGCAGTTATGCCAAATGCGTGCACTCTGGATCTCTCGTCTCATTTGGGCACAGCTCGCTTGATACACCATGTGATCCCAATCGTTTCTCCCCCACAACCTAAACACTAGACATGCCACGTCCACAAACTTGATGGCCCATCATGCTCACAGTTTCAATGACGTTGAGGAATCGCACATCTCATATGCATGAGCGCTCGAACTTATGTACTGTCCTCAGACACTATAAAGATGTAGGGCTACTGGTGTCCCGTCACACATTCCCATCTGACGACCACCCTCATCGACGCAAGACTTCCTCGTATCTCTCCGCCAAGATGCTCTCCTTACTCGCCGTCTTTGTTTTCTCCGCTACCGCTGTCCAGGCCGGAAAGCGTGGTCTCACGTGGACCTATTGTAAGTTGACCATCCGTCATAGATATGTTCGATAACTGACGAAGATCTCTCCAACGCAGACAATACTCCCCTGTAAGATTGTGTCACTGTGATCTAATGAGGACTGCCATATTGACTATAAATGACAGTAACCCTTCCGTTCTCAATACTGGTAGTGGAGAGGTCGTTGCCATCTATGATTACGAGACCTATGCTCCGCCTTCTTCGAATGGTGATGGTGATTTGAACTTTATCGGTATGCAGGTATGTCTAAGTCTCCATTTCCTTGCTAATTCCTAAAATCCTGACCCGCAATTGATAGCGTTGCACGGACTGCGACAGCAGCCCTATTGCTGAGCTCGCTAGCCGCCAAGCTGCTCAAGGCTGGGACAGTGAGTTCTGCCCCTCATTGTCTCCCGAATTCCTGCTAACGATCATACATTGTATCTATGCAGCCGTGTTCACATTGAACGAGCCAGACGTAAACAGTATCTCTGCGGCTGATGCCGCCTCCTGGTACAGTGAATACAGTGAGTAAAAATAATCTCTTTTGTGCAAAATCCGTTGTGTTAATGCATGCTGTCGAACAGTAAGCCCCTTGGTCAGTAAATATGATTGGTAACAACAAAGCTCCGCCTCTGAAGTAGCGATATTCTCTGCATTCTCTAGACCATCAAAAAGGCCCTTCCTGCGGTGACCTCGAGCACAACATCTGGACAAGGTCTCAGCTGGCTCTCTGACATGATCAGCGCCTGTAACGGTGGTTGCAGCGCCGATTACATCAATCTGGTCCGTACACCTCACCCCTGTTGTCCCATTCCTCCTATCGCGAGCTGACACTTGATAATATTGTCAGCACTGGTATGGGTATGTATTTGAACATATTTTTTGAGCATCAGACATTTGCATTACTGAAATCGCGTGTAGAACGAGTTTCACCGACTTCCAAAGCCATGTCGAGTCCGCGATCAGCCAGTTCCCTGTGAGTAGTCTCTTGCCTGCCACAACTACATATCTCGCTCATGCAATTATACTAGAGCTACAAGGTGGTAATCACCGAGTTTGCCCTGACTAACCCTGCCGGTGGCGCATCCGATCAGTGCGCAATCCCTATTGTTCCTTTCCTCCCAATTCTGCTGACATTGGTTGGTTGGCAGGGTGGCCTTCTTCAAAGAAGCCTTTGCTTGGCTTGACACGGTAGATGAAGTCGTCTACTACTTCCCATTTGTTGCGACTTCACCCTCCCTCCTTTCTGCGAATGATGCCGGTGCCGTCTCGTATGTGGGGACGGGATCTTGTCTGTTCAATGACGATGGGACTGCTTCGACGGTGGGAGCCCTCATGAACTAGGCCACTGCCGTATAGCAGTAGCGCTATCAAGGAGCAGGGAGCATAACTGATGTGATATGTTGCTTCACTGCTTTGGACGAAGGAACGAGAGTTGTATACATTGAAGAGAGAGGCGGAGGAGGCGGAGGAGGCGGAGGACCGGATTTGCGATAGCGTCGATTCTGAAAACTTCATTGGGTTTCCTATATCTGCCATTATTTATCAATACATTATAATTCTGTCTTTCCATCATCTCCTTCCATGAAGTCCTCAGCTTCCGGACAGATTTCCAGTAATATATCGCTGGTGAGTCGGGAGATTGTGTGGCGTATTGTGTGGCACTATGTACGTCGGAGAAATCCGGAACCGACTGCTATTTTGAAACTCCCATTTCCTTTTGCAGTTTTTGGATTCTTTCTCTTCTCCGAGTCGAGCTCTCCTGAGCCAAAGATGCTTGGGTCTCTATATGACTCTCCGTGCTCTCATATCGCGCTTGCGCCATGTACATCTCGCGACGATACCACCTGAAGACATGCGCACGCAGGCGGGTGGCTCCGATGACCGTCCACACGATTGATGTTGGACTTACGTCGTCTGTTGCTGCATTTACCAGTATACCGGGCATGCAGGGCCTTTAGGACGTACTGCGCGTCGATATTTTGGGACACATTCTGGAACACGGTCGGTCGGTGTTACGCTTACCGAAAGGATGTCTGAGCGCGTCTCCAGGGGCCTGCTATTGAAATGTTATTCGGATTGGCCGTAGAAAACGAAACGGCTGCGAGCTGCGCCTACGGAGAAATCAAACGATCGCCCGTACAATGGCCGCAGAATTGCGGGGTTAGTGGTAGGAGGACAGAAATGTTGCATATAGAACAGAAACACAGTCATTCTCTCAAGATTTTCGGCGAAGCGGACTACTCACAGCCTTACGATTTAGACATTGGCACAAAGGCGGGCTCAAGACGACGACATACAAGTGCAAGCACGAGAAAATACACATACTGTACTTTTTCGACCAAAGGTTCATCAAGAATTTACGTCACCCATCAATTTCGCCCGGGTCACGGTTCAGAAACCGTGCGTGAGCGTGACGGGACCCGTAAATGGTTCAGAAAACAACGTAGGCGCTTGCGAAAATGATTATTTTGCGCAAGCGCCTGCCGAGGTCACTGTTCGCTCACCCTGCGTTATGCGTGAGGTCACGCAGGATTTTGTTCGGTTCATCAACGCGGAGAACGCGTGACGAACCTTTGGTCGAAAAAGTACAGTAGCACAAACCAGTTTTTATAAGCGCTGATCCCGCAGAGCTAAATAGAGTAAGACACGGATTATTCTGTTTAGAGAAAGCCAAAGTCTGGATGGGGAGAAAGATAAACACGTTTGGCACATCTGGGCCTGGCACATCCACGTATCTGACTCTCAAGCCTCCCCTCACCATCTTTTTTTTCACAGTCCTTACACTCATTCAACAATGCTCTCCTTTCTGGTAATCTTGGCTGTCTCGGCCACTGCTGTTCAGGCTGGAAAGCGTGGTCTCGCATGGACTTGGTGTATGTCAAAATTCAGATAAAAGTTGTTCGCTTTACTGACCAATATGTCTTTCCGCTACAGTCAACAGCGACCTGTGAGTGCACGCAGTCAAATCTTGGACGGGAAGCGTTTTAACTCATAAGCGTAACAGTGATCCTGGCGTCTTCAACACAGGGAGCGGAGAAGTTGTCGCTATTTATGACTACGAAACCTATGCTCCTCCTTCCACAAACAGCAGCGGTGGTCTGAATTTCATTGGCATGCAGGTACGTCTGGACTTTCGATATTAACATCTCTCTCAATGCCTGAAATGCCGACCTGTGCGTCCCCAGCGTTGTACGGACTGTGACAGCAGCCCCATCGCAGACCTCGCCAGCCGTCAGGCTGATCAAGGCTGGAATAGTGAGTTCTCCTTGTCGTTGCTTCCTGGACTTGTGCTCATGATCATGCATTGTATATATAGCTGTGTTCACGTTGAACGAACCAGACATGAACAGTATCTCTGCATCTGATGCCGCCTCCTGGTACATCGAATACAGTAAGTAAAGCTAGCCCTCTCGGCGGAGTTCGTCGTACTAATGTAGGCTGTCAAACAGTCAGCCCTTTGGTGAGTAGACATGGTTGGCAACAACAAAGCTCTACCTCTGAAGGAGTGATATTCTTTGCATCTTTGCATAACCCGATTCTGTAGACAATCAAAAAGGCCCTTCCTGCGGTGACCTCGAGCACAACATCTGGAGAGGGCCTCAGCTGGCTCTCTGCCATGATCAGCGCGTGCGAAAGCGCTTGCGATGCCGACTACATCAACCTGGTACGTACATCCCCCGTCTCGTATTTGGTGTGTACAATTACTAATTGAGGGGTATCTTTGTTCTCGTTTTATGTAGCACTGGTACGGGTATGTATTCAAGTGTATTCCGCAGTATATCGGGCCTGGATGATTGATGTTCGCTACCAGATCGAGCTTCACCGACTTCCAGAGCTATATCGAGAATGCGATTAGTGAATTTCCTGTGAGCGACCTCTACTCTACTTTGGCTCGCTAGCACAATCCTGACATAACGTGGGCAGGATTACGAAGTAGTGATCACCGAATTTGCTCTGACGAACCCTTCCGGTGGCGAATCCGACCAGTGCGTCTTTCTACTCTTCTTCCTCCCGTCGACCCTGCTGATGTCGCTCTCCAGGTTGGCTTTCTTCTCAGAAGCATTCGCTTGGCTTGATACGATTGACACTGTCGTTTTTTACTTCCCGTTCTTATCCACCACTCCCTCCCTCCTCTCTGCGAACGACGCCAGTTCCGTCTCGTATGTCGGTACTGGTTCTTGTCTGTTCAATGATGACGGGACACCTTCATCGCTGGGAAACCTCATGCTATAGGCTGGTGTTATGTTATCGAAGCCTTTCTTCCCGGTAGAAGAGAGGTCTAACAAACCAGGGATGGGTCAGACGTTATTAGAAGGATGAGAATACATAGCATGTGTGGCATATACCCTACAAAATTTTTGCGTCTTACTTGGGCCCCTTGATATTTGTCAATATTGCGCCCCTTTCGCTTCGCGTCTTGCTCTTATCGCGACTGCTCCAACTGTATTATCATAGCTGATCGGTGAACTTAACGGTCTGCAGGTTTTAGTGGCCCGCTGTGTGGCACTATGTCGGACAAGTCCGTGACCAGCCAATGTGGCGCTCCAAACGGTCGTCTCGGTTTACTACGAACATCCATCCTCGATTCTTCGGTGTAGAGTATAATTCGTCTCGAGGACATCGGCTTCAGCGCCCCTATGGTATATTGCATAGCTTGAAGGTTAATCTCGGGCAGAACCCCCACGGTTCTCATTGGCCGGCCTTGGCTTGTGATTCCTTCTACTAGTCGACTCGACCCCTGGTAGTGCTCACCACCTTCAGCCAAATTCTGGTACCTGCGGAGCCATTGTCATGGACGTAGAATCCGTTATTTATGAGCACAGAGGGTTGAAAATGGCAGCGAAACGCTATCGTAGTCGTTCTGCCAGACTCTCTCAGGACGACGGACTGACTCTGTTCTTCGCCCATGGCATCGGCCTGAGTGAGTGAAGCTCCTCTATTGATGTTTTGGTCCGCTCCAAAGAGGGTATTACTTGATCTGTCTAGTCAAGGAGCAATGGGAGCCAACAATCGAAAACATCTTCGCATCGGCTAATCAACGATTTAGTATCCGCGAGGCTTGGGCGCTCGACTGGCAGAATCATGGCGAGTCTGCTGTCTGCAACAAGGACGCCCTCGAGAGTCGCTCGACAAGTATCGGTATGCTATCCATCGGAAACCTTGAGCATTCATACAGTCTCTGATGATGCACGCTTGACCGCAGATGTCAGAACATGGGGCGAAGCTATAGCCGGATTCGCGCGCTCCCAATATGTAGAAGGTCATCGAATAATCTCTATCGGGCATTCTGCCGGCGCATCTGCCATGTAAGTCGTTTTTGAACGATGCCTGAATATTGATGGTGTGGTTGGCCTGTTTGTTAATGTGTGTCTTGAAGGATGCATTCGACATTAGGCATGACGGACGAAGACTCGATAAAGTACCACGCAATGATCATGATCGAACCCCCCATAATCGAACCCGAAACCCTCATAGCAAACGATGAAGAGCACACTGCTATCATTGAGTTCCTCAGTCAAGCGATCTCTGCTCGTCGAAATACCTGGCCTTCTCGTCCTGCAGCCCTTGAGTATTTGCGGAAGCGACTTCCTTGGAGTGTCTGGGATCTCAGTACTCTGAATCTTTTCGTGGTACGCACCCATTTCAAGTGATCTGTATATATATTGTGACGTGAATTTCTGCAGGACTATGGTCTACAGGAAGCTCTGGACAAAGAGGGAAAAGACTGTGTCACTCTGAAGTGTCCTCGGGAGCAAGAGGCCGCTATGTACTGGGAGTACCCGGTCAATTTCGATGGCATCAACGTCCTCGATAGAGTTCTCCATCTCATCCGAGTTTACGCTATTTTCGGCGAATGGGCACCTCCTTCGTAAGTGACATCCATGGTGCTCAGTGGTTGACCGTTGAATTTGTCCTTAGTCCCGAGTTCGTACACGCTTCTGCGCTCAAGATGTGCGAGCTGCGAAACATCCCAGCTACTCATCTGGCTGGTGTCAATCATCTAGTAAGCCCCAGATCCTGTCACACGAGACCCGTCCGACCCTTCTTTTCCACAACTTCCAAACGCAGGATGTCAACGCTGATTGCGTTGTCAGATTCCTCAAGAGAATCCGGTCCTACTTGCTAATGCACTGGCAGATATCCTTTCTAGAATATCCGCGTTAGATTCAAGATCTCGTGTGCCCTCTAAGTTATGACATTCCTTCCTCCCTGAGGATCGGTCTTGTCTGCTGTCGTTTTGGTGCCTTTTGCCAGCATTGTCGTCCGCTCTTCAAGTCGCCGATGTACCTTATATATATATTTTTAGCTGTGGCATCGACAACAAAGTTGTTGCAAATGAGAGATCCCAGAAAAACAATATAGAATGAAGAGACCTTGAAAAGACGAAGTCGTACGTGCCCGTCACGGTACATTCTGCATACAGTACCTCGAATTCAAGCATTCATGCAGCAAGCTGCTTCCTCTAATTCAGAATCCCGTCTTCAATCTATATCCTTCAGATCCTCTCAAATAGTACAGACATATAGCCCCTGGCTTACGACTCCCTCGAGGAGGCGTACTGCTTCGATGCCATATTTTCCATTCTGGCCCGTGCATTTTGGGGGGCGTCAAACTCTCTAGCGGGTTGAAAGGCGGAAGGAGATAGACGGTGATCACTAGTCTCCTACACAGACCTTTATAGTGATGACAATCGATCACTGTTATGGCGATTACATCGTTTGAGCGCGTTGAGGAGGACCCTAGACCATCATACTCAGCCAATGCGAAGGGACAAAGCGAGACATAACGAGACCAAATCATGATAGTCACGCCATTTTGCCATGAACAGTGGGATAAGAATATGCACATGAGATGTTGATACAGTCCGAGGAAACGAGAAAGAAGGCAAACTTATGGATCTCGATAAAGCGGGAAGAAAAGTGTACACCGAAAAGATCTGGAAAACAAAGATATATGGAAGGGTAATAAAAAAGTATACGTGAGGGGCCGACGGCGTGACGAAAGCAACCACAAGCAGTTACGCAAGGGTGTACGGCTGTATGACACAACTGCGATCAAACCCTTGTGAAGTCCAAGAACGCCTCGTCCAAATCCAACTCTCTGACCACCATCGCCTCCACTATCAGCCTGGGTACCATGTCAACGGGCGCAGAGGCCTCTGCTTTCCCATTCGCTTCCAGCTTCATGCCCTCCAATATCTCTGCTAGTTCATCTCCCGGCGCATGGCTCGCCTCGAGGTCAATTGCCGGTACAACGTCTTCAGCTGTCATTACGATTTCGACCGACTCAGCCGCCTGCGCCCCGAGGGAAACAGAGTCGTGCTCGACTGGATTAGGATTAACGATGGGATCCTCCAATGCCCTCTTCCGCAAAGATCTCCTCAAATCGCGAGCAACTCGACGTTTCTGCGCCTTGGTCATCGCAGGCGTCACCGCGTTTCGGGAGGCTGTGGCGTTCGCGGCGAATGTGAGGGGAGAGGTGAGTGCTGATAGAGGAGACATAAATGTTGGAGAAAGCGACATCGCGCCGGCGGGGGTAGCAGTAAGAGGTGGAGAAGGGATGCAAGCAATCGCGCGGGCATTGGGAGACTCGAGGTCGATGGTGAAACGCTGTGTCCTTGTCGGAGGTACAAGAGGTTTCGACACAGGCGGCAGCTGGAGCGCATCGTCATCGTCTAGAAGATTCGGCTCAGGATCCATAGAAAATAACGCAAGTGAGTCGTCCAGGTCCACCTTGATCACAGGGACGGACTCAAGTTCGGCGTCAGCGGGAGTGGACAGCGCTACTGTTGGTGGAGAAGGAGTAGCGGATAACCTCGTCAGGTCTGGGAGCTCTAAGTCGGAGTCGTTCGTGGTGGCGAAAGATGCGGTAGAGCCGAAGGACGACGGGGTGAGGGAGGCTGGCTGCCCTGCGGACACGATCCTAAGCTTCTCCTCCTTGGCCCTCCGGTCCCTCTCCTTGCGTTCCTTTCTTTCCTTGTCCCTCCCGCCTTTTCTCACAAACTCTTTTGCACTCCTACCCTCGCGTCCCTTATTTCCAGTGACCTCGATTTCCTTCACCACGACGACCTTGGCTCCGATCTCCTTCGCCATGGCGTAGAGCGTATCCAGGGTGTCTGCCAAGTCCAGAGGAGTCAAACCAACTAGGGCACCTTCGTCGGCGACTCCAAGTTCGTAGAAAGCTTGGCCACCGCCTTCGAGCAAGCGCCATTTCAATTGAGTGACGAGACGAGCAAAACGGGCTGGGGACGGATGTAAGAGGTGGAGCTTATACTCGACGTTGCCCTATTCAATTCAACATTAGTGACGGTTCCTAATAACAACCAGGGAGATACGCACCTCTTCCTGCTCAGCAGCAAGCTTGGGCACATTCAGGACGTCGGTGAGATAATTCAGCCTGGTGGGTGCGACCGGCGGCGAGCACTTGTCAGGCAGCAAAGAGTTCCATGGGGACGGAACTCGCGGAGACTCAGATTCGCCTTCTCCAAACATGTAGTGGAGTATCTACTCTCCGGTCGTATTATAAGGCGGGGTGTCTACAAGCTGGACGCTGGGTGTGTCTCTCCGGAGAGTGTGGGGCGTTGTCGGGTTGTCGTGGAATTGTGTGGCTGCTAACAGGTAGCGAATATACTTAGATTTATTAAAGAGAGAACAGACACAGATGACGGTCAAATGATGAGAGTGGGTATGAGAGAATTGGTTTAAAGATATATTCGAGGGATCATTCTGGGTGGTCTAGACGTAGGTTGGAGGTGGTGGTTGGGGAAGAAGAGAGCGAAACGCTGTGGCCAAAGTCACCGAGTTTCGAGTCAAAGCGGCAAATTCCGATGGTGGTGCCACAGGGTTCCACGTGTCTGAAACTCATCGACATCCTCCGATTTTTTTTCGCAGGTTCACGGGCCGTTCCAAGTCGTTATTTTCTTGACTTATCCACCACGTCTGAATTGACCTTGGGTCCACTTGTCATGTCATCGTCCTACCTTACTACTGTCTATACAGATAATCTCGCTAATCGTCCCTCTCTTCGCACTCTACTACTACTAGGAACAACATTATGAATGCCAACTTGCAACTTCCACCGTGCCGAGCAATTTGTTATATAGTGCTTGAAACAGGTCGTGTTGCTCATGTTACCTATCAAATTGTTAATCTATGTCCACTGGGAATATCTGTGCCTCTCCCAGAGCCGATGCCAGAGTACGAGACAACAGTCGAGCTTGAGAAGGTTCCGAGTTGGCCGTCGCCACGGCATCGGAACAATAAACCGCTTGTTCGGATATTGCCGCTGGAACGCTATAAATCAGCACTAAACATCTGTGTTGGTCCATCGCCCAAATCCCCTACTTCACGTTAGTCAAGCTATATCAATCGTGTAGAATAGGTGGTATGTTCTATTCTCTCAGCTCTGCTTGTACTTGACCTCCAACTCTCCTGTAGATATGGCCCCCGTCTGGATTGCAGGTTATTGGCTTGAATACGACGATGTTGCCGCATTTCTGAAGAAGAAGGATTTGTTGTTGCCAGAAGAGGAGATGAACGACACCACTGCTCAACAGGTATTCAAAGCGTGGGTTATAACTCAACACAAAAAACCTACGGAAGACATCGTGCCATGGCCACAATGTGAGTGCTCATCCTTTCGACCGTTATCCGCCAAGTCCATGTTGCTTCACGGCATTGATGCTGTTGGTTGAACCAGATGCGGAACGCCAAGACGAAAACAGAAGTTACTATGTTACCGGCCTGCAAACTCGAGTTGTCGCCGCGCCGGAAGCTGGGAAGAAGCCGGCCCTTCACGAGACCCCCTTTGATATCTCATCCAGAGACAAGTTTATCGAGATGACGGGGAACTCTTTTGAGCCTTTGAGGATGCAGTTTTATGTCTGCCCGTCTTATAACGTTCTCTTTCCTATTCACCCTGAAGGTTAGTCTCCGAATTGAGATTACCATATTGTTTTATGTTGGGCTTATACAAGTATTAGTCCCTCGCCGGTGATAGCAACGTGCGATTCGGACCATAGATCATCACCACCCCCTGTCTCTCGCCACTTCAATGCTATGTTCTTAGTCGTGTTTTGCCAATTTGAGTCTCTTGAGGGTGGCAATAAAGTCGGACTCGCATGTTTGATTAATTGACGAAGTTCCCAAACATCATGTGGACTAACCGATCTGTCTTGTATATTTTTGCGCTCAATCCCATAATTTGTTTCTGAAGCTCAGGCTGTGATGCTTCACATTGCCGATCAGCTACTTGCATCAGGTACTTATTTGTTAATGGATTCAAGTTGGTTCAAGTTGGGCCACGTCCGCTCACTTCCGTCCGTTAACTGTGGCGTGAGCCTTAACCTGACTGCAGGGGCCACAACGGTGTCTAAGTTGATCGACGGATTCAAATGATGTAACCTTTTACCGACTACAACACTTCATCTTGCTCTTCCTACTGCTCATAACGAAGCTAGAATAACCGTCAATGCGTGCTCTTACCTTCGTGATATGCTCTCAAGTCTAAGAGCTCTCCATTAAGTATGTGGAATAAGCCCTAACCTCACCCTAAGGCTCCAGTTCCTTCGCAACCGTAGCTGATCCTGCCGCAGCCGCTCATGCTCCCGGTCAATTCTCGAGTTCTTTGTGGTGCTGGTCGCTCTGTACGACGTTGATCACTCAACCATCATTCTCAGACTGGCCCTATCATATACCTAGCGCGCAGTCCAGGAGGCTGTAGCCTTTTCAACGTTTCTCCCTTCTCTTTTTTTTTTTTTTTTTTTTAAAGTCAACAAATTTATATTGCGCCGGCGAAGCCAGGGGCGCCTTGAATAAATACAAGCAAGAATCAGTGGACGAGACCTGTAATGTATGTACTGTACTCGAGAACTATGCGGATACCAGTGGAATCGTAATGTATCTAGTATGCTAAGAGACCATTGAACGAACCGAGGAAAAAGAAAAGAGACCCCGTTCCCAGGGCGCATCGAGAGTTTCTCCCTTCTCCCCTTCGCTCTCTTCGACATTCCCTTCCTTTCACTCCACCTTCTTTTTTTCTGCTTGTGCACTTCTTGCAAACCTATTCGACTGCCTTCGAGCGTCGGTCTGCTGTATAGGGGGCCTATGAAGGTGTTTATCGGACAAAAATGCTGCACCCACCGATGGTCAATCATCTCAGATCAATGATATATCGTTCATGTGGAACCGGCATACTCCGAATCATCTTCGTCGATTTCTAACTATTTCAGGTCGTTTAATTGTTCCTATAACCATTGTATGACGCGTCATTCTATTTATTTCGAAGTCGAGATGTATATGTACATGTATGAACCTCTCAAGCTCTTAGCATTCACCACATTTACCATGGCCTCCAAATGTTGGAATTCTAAGACGCAAGCGAGGTACGAGGTTAGGGTTAGAATGTTGACTTCGGACCGGCGCGTATGGCACAGCATCGAGCGCGTCTTTCTCTGCTCCTCCATGTCGTCCTCCTGCTCCTTCGCCTTCTGACGACATACGAGCCGCCGTGCTCTCATTTTCTTTTCCCCGCCCGCCACTCCCTTCTCATCCTCACCATCCACCAATCCATTAGCTAGCCTTGGCGCATGGTGCTCGCGACCTATGTGTTCCACTTTCTCCAGCTCATACTGTCGATTGGTCGCTGCATACGGCTGAGTTGCCCACCCGCCCTATCGCAGCGCCCTTCGGATACCTCCCATAGGTCAGGGTCCGTACGCCGGGGCCGGGAAGCGCTCCGCGCTTTCTCCCCACTCGACGTATCTTCGCAACATGCTTCTTACCTTACTCAGATACCTTCCTGTCTCCTTCTCAACATCACATACCTACTTATGCTGTGCTAGAGCAAGAAT